TTCGAAGCCCGATCGCTCGATTTTCGTTGCGAAAGTACGGCGCTTACGCTTTAAGTCATAGGAACTATAATCCTTGGGATTAGCTATAACGAAAAGAAACAGAAAAAGGGTTAAGGCGACAGAAGGACTTACGACGGGAACTGGGAGTGTTGGCGCTAAAGTATGAATGTCGGCGAACCTAGGTCTTCCAAGACGAAAGACGTAGAGAGGGGATATTATATCACGAACCAACCATATAGCAAGACCCGGTGGGGCACGACGGAAACAGGTAGAACCAATTAGCAGGGGTAAAAGCCGCAGGCGGCCGCATAAGGACGACCTAGATAGCTCAGGGTCGCCGGCGACCGAGAGCGATCACGATAGACTTGGGTAGCCATCTACCCAAGGCGATCGAGGGTAGACCACGGTAGCTAGTGAACCACGGCGAACCAACAGAACCGGCTAGGTATATAGTCATTCGTTCTGGAGGACTCTGGGAGTTCTCCAGTGAGCAATACAAGCAGTAAGGTAGCCCTACATTACTGTGCAGACATTGCGACTTGCATTGTTATGAACCTTTTGGCTTCACCGAGACCTACAGTCCGACCAGCAGATACCTTCGATCGGCGAACCCTTTCAGAGGCAGGACTGCCTGTGGTTTCGTCACACTGCTTTAACTTTGCCCTACTATAACGTTCGGAGCTTATAATAACTATTGAGGTTGCAATAACGCCTATTAGAAACCTAGTCTCGTCGAAGTTATAGATATCTACCTCCTGGATACTGTACTTCGCGATTATATTCCATATAAGCGCAAACCAGCCCCGAATAATTTCTAGGTCTTTATATTAGGCCCTCTAGTAGTTATATTTCCGATTGAAACATATAGTAAGCTCGGGGTACCGTTTGATAAAGTTATATACCTAACGTATACCGATATATCCCGTATTGCGTTCGGCAAATAGTCGATTTGCCATATCTTCTATACTAGATAAGCGGGGAGGAAACCCTTTAGAATCTAGGTCGAGGATATATTAAACAATGACCGATTCTTCTAAATTGGTCAACTTCCGCGAATTGGCTAGAATATCGCGTTGTAATTATATACTACGCCTACAACAGCTTAGCTTAGTATAATAAACCGCATAGATCTTAGCTGCAGCTCTTAGGCTCAAAGTAGAGTCTTTCTCAAGAGCTTGGAGGGCTAAGATTATCCGGCGTTCGTCGTCTTTTGGATGCATATTGGGTTGCAAAGAAAATATATGCAAGGAGAAGGTGTTATATAGGCGCGGTAAAGTGGAGCATTCGCTTGTCTGGAGCATTCGCTTATCAACCACGTTACTTCTTTTTATTGTTGGCTTTAACAAATATAGGCTGCGTTCTATATCCCTTGCGCTGCTAGTGCCTAGTATAAATCCGGTTGTCGATATATATAGCTATAGCGATATATTCGTTAAATGTATCGGGTTGGTCTTTCTAGTATAGTTTATCCTTGACTTCTTCCTTTAAGCTATTATAGAATAACTATATAAGACCTTTATCATTAATCTTATACCGAAGTAAATCCTAGCGGAACTATATAGTATAGGGAGCCACCGATTTTATCTATCTTAGGTATACAAGTAGCTCCTATATATAAAGCTTCTTATTATAGTCTCTAAATACCTTCTGGATTTCCTGCTCGAATTTATTATACGATTTAAAAATTTCAATGGTAAAGTCGTCTTAAGCGTCTATACTATTGGTTAGCTAATCCTTAAGAGTAGGTTTAAACTATCGAAGTACCTTCCCCTCGAGTTACAAGGAAATAAATATAACTTTGGTGGATTCGTCCATAAACTTGTCCGGGTAATACTTAAGGTAGGCCCTTATAGATATAAGGAATCCGGTAAGTCCTTCTTTATCGCCTCTATACTTAGGGGGTGCTTTGAGTTTAGCCTTATCCTTAGGCTTACCGTTATAGGCCTCGTTAATAAGTTGCTATATATTGCCGTTCTCGGCCTTAAGTTAGGTGATCTTATCGTTAAGAGTCTTAAGGACCTAGGTGTTATTATTCTAAGCCTTAAGCTAGGCAATCCTCGTATTGAGGGTTTCAATGACCTGCTATATCTACTATATGGTCGCGGTCTGGCCCTAGGATCCTAGGGTGCTAGGTATCTAAGGCGCTATGATGGTCGATATTACCTTCGATCTGAACCGTAACAGAGTCAAAGGGAGTAAGCAACGTATGACGAAACCATAGGCAGTCCTGCCTCTGAAAGGGTTCGCTGGTCGAAGGTAACTGCTGGTCGGACTGTAGGTCTCGGTGAAGCCAAAAGGTTCATAACAATGCTTGTCGCAATGTCTGTATAATAAGTATAGGCTATTGCTTGTATTGCTCACTGGAGGACTCCCAGAGCCCTCCGTAATGAATGACTATATACCTAACCGGTCCTGCCAGCTCGCCGTCGTTCGCCAGCTACCGTGGTCTACCCTCGATCGCCTGGGGTAGACGGCTACCCAAGTCTATCATGATCGCTCTCGCTCGCCGGCGATCCTGAGCTACCCGGGTCGTCCCCATGCGGCCGCCTGCAGCTTTCTCCCCTGCTGATTGGTTCTGCCTGTTTCCGTTGTGCCCCACCGGGTCTTGTTATATGGTTGGTTCGTAATAGAGGCCTTCTTCGCCTTGATGACGGGGAAGAATATCCAGGGTAGCTTTATAGGTGCTAGCCTTATACTATACAATCAAGAGAAGGTACTATCTAAGCTAGATGTAAAGCTCCGTATACCAACGCCCCTGAACTCGCAGGCCGGCATATTATAACCTTGGGTATTCCAAACGCTATACAACCCTCGAGAAGCTAACTTATAGTTAACGCTTATCAAGACTTGTATTGCCAACCATCAAAATAGCTCCCTAACTTCGATGTTGGCTGCTATGGACTAGCTTACCAAGGGTACGATGGGTATAATGCACTAGGTGGCCCTCCTTTAGGCAGAGGTGTCTTTGCTCTGCAAGGCTAACGAGGCGCTAAGCAAGCACCAGAGAGCCAAAAGAACACGCGTATAGCTTAGAGGATCGCTTATAGTATAAGATATAAAGGATCAACTAGACTAGAAGGCTATAGTTAGGGAGGTGGCGCAAGAAAAGGAGCAGGATAGTAGTAGTATAGGGGGGGCTTGTATAAAGGTTCGGTGCTATAGTATATACGGCAAGCCTAGCTATAATGCCTGTACATGCCAGGAGGTTGCAGAAGGGTCTGATTCAGCTATCTCTAATGTAATTTTAGTTGGTTCCTAGTATTGTTACGTTGCAATTGAGGATAGTTGTTATAGAGTAGTAGAGAGTATCTCGCTCGCTTATATATCTCGCTCGCTTATAAGATACGTTACCGGAAACTCCTTAACAAGTTGACTTCTTGGTCCGAATCGACGGTGCTAGGCAAGCAGATAATGATCAGATATATTATAGAAGCTCGTAAAGAAGCTATTATAGCCTATAACATCAAAGCAGGGTAGAGGGTATCCAGGTTATGGCCGGTCAATATAGCCGGGATTGACAAACAGATAGCTTACATATAAACCCCAGCACCTATTTAACCCTCCTAATCTTTGACAATAGCCGCCAACGCATTCCTTAGCACACTATAGAAGAAGTCAGATTTACATGGTCAACTGAACAGCCTGGCCATCCGGAAACAAGACCTCCCTATACGCAGGCTTTTATTCAAGAAGGTTGAGAAGGCTTTTGATAAGAAGGACTTCGAATTGGCTCGTTTACGACAGGAAAACGAAGCTCTGAAGGCATAGTTGGAAGCAGCCCGGCCGTCGAGGAGGAAGAAGGTAGTTCTTGATCCGAACAGCGTGTTCGCTTCGATTGAACAGATCCACCAGGCGCAGATTGAGTCCGGCCGTATAGATGACTCTATGGCTGAAGAGAGCGGGTCAGAAAGTGCAGAATCAGAGGTTTTCTGTATTGTGGTGGGTTAAATAGACTGCGATATACGGTGTTGAATAAGATGGGTGGGTTTGCGGGCTAAGATTTGCCAAGCGGTCCGAATCTGGGGTCGTCCAAATGGGGGGGGTCCGACTTATATTACTATATATATGAACATAAAAGCGGCCATTAGCCAAGATATATAGAGGAGGGTCACAAACGAGTTTAGTTGGCTAAGAGAGGGATTGCAACGCGTTTTAGTGAAACTTATAGTCATAACAAGGCAATAAATTTATACTATAGCAATGTCGGAAAACGGAGCTGAAAAGCAGAGTAGTGAAAACTAAGCGCAAACGCGTTCCCTACCGTTTCAACCATAGAAAACTTCTCAGTGTATGACCTAGATTCCTACTGAGTTAACAACTCGACCTAAAATGAAAGTGAAATACGGATCCGTACTAGTTCCGGATTTACGTTCTCGGCTCCCCTATAATAGCGACATCTTCTCGTCTTTATTGTTGTTCAAAGGGGGCGGTTTCTTGTCCTCAGAGCAACCAGTTCTAGACCCTTTTGAGCAGATAAGGAAGATTTATATGCACAACCCCCCTGAGCCTATAGTAGCAGATCTTCGACGCTTTCTGCAGCAGTGGTAACACAGATTCAAGCCACCACAGGAGAGCGAAACGCTAGTAGCTGGGCCGGGAAGCGCGGAGCGGCCGGGAGCGGTGATGCCAAGTCTCGCAACCTCTTTCTATTCGCCTTGAGCTCGAGAGCTGAAGGTTGGAATCCTGCCCAGTCCCTACTGTCCCGAAAACCATAAAATTACAAGGCTGTCTGCAGACTTGCCGGCGGGTGGTGCTGAGGTAGTACTCCGTACTAGCAAGGCAACGGATATTCTGGGAAGTGTAAACTGCATAATGGGTCGGACCAGTGCCGCCGTGGCTTGAAAGTTGACTGTTGAATGTATATCAGCTGTAGGAGGGGACAGGCCTTATTCATGGATCTATTATCTGTCACTCTGACACCTTGCGAGATGTCGCATGCTTCTTCGACAATCTGGACACTCTCGTTCTTCTCACGGCCTTGATCCCATTGCTTGGTTGCTATGGCAAGATTGCATCTGTGGTTCACCGGCTTCACTTTCTGTAAGTTGTTTTAAGCGGACGCATGCCGCTGTCCTCTATTTCTCCCCTGGATGCTTCTTCCTGACAACATCCCTTCTATCCAACCTTGGCCAACCGCCAGTCTTCCAACAGCCGTACATATGGGAGAATGCTGACAGTATGACGTTTATTTAGTGAGCTTGGTTGCAAACATTGTGTTTCTGCTCGGATGCGTGTCGCCCACCTTCGAGGACATCGCCCTCTACCGAGTCAACGTAACGCTGCTGGCAGAGGGGCTTCAGAAGCAAGCGTTCAATGACACCCGGGATGTTGCTGAGCTTCGCCCCTCCGACCTCCCTACCTACTGGTACTGGGGACCATCAGGTACGGACTCATTCCCTCACTCCACTACACTGTTGCGAGACTCCATCATACTGAATGAGGATACACATACAGGGATATGCGACGTCTACGAGACGGAGCATGAGGTCCGCTGTCGGCGCGCCTTACCACCCACGCAAGACCTGCTCACAATCGTCAAGCAGTCCGTTCAGGACCGCTACGGCAGCAACGAGAAGCAGCTGGTCGACAGGATCGTATCCTCGTGGAATGCTACGCTAAGCAGCCTCAGCCCCTCGGTCCTCCGAGATACGGAAGCCAGATTCGCCTCTCAAAGCAAAGCCAGCGTCGCCCTAGTCGTCATCGCCATCGTACTCGATGCCTCTCTTGTCCTTGCCACGTCGATATCCGACAGGTTAACCAGATGGCACTACTTCCCGCCTGCTATTACTAGCTTGATGTGCATTGCAGCTGGCACGCTCGGGATACTATCGATGAATGATGGTGTGCATAGGGCGGCCAATTCCAGTGAACATGGCGGCCCCGCCCTTATAGTCCTCTCCGTCGGAGCGGGGTTAAGACTTCTATCGGCCGCGGTGGGTTGCTGTTGCTGCGTGAGGTCCAGGCCGGAGTACAGAACCTCACCGTATCAGGAACCATGGGTGCATCACGAATCACGGCGGTATGAGATTGAGGAGCCACGGCCGTGTCACGAACCGCATGATAGTGTACCGCTTCGGATCGACACACGAACCAGGGAAGAACAGAACAAGGATCTCGGCTATAAAGGCGAGCTAGAGGTACTACTACTCACCCCCCGAAGGCTTTTTGTTTGATACTCCTCTCACTAATCTCCGTTCATAGATATACCAGTTGTTCGAATCACACGGTCTCCCGGACTGGTCCTACCACAACTGGACAAGCAGCCTACGATCGTGGCGGGGGCTGTTCCCGCGTTCGAGGGAGACGAATGGAAACGCGCAGACTTCACCTACACGGACGCGTTCGGAGCAATGGCCCGGGCGCTGGAGATCGAGGGAGTGACGCCGTACCCGAACTGGTCGACGGCAACGACGTACCATATCGAGGTGAAGTCAACCGAGGGCCCGCCCAGCAGGGTGTTCTTCGTCAGTGAGCTTCAAGTCAAAAATGTCAGTATAGCTGTTGAACGTGACAATGGTGCCTTGTGGTGGCGAGGTGGCTTAGCACTGACAATTGATATAGATACGCGGTCATCACAAACGCAGCGACAATGCTTACATTCTTGCCCACGTGTACGACATCGGGGGACGAGATCAACCTGGAGTTCGATGATTTCTGGATCCTTGGGGTCATTCCAAGCTCCAATTTGAAGGTCCGGAAAATGGACAGTACCGAGTAACAATCACGTAAGTAGGGTAGAACCCTGGGGATTACTAAGCTTCCTGGGCGAGAGCTAGCCAATCCGCTGACCAAATATAGCGGCTAATTCCGGGCGAGTTCTGGGAGGCAGCTCATGGCTGTCCCAGGCGAGCTTGGCAGCGATACCTCTGGCTTCCTAGCAAAGAGCTCCGGGCTGTTGTCGAACTAATGCTGGCGGTCTTTTCTGGGGTTGGCGTGTCCCAGGCTTATCTCCCTTCCACGTGACGGCGTAACCTCACGGCTTGCCTGTTTACGGCTCCGTAGTGAAGTGTCAGGAGAGGTGAATGGATACACGAGCACTTGAATTCACTATATATGCTTAACGTGGTGCTGAGGTCGAAATATGAGTCACTGGCCGGTAGCAATGAACAGGGTCAAACGGCTACTTAGCTATTGTTGACAGCTGTAAGAAGCCTTTCTCGCAGAAACTTCCATTCTACTGCATTGATGGGCGCTAACTCGTAGCCTATTGCCTCCGGCGTTGTTGGTTGCCGCATGCTGTAGAGGTGTCTTGTGGAAGTAACACAGAAGGCGATCCGAGCATCTGTTAGGGACCATTCAGTGACCTGGAAAACGAAGAACGGGAAAGATAAGGCATCAATTCCAGCAACCGTAGATGCTACATCTGGTGAAGCTGGATTTAGACTCCGCGGCTACCTCGCCTGGCCCTGATCCTGGTTTCCAACGATCGACTCGATGCGTCGGCGAGGGGGAGCCGCAATAAGTGTGCATGGCCAAGGCGGAACGAAGCGATCCGCATCACCACGTTGGTCCCTGTTCAGAGGTTGTTCTCGATCCTCCGAGATACCGGGGGCATGGTAATGCGGCTTGCTGCAAAATTCCACCACTCAAATTACTCTCCTTCACTCTAGATAGGAGGGCTGGAGACGGCTGCCCCGGCATCCGCTGCCCGACAGTCGCCGGTGCACAAGACTAGTAGACAGTAGCAGTCAAGATGTATAAAATGGACAAGCCTCATGACAAGGTGAAGTTTCTAACCAAGCCTGCCCCGGACACCTAAGCCTCCTTCGACTCCCACTTGCCGCCCACATCAAGGACGACACAAAATGGTGCCACACGCCACCCTCTCAGCGGCGCTTGTCAGTGCCCTGGCCACGACGGCGCTGGGCCACGGTATGGTCACGAGCTTCAAGACGGACGGCACGCTGCATCAGGGGTTCATCCTGGACTACTACTACGCAAAGGTCAACAAGCAGCCCGTCCCCGACATCGCAGCGTGGTATGCCGAGAACCTGGACAGCGGCTTTGTAGCCCCGAACGCCTACCAGACGCCCGACATCAACTGCCACAAGAACGCGTCGCCGGGCACGCTGACGGCCTCGGTCGCCGCCGGCGGCACCGTGACCTTCAACTGGCCGGCGACCTGGCCGCACCCGCACGGGCCGATCCTCACCTACGTGGCCAAGTGCACGGGTGGCGACTGCACCAAGGCGGACAAGAACAGCCTGCGCTGGGTCAAGATCCACGAGGCCGACATCGACCTGGCGACGCAGAAGTGGGCGTCGCAAGACCTGATCGACAGGGGCGGCGTCTGGTCCGTCACGGTGCCCCGCTCGATCGCGCCGGGCGACTACGTCTTCCGCCACGAGATCATCGCGCTCCATGGGGCCGGCTCGCTCAACGGCGCCCAGAACTACCCGCAGTGCTTCAATATCCGGATCACCGGGGCGGGTACCAAGAGTCCGAGCGGTGTGTTGGGCACGCAGCTGTATAAGAATACGGATCCGGGGATTTATTTCAACCCGTACACGACTATCAAGAATTACACAATTCCCGGGCCGTCGATGCCTGCTTGGTGATGTAACGGGCGGATGGGCGGACTTAGTTGGGAGATGGTTATACCTGAGGAGCAGGGAAGGAGTTTCGGAGGAGCATTGCTATATGTATATACATCACAGGAAGGAAGCTACTACATACCAAGCTTACCATAACCTCCATTCATCCGGGTGATATTGTGAACAGTGCTTACAGAAACCCAATCTTTTTCAAGTTGGGTACACCAATGGACGCAGGAGCGCTGGTCCTTTGATACACCGCCCAAGAGCGGTCGACGTAATAAGATTTGCTATATGAGTCTCGGCAAACCACCCACGGCGACATCTAGCCCGTTCGTTGGACACATCGGCGTGCGGTGGCGTCGTTGCCCAAGCTCGGTCGCGGTAAGCTTCGGACTGAGTTGGCCCGTCGAAGAGTGTTGCTGTAGTAATTGAACCGGAAGGCCTATGTGACAAGCATTAAATAGCTTATCTTGCACTTCCCTCTCAACAGTCTAGCGTTCGTTGATGGAGATTGAATGTCAATCCTGCTCAGGTAGTCTACTTTGTCCAGCAAAGCAACACCATCAAGCAAACTCATCTCCAACATCCAACCCTGCGCCGTCTAGACTCCAACGTCCCCCCTCCAAGCCTTCTTCCCAAGCAAAGTAAAAGAACACTACACACAATACAACCATCCCCAATTTTCTTTTCATCATCCCTTCAACAATGCCTCTCCTCCGAACAATCATCCTAGGCACCCTCCTCAGTCTCACAACCGCCGCCTCCCTGTCCCTCCCCGCCGCCTGCCCCGCTAACAACAACAACAACAACAACAACAACAACAACAACAACAACAACAACAACAACAACAAGCCCAACAACAACAACAACACTCGTGAAGTCTGCGGGCCGACGGTCTGTGCCGAGGGTCTGACCTGCTGCAACCCAAGCTGCGGATACTGCATCAAGCCCGGAGAAGAAGGAGGGTGCACCGAGGAGGTCTGCGGCGATATCGGAATCGGAACTTTCGGGCCCAAGTGCGGTCCCAGCGGCGTCGTGTGTGCGTTGGGCGAGGTGTGTTGTAATGAGAGTTGTGGGTATTGTGCTAAACCGGGGGAGGGGTGTACGACGGAGATTTGTGTGAGCTGAGAGGCGAACGGGGTAGTGTTGGATATTGAGGGTGTGCTTGAGCTTTAGTTGTTTGTTTGCGGGTCGTTATCGAAGTATCTACTACCACCTAGGAAATGGTGACTCTTGCTAGTAGTAGTAGTATGGTGAAAAGAAAGAGAGATTTGCCTGGCTGGAAAACAATAGGAACAGCCAGTACTAGGTAAGTATTTAGTGAAGCTGCTCCCCATAAATGGGCTTCCCAAAGGATATGCCCTCGAACATACTCCGCCGGTCTGGTCTATACTAGTACTACTCTATACACGCCTTGTACATGCTGACCATATTGCACTCTTTCCTCCTCTTAGCCTCTAGGACTTGGGGTGTTTCATCATCACACAAATAATAATTACTCCCCTTCAAATCAATCCAGCTTAGGTTGCTGCTGCAAGTCCCCAACCACCTTGCCCCCTTCTCCTCCTCCTCCTCCTCCGGCCTTTCTACTACCACTACTAATACTAGGACCAGTAGATCTAAAAGCCTGCATCAACCCAATCCCGACACGCGCACTGGCGCCCTCCTCAACCTGCTTGGCAAAAAACGCATCGCTGCCCGTGGCGCGGATCGAGCGCGAGCGCTCCCGCTCGGCCGGCGCCAGCACGTTCAGACTCATATTCGCGCGGCGGTTGGCCTCCATCTCCTCGAGGTGCTTGACGCGCGACAGGTACTGCTCGTCGCGCTGCCGGCGGATGTGTTCCGAGCTGCCGCCGACGACGCGGTCGAGCACGAAGTGCGCCAGCGCGCGCAGCGCCAGGAAGATGTGCTCGCTGACTAGGATGGTGAGCGGCAGTGTTGTCCACCACACATCTCCGATGGTGTTGTTGTTGTTGTTGGTGGTGTTGGTGTTGCTCGGAGGCGGACTACTAGTACTAGTACTAATACTACTACTACTGTAGAGGTGCACAATGGCAGCCGTCGAGATGCTCCCCGCCCAGGCGAGGCAGTCGAGCGAGACGATCCAGGGCCCGATGCCGTCGGTGCGGATGGGGGCCGGGCGCTGGTGCTCGCGGGTCAGCTTGAGGAAGTCGGTGCGCAGCTCGATGACGTTGTTGACCACGAAGCCGATCGAGATGAGCGGCCAGACGGGCGAGAACAGCGCGAGGAAGCCGAACTGCAGCACGATCTCGGCGATGTCGTCCTGCACGTTGTACGGCTCCAGCGAGGCCTGCCGGCGCGCGCTTTCCAGGAAGGCGAGCTCGTTCGGGTCGTCGTTGTTGTAGTTGTTGTTGTAGTTGTTGTCATTGTTGTTGACGACTGCTGCTACGGAGGGGAACTTCAAGTTGTTCTTGTTGTTGGAAAAATAATGATGATAGTAGTAGTGCCCGAACTTGTTGTTGCCCCGGTACCATTCTAGGAAGCGGCGCTTGAGAATCGGCAGCAGGTTCTCCTCGAAAAAGGAGGACAGCTGGCCGGTGACCGTCAGCGCCATGATCTCGGTGCGCAGCCTGTCGCTGTCGACCTCGTGGTGGGCAGTCTGTGCTTGCCCGAGGTATCGCGACACGCGAGCGCCGCCGAGCGTCCGGGCCAGTGACTCGAGCCAGGGAATCATCTGCTCGCCGAAGGGCACGTAGAGAAAGGCGGTGAGGAAGATGGGGAGGTAGTTGGTGATGATCTGCAGGAAGAAGAGCTTCTGCGTGCGCGACATGTCGTAGTAGTCCGCCGTCCGGTGGTTCTCGAAGTCGGTGAGGAAGGTGGCGATGGATTCGAGCTGGTTGTTGATCCGGGGTAGCGCGATGCCGAGCAGCACGGTAGGCACGTATTCCTGACGTTGTGTGAGTACTGCTAGCTTCAAGCTGGCAAGGCGGAATTAGAATTCAGAATAGCTTAGACACTCACGATGGCGTCCTTGTACGGACCGCTGTACCCGTCCGAGATCAGCGTCTCGAGAGCAAACACGCCCAGTATAATGACGCCCAGGGCGAACGTGGCAACGACCATGAACGGAATCTGCAGCAGCTGGCGCGCGACCTGCTTCCACTTGGGGAAGTAGTGCATCCTGCGGCCGGCGCTGTCCACAACGATCCGCTCCCACCGGAACTGCGGCCGCGTGACTTTGACCACGCCGACGCCCTTGACGTCCCACCGGATGCTGAGATCGACCTGGCGGATCTTCCAGTACTCCAGGAAGACGGTGCACCAGACCGTCGTGAGGACGGCGTACGTGGGCGAGTACGCGGGCAGAAACAGCCATGCGAGCAGGCCCGTGGCGGCGGGGAAGATGAGGAAGACGAGGTAGGTCTGGATGAAGGCGAAGTAGAAGGCCACCTTGGAGCCAAAGAGGTTCCGGATCTCGTCGAAGTCGCTGTCGGTCAGGAAGAAGCGGCTGTTCAGCCGTCTCAGCAGCGACAGGTTGGCCGGCTCGTTGTGCAGCGGGAAGATGCTCTCGACATGCTCCCACTGGCCCCATTTCGGGGTGATGCCGGCGCCTCCGTTGGACTTGGGCCAGTTGACCAGGTGGTACACGGACAGCACGTCCTCGGCTTCGAATGCACCGTCAACAGCGGTGTTCTTAGATCCGCCGGGATGCCTCTGGACAATGCCGTACAGCCAGTCTTTTAGTCTGGTAAGGGGGTGGTGACCGTATGAGCAACGCCGTCTGATGGAGGATATTGGGGAGGCCGAGACGTACCGGGAATCATAGACGTAGCTGCCCAGAATATTCCGCGGGGCTTTGACAAAGACCAGGAGTGTCTGGTCACGACCGGGCCTCACCTCGGTTTGAAGACCGACAGATTCGAGATCCTGGGTGAGGATGGTGATCTCCTTGCTCGCGACGTCCGGGTCTAATTACATCAAGTACAGTAAGGTCAGAGCTCCTGAGGTTGCTTCAACCCCCCCTACTCACTCCCTTACTTACCCACGTCTTCATAGTTGTAGACAACGACATATTTGTCGTTGTATGTTTGCCCCTGGCGTGATGTCGACGGCTTCCGTGTAGCCGGAGGCGGCTCCATCACAGCGCATTACACGAGACGACAAGCGCCGTGTCCGGTCCAGGAACAGGTGTCCGCGATAGTAGAAAAAGGTGTCGGGGTTCCGGACAGAGCTCCGTGTCGTCGGCTATTGGTGCGCTAGCTTGATAGTGTATGTACTACGTAGGTAAGGTATGCATGTACAATGGGACAAAGAAAAGGAGAAGAGAATACTAGGAGGGAGCCAAACTGACCTTGAAGACGTGTCAGCAGACCCACCATGTGGAGATAACTTCGATCTACAAAAGTGGTGGAGGCCGCCAAGTTGCAATTGCTTGTCAGTGCTTGTCTCAATCTCGTTGTAATTATTGCAGATTATTAGAGGTGCAAATACCATTCGATTCGGAGGATCCAATTGAAGACAGGGAAAGGTGAGAGAGCGGCTACAGCACACATGCACTTTTTGGGAGAAGACGCATCTTGAGCGGATGTAGGCTGGTGAAACCTGCGCCCCTTTCGGAACCCATAATACGGAACTTCGGCACCTATGTGATGATCAGTGATCTTGGCACGTTGCTGTAATCCTCGAGTTCAGAACCGCCACAGGAACAGGAGCCCATCCAAAGAAAATGGTTGAATTTTCGATGTTCAGGAGCTTCAGAGTTTGCAGAGACCTTGCTGACCTTGCATAGATATACTGAGTGACATTGTTCTTTAGAGTCTTAGACGTAGTGCTCTAGTCAACCCTGGCCGGGCGACTCTTTGATAGGGCTCGAAGAAAAGACCTTGCTATGCATCGTTGTCCAGCAGCAGGATCTTCTTCTCCGTTACCTGGACCATCACACTATTATTGAATATGCCGTGAATATGCCATGGACTTAGCATCCACTGGACAGGAAGAAGAGAGATGCCGTCGGAAGGAGACTCCTGCCATTGCCGTCCCTCTACCAGCGCTCCTCATACAGTGCCGCATTCCGAAGCATGGCAGCAGACACCTTTGGTTGCTATATCAGCGAAACGTGACTACGTTGAGAGAAACCCGGCAGGGTTTATAAGACAGGAAGTTACACAATAGAGTCAGGGGAAGGCTTATAGGTGCCGGGAAACGTGTAACAACTGACAACTTCTTCCTCACCAGCTGTCTGGCTACCTGAGCCTTTAGCGGCTGCTATAACATAAGATGCAAACAATAGAAGCGTGAGCACGGTCAGAGGCAGTATGTGGTCGTATTCGAAGGGGAATAGTTGTTACACATCTTCTCTCGCATCCACTACTAGTAGCTCAGGAGCCGGGAAATCCACAGACCCTCCGTCCGGCGTAGCGAAAATGTCTTACAGACTTAGAGGCGGCTTTCCGCTTCGAGCAAAGACCGACACGCTCGAGTCGTACGGCATCGCCCGATATCCGCCCGCCAGAGGAGGCTGATTCGAGTACCCGCGGTCGAGGGACTCTGTTGGGAATGGCCAGCCTATGGAGGGCCGGGAGGTATGGTCATGGGATCAGCGGACAGCGGTTTGAGGACATCATCGTGGGACCGCGTCGCGAAGAAGGTGTAGAGACACTTGATGACAAGGAGGCGCTGCTTTGAGATGTTGCGGTGGATGCTCGAGGTTTGGCCTGGTGACCGGCCGAGTGCTAAGGAAGTTCTGGAGACGGCGTGGATGAGGAGTCGGGCGATTCCAGACTGCGAGAACCCTCGTTAAATTAGGTACTCCGCCTAATGACTGATTCTCTGAGTAGGAGCTTGTCGTAGGAATAACTTTATATATGGAGTCATCGAGTACGACATGGCAACGATGAGGACTGCAGAAGTCAATGAAGTTTCAGTTCTCTAATGGAGTAGGGATCCACCTCGAGGCGACGACGATCATTAGGCTATGGACGGATGCTCCGAAGCAATGCGGGTCCAGTGTGTCCGGGTACCATACCCTCTAGAATCAGCTGTATTTAGAGATTCGCGCACCGTCTCGGCACGGCGGTTTCAACGATCGCGGCCACTGACGATGTTGACTGTGTGGTTCCTTCGGTTTGCTCACCGGTTTTGTGAAATGAGCGTGCATGCCTGCCCGATCGTGTGACAGGTGCGCCTCGGTATGTGGCTGGCAGCTGGCCAGGTAGCTAAAAATGCGAGACTCGGATCGGTTGGTCAGAAAGAAGGAAAAGGTCGAAGAGGGGCTGGGGAGCATTGAGGGGTTAAGGTGCATTCTGCACCGTGCGACTTCTTCAAAATTCGCACATATTGCTCTGTAACTGCGCAGCGCCGCAGCCTGATGGCACGAAGACCAAGTGGAGCCGAACGGGCTGACCATAATTCGGGTGAGCTGCGTGAGCAGGGAATCTTCAACACACTGTCTGCTCAGGCTCAATAACTGATCAAGGTGCACATAAGAGACATAAGATTTTGCACCTACAAATGGATCTCGTGGTCAATTCCGGTATCATTATCCGCATGGAGAACTACACATCGGTTTAGGACGCTGCCACCTCGGATATGGTCCCAGAGGAACTGTTGGGCCGAGTAATACACCGTGCCGAGCGGTGAAGGGCGGTGTCATGTGAGGTGGCAAGCACGCCAAGAGGTGCACGGAGTGTTAGGCTCTCATCGGCTGGAGTATTTGTTCCGTTGCCTATGTGGATGAAGGCAAGAGGGCTCTCGTGATAGCAACGCGGAAGGGAACTTACGGATGGCCGGGGGATACACGATGGACTGATTGGAGCGTAGTAGTTCAGTCCCAAGCAGGCAGGAGGGTATACCGTATAGGGCTTCCAGTCGGCTTTGTGTATCGTAGCTTTGGATGACTTGATGAGCGGATCATGTGAGTGGTCCTTTTACGTAGTACAATACCCCTTGAACACCGTAACTCCTTTGCATCTTGTGTCTCCATCCCTCGTCGTGCTCTTGAGATATTGTTTCCAATCTCTTCACCGCTTGGTCTTGCAGAACGGTTGGTACGTCTACTACATCGCCTTTTTCCAGCAATTAGTGTACCAGAGATTCTAATTTTCAAGAATTTGGATTAGGAATTACATATTGCTGGCAGGATAAAAGGTTCTTTCCTTTGCTCAACTTGTCTTTGGCGGAGATAGCAGTAGTAGTAGTCCCACTATGATGATATCTACTGTTATGTGAAAGCGACCTTGACAACGGTTATTGCTACTCGCGGACTAGCCTGAAACGGAGAGTGGTGTAGGCTGGGATCAGATACGTGGATCGATTCAAGTGGAAGGGCACGAAATCTTCGTCTGTAAGAGATGTGGAAATGCTCATCTCTGACTGCGTCTCGTCGTATGGTCATGGCAGTAGTGCTATGCAACTGGTAGGCAAGTTACACTCGGCGTAGACACTGCATGCTAGTGCTACTGAGACTCGAGTCACAGCAGAGAGGACTCATATTCGTCCACACTTATATCTTCTGAGGTCGCGCTGTATTGCACCCCAGAGCCCTTAGCTTTTGATTTCTAGTTAGTAGTACTCAAATCTCTTACGCGTTCAAACTACCTAACTGCCAAGGCTCTATGATGACGTTCCTTGCGCTCGCCGTCTATGTGATCATAACATCGTGAGCTCGTCACCGTTCTGTCTTTTATCTTCGCTTGCAACCATACTCCGACTCCTGCACGACTAAATCCAAACGATCCACACCGGCACCTACCACTCGCTATCCCCTTCCGAATCACTATAATGCGCCGCGTCCCTGGGTCTGCCGGAGTAAAGCGAGATACTCTCCCTGACGGGGGCTATATCCCTCACCTCGACATCATCATCCCACCTCACCCCTCGTCTAATCCCACTCCTCAGCTCCCGCTTCCGTTCCCGCTCCGCCTCCCTCCTCCACCGCTCCCGCTCCCTCTCCCGCTCCCTCGCCCGCTCCCGCATCTCCCTCCTCACCGCCTCTTCCTCCCTGTTCCCCATACCAGTAGCAGTAGTGACATACCTCACCCCACCACCACCCAGAGTAGAATCCCTCCTCCGCCTCCCAGGTCCGAGCGCCGATCTCACCGACCGCGCCGGCAGTGCACCACCACCACCGCTAGTACTACCACCATTGGCGAAGTCCTCGCACTCAGCACAGTACTCATCCGACACGAGCCGGCGACGGGTCCAACAGCCCTCGCAGATTCCAACGGTGATGCTCGTCCGAGTAGTCGTGACCGTGGTGGTGCGCGGCTCGTCCAGTTCCGAGGACGAGTCGGACGAGGGCAGGATCATCACCGTGTTGCGTGAAGACGGCCCCGGAGGCGGGGAGGGGCTCCTCTCGGCGGAGGAGCGGGTGAGGAAGCGTACCCTTGGGCGTGCTAGTGCTGGTCGTGATGGCGGTGGTGGTGGTGGTGGTGGGCCGGGACGGCGGCGCCTGTCGTCGTCCGGTGGAGGAGGGTCATGATATGGGTAGGTGAGGGTGTGTCGTCTGATACTACTACTGCTGATATTGGATCTGCTGATGGGCCCGTTCCCGTTTGGTCCGGGAAGAGGAGCGCAGGTGTGCCCCCCCTGGGACGGGTTGGGGCAGGCGCAGGTCTGGTGGAAGTGGACGGGGCCGTAGTTGAAGTTGATGTTGAGCGGACGGTCGGGCTGCTCGTCGATTATGCCGTTGACGATGCGCACCTCCACGTCCCCTTCGCCGCCGATGATGCGGTCGTCGGGACGGGAGGCTGAGTTCAAGTTGCGTGGCCGGCGGGGCCGGTGAGGGTCGTCGAAGCCCCGGATGTGGGCCAGGGGCGGTGGCCGGCGCGGGCCACGGATGTAGTCTGTGAATTCGCTGCCATAGCGGGCCATATTTTGTTTCTACCTGCAGTCGGGTGTCTGAGTCGCGGTGGCGCGATGACGGTTAGGACCCCCGCCCCGGGTAAGGTTCCGGCGAGCTGAAGTGGATGAGCTGGGAAGAAAGTCTTTGGGAAAGCAGAAGCACCAAATCTCAAGCAATGCATGCGTAAACCACATGCAGAAAGGTTAGGCAGGGCGCCACATCACAATCTCACTCGTCTCGAGCACAAACACAGAGCCTCCATTTTGCCCGGCTTGGGTCTGTGAAACCGTCCCAGAAGTTTGGTGAAAATGTGGGCGCCGAGTGCGACCAACGGCCCCATCACGCCAAAAAGCAGGGGTTACGATAGGCCCCAGCCTCAGCCACTATGCAACCGTACCTGATCTTTTGGATTGTGCAGGTGTTGGTTCCGCTTATTATTACTGTAGTTAATGTTAGTAGCCCAAAAACAACTTGCAGTACGGATACTTGAGCGTGTACAAGACCTGGTGCCTGGAATTGGGCACGAAAACAAAACGCGAGATAATCGCAAGGTGTCCACCCTAATGAAACAAAGTCGTCTTCTCTGGTCACCTACTCACTCTTCATAGCCGTGTTTCACCAAAGCATTAACGACTACCTGCCATACACTACCGCAGATAAAGCCATTATGAAACCCAGACGGGTCCAAAACCCGGCACACCTCTTGCCTCGAGCTCGTAGACCACAGAACCCGTCACGGGCACTCGCCTATTCCATAATCACGGCAGACACGGCCCAATCCCGCGACCCGTCGCGACCAAGACCACCTTCTTGAACAGCGGCGCGACGGCCAGCACCCCTCTGGCAGGCGTGCCCACGTACGATGCGCGCGCCGTCCAGTCGCCGTCACTTGGACACTAGGGCTAGCGAGGTCCAGCCTGCGAAGCGGTGCTTCCACTCGAAGTCTCGAACTGGTCGTGGACCTTGGCGCGGACGGATGGACATGCTATGGCGAGGATGGCGAGGAGCAGGGCCAGAGTCAGATAGGTGAGGACCAGCACCGCGGCCCTTGGATCTTGTACTTGTGCTCATCGCCTTCTGTTGCAGCATGCAGAGGTCAAAGGCATAAGCTGGTCTGAATTCTGAAGAAGTGTGTTAAGGAAGAAGCCCCAGATGTGCCCAGCTAAGCGAGAACTGGCTTATGGGTGCGGTCCTTCCAAGACCTCTTGCAGCCGGTTGGTCATCGCCCGAAATCCATTCGGATGACGAGCCAAAGCGCAATGATTCGAAATCGGACTTGCTGCCTATTTATATTATCCAGCTCCCTGCAGTGCGACCTGCGTTTTCTAACAAGCCACCACGACCGGACCTGCACTCACCCGATGGGGCGATAACTGGTTCTTTTGAACGGGAGCTAGTTCGCAAGCTGCACCGGGCTTCAGCTCTGCCCGAGACATCACACTGCAGAAACCCCCTGCGAGCAGCCCTCAGCCCACCAATTACATTGGAAAGAAGAACAACTTCCTCCGCTGCACCTGAAATGCGGATATGCGGCCGTGGGCCGTGGCGGCCTCATCTGGCCGAAATCTCCATCTAGAGGATCTGTCTACAATGGTTGGCAAATAAAACAATAAAACGCGGGTTTGCCTCTGCAGGCGGCCCTCGAAAAGGACGCCGAGCGAGTAGACTGGCTAGTAGTGGGGAGCTGAACTCCTGCATACCACCCACTCTCTCCTGCGGTTACGACTCAACGAGTCGAAGCATGTGCTCCCCGTTCAGCGTCCGAGGATTTTCAGTTATCGTATAAGAACCCTCCTAGCTTCCCAACTCCTGAGGCCCCTCGCTCCATCGAGACCTGACTTTCACATCCTCTGATTCCTCTCTCCCTGGATCTTCCATACCAACTTGAAGTTATCCTACCTGTGCTCTTCTTTTAGGAGGCGCAAAACAACATGGCTTCAGCTACCGTTCGCCTCGCCGACGTTGACCGCTCGGCCACGGACATGATCACGTTCGACGACTCCAAGCTCGCCAAGGTGAAGCCCGGCCTCGCTGCGGCCGAAGGCTTCAACCTCTCGCCCTCGCAGCTGCGGGACATCTTCGGCATCACGCCCGAGGCTTTCCAAGAGATGCCGGCCCGTCTCGTGGTCCCAGACCTCGCCAGCCACCAGGCCGACGACGGCTCGTACCAGGTGACGGGCTTCCTCTATCTCGTCGAGCCCGTCGAGTGGGTGCCGCGAGTGCACCGCGGCGCCACGGTGCCGCTGTCGGCGTTGAAGCCCAACTTCCAGGAAAGCCAGCCTGTCGCCGAGTCGCAGTTCAACACGCCTGGCATTGCCGCCCAGCTTGCCACCAAGGCGGCGACGACGGGCTTGTACCGAGACACCAAGGCCGAGCCGCTGACGAACAAACCCATCCCCAGCAGCCTCTCCGCGTGCCCCATCCACCAGCTCACCGTATTCCCTTTGCTCCGCGTCCGCGCGCTAAAGCGGCAGCGGATCGATCTCCACGTCGCCACTTCCGCGGCCGGCGGGAAAGAGGATCTCTGGTGGGCCAACAGCGACACCCCCGGGTACTGGGACAAGGTGGGCGTCTCCGCAGGCCGCGTTGCAGACGTGATCGACTTCCAACTGCACCCGATCCCGCTCAATGGCGACCCCGAGGTGGCGCAGCTCGTCTGGATCCTGCCGGTCCCTCAGTTTTCCGCTGACGCTAGTGACGGCGAGCTCAGCGTCACGACGCTTGTCAGCCGGTCCGGCTGGCACCACTGGTACATCTGGGAGGAATGCCCGTGGGAGGCTGCTACTGGTAGTACCGATGATCAGGGGGAGCTGTTGCTCGTGGCAGCGCCGCAGAATCAGGCCGCCTTCAAAGCGGCGACGGTCTGGACACCCTTGCCAACGGTAAGTCGAAACATTCGTCATTCTCCATTTTCCCCAAGTTCAACTATTCCCTACATGCGAGCGAAGGATAGCCTGCCATCAGTATACTCAGTGGTTATTGGCAATGGCATCCAGGCTCTTGCTGCCACGGAGGAGACCACCACAGAGGTGAACGTGGTTAACCCTGTGCAGCGAGCGTATATAGGTTTCTTCTAAAAGTTGCTAACAATCGCAACCAGGCTCTCACTGCCACGGAGGAGATAACCACAGAGGTGACCGTTGTTAACCCTGTAGTGCGAGGGTATCGGGGTTTCTACTAGAGGACTCAAGTCACCGAGGTGGGCGACAAGCTGGGACCGTGAGACGGGATGCGGTAGTTTGTAATGTCGAGCACATCATGTATGAAGTTAATCGCGCAGCCCCTCGAAGCGATCAACGTGTTGGATTGGAACAGTGGCAACAGTGATCAATTCTGTGGTTGCCGGTGGTTGAAAGGCTCGAGAGAAGAGGCGAGAGCCTCCGGTTCAAATCTGATTGCTCGATTCCCTGCTTATTGGTTCGCCATGGCGCTATGCGACCGGTGCGAAGACATCGAGTTCGCCGAGACGCTCGCCAGATCGATCGCGAAAGACTCTAACAGCGTTGCTGAAGGCTGGGTGCACTCCGAGACGTTCGCTCGGCTCGGTTCCAGCGCCGAAACCTACGAGCTCTGCTCCATCCTGCTCGGCGCCGCCTAGCGGCGTCGCCGGCTAGCAATCCCTTGGTCCGCGACGATGATTGCGTCTACTTTCTGACCTTGACGCACGCCCGCTGGCCTTGCCTCAGGCCGTCATGGCAGAGTCCGATTCCTATCGCGGGTTTCACTGTCCAAATCGGCAACAACGGCACCAATGTCCTGCACTGTGTCAGGCGAGCCAACGTGCGGCGTGTGAATAGACCAGGGTGGGGACGAGCGATGACAGTCTCATGTAGCAGCAGCTCACCTACATCTCCCAGGCTGACCCACCGTCTTGAAGAAGCTCATCTCGGCCCGTTCCGTTTGCTCAGCGTGGGACCCGAGCATCTTGCGGCGCTGGCTTGACACATGTATACACGGCCACGCGTCCTGCAGGCGCCCAGCTCCTGCACTTGACGCTGGACGAAGAGCCGCCAGAACTGCCCACGCGCGTTGTAGGCGTGGGCTCTGCCGACCCGGTCCGTCATCCCGTTCTTGTCGAGCCCCTGGGCCGTAAGCACCTATATGTCGCTCTGAGCCACTGTTGCGGCCCAACAACCTCCTCCGTTACGAAAACAGAGCGCGACGACAAGCAGCGCCGTATGCAAGGGACACCCATCGACGAGCTGAGCACAAACTTCCGGCACGCCGTCGAAGTCACATGCGCGCTGGGCTATCAGTAGCTCTGGGTCGATTCGCTTTGCATCGTCCAGGACGACTCACAGGACTGGGCCGTCGAGTCGGCCAAGATGGTCGGGTTGTACAGCCTGGCGTCGCTGACTATCGCCTCGGCTGTGCTGGACCAGCCGTTCCGACGCCAGTGTGTTTGCGCAGCAAGCAAAACTCTGTGCGGTCTCCGTCCGGCACGTCATGGCGCGCTGCTGTTGTTGCAGGACAGGGGTGACGACACGTTCACGCGGGTCAGGGTCGCCCAAATGGGCGGCAGCAACGCCAATGATGCGCGCTGCAAGGACGCGCCGTTTGCGCAGCCGTTCCAGGTCTTCTTTTACAATGCGCCCGTGGTTGAGATCAGACTTATGTGATGATTTATGGACGTTGCCAATGGATGATGGGGCTGCGCGGAGAGCAGGTGCAACCAGCGAGTTCTCAGTTTCGAAACGAAAAGGAGGAAATTTCGTGCCCAGATTCGTCTCATACAACCAGGCTATTGTAGACCTTAGACACAGTAGACTATCACAGGCCGTACTGTAGGCCAAAGTCGTAGCGATTATATGGCCTCATCATTCATGTGGCTGTAGGTTCTAATTACTAAGTTGATTCATGTAGACTCATTGTCAAGAAAAATCGAATGCAATTACTCCCGCTACCGTATTGCTCACTCTTAATCTCATCATCCCATACTATTACACTACATGACGCCGCTAATTGCAGATCCTCCACACTATCCGTGCCAAACTTCGAACATGCGTGCCATACCGTATTGTCTTTAGTTAATCTGAATCCTCTTGCCAGTCTTCTTCTCCGCCTTGGGGACGGTGATGGTCAAAATACCGTCCTTGAACTTGGCCTTGACGTTGTCCTGGTCGATGCCGGCAGGGAGGTTGAACGAGCGCGAGAACTCGCCATAGGACCGCTCGCTCAGCCAGTATCGAGGCTTGGACTTCTCCTCGCCGCCTTCCTTACTCTCCTTGTCCTTATTATTAGTCACGGCAGCCTCCTTCTTGCCACCATCGACCCCCTCAATCTTCTTCTGCTCAGCCGGTGCCTCGAGCAGGCTGGCGTCGCCTTCGGTATGCGTGCGCTCCGAGCGGCCGCGCACGAGGAGTGTGTGGTCGTCGGTGAACTCGATCTCGACGTTCTCGGGGGACACGCCCGGCAGCTCCCCCTGCAGCACATACTCCTTGGCGTGCTCGGCCACGTCGAACTTGGGCGTGAAGGCCGAGATGCTGGTGCCGGTGCCCTGGGCGGCGTACCGATCAAAGTCGTCCAACAGCCGGAACAGCGACGAAAAGCCGGGCGCTGGCGTGTGCGAGGGTGAGAAGTGCGGGTGTAGCAGAGACATGTTGTTGCGCCGAGTTGGCTTGAATGTCTTACGTAAGATTAGTGAGGATGGTTGTTTCGGTCTGAGCGCTGAGAGCGTTGCTGGAAGTGTTCGTGTTCGCGATAGAGTTCGTGATGCCTGCATGTTTGGTGCTCAACTCAACTGCCTTGGTGAGCTGGAGGTCTTTGAGTTTATATCCTTTTTTACGTTACTTCACCGACTCCTCTGGAATACTCTACACCTGTGTAGAACACTCTACTCAGACGCGGTTGGTTGTTATGGTACCATCTAGTTGGCGGTAGAAACGCGTACATGATGTCACAATGAGTTACCTATAGAACAGTCTCGACTCCTCTGCATATCACTTGCTCAGCAAATGATCAGACCGTGGCACATGCATGGATATATGAGATCCAACCATATAATGCATCAGTTTCATCCTTGTTAATGTCGTCGACGTGTCGGAATGCGCAGGCATCTCTAGAACCGTGCCCCGCCGAGAGCTGCTTGTTGAGAGCATTGAATGGGTGGCGACTTCGCAGAGTCTCGAGAAACATCCGTGATCACCTGATGATCGACAAGTAACGCCATTCACGATATTTCTGCCTGATGATTTCGGCTGCAGCCACCAATTATGGGAGCCGAAAGCTGACGACCGGTATCCGTATGTTGATGATGAGAGGCGTTCGCAATTTTCCGCGTCCGTTCAACAAACGAAAAGTAATGAATCGAGGACAGAGCAGGTGTCATTGTAAATGCACTGACATGGGCCTGGGACTGAAGTCACGTGACACTATCGGTGATACCCCAGTGGTGGAATGGATCTTCTTTTCCTACCTACTGCTCAGTAAGTTTCTCGGGTACTCGCTATGTACAAAAATCGCCCGGACCCCCAAGTCACGGGTCTTTTGGTCGCCTTTGCTGCACATACCACAGTAAGGTATAGAGTGTGTGGGTCGGTCCGCGGAACCAGTCCGCTTTTTTCTTGGTCACGGGGGTACACTACGGAATAAGCCACCTCCCGGGCCGCCCCTCATGAGGCGAGTGTTCTTAGTCCCGCGGTTGGCACACATCGGTTCTTAACCGAGAAGGAAACTGCAATCAACAACGCAGAAAGCTGAAATGCTCGTCCCAAACGCCCGGATCTGATTGTACCGCAACCGCAGTGGCGTCAATTGATCGACGAATTATGTGGAGCGAAACTAACATTAGCAACTTGTGTACAGGCAATGATCGGCGAGGGACAGGCGTCTCGTCGTTCTGTTCCTCAGCTTTCGGGTCTCGACCATCGGTGTTCTTGCTCAAGGTCAAGATTGGGAATCGCTTTCCCCATCCCCGGAGCCATTGAGCCGGTGTGCCCAACAGCCGCAGGTGACATCACAGCGAACCGCGGATTGATCCCGGCCGCCTTTTCACTCTGGTCTTCAGAGGACCCACTCAGCACTGGACCAGTGGACCGGTAGGCTGAGTTAAATTTACTGTAGATGGACGCGATCTAACCTGAATTGGCTCTAGTGGCCACTCGTGACACGAGTGAAAGCGGCTTTGAAAGCCAGCAGACCTTTTAACTCCGGCGTTTATTATCGTAGTATTTTATCGGTTAGATCTTCGAGTCAGTCTAATGTATCTAACTGACTCGCCACGGGACCCCGCACCCAACCGGAACACCGCGATCGAAATCTCTAGGAAGGTCCAGAACAGCGACAGAGGCGGGCAATCAGGCCCGCTGTCACGTTCTGCCCTGGAAGTTGCGCTGGTGGAGGAATTTCATTCCCTGGCAAACACGCGCCGCACTGCCGCACCATCGCACCATCGCATCATCGCACAGGTCAGACTCGCGGACATCAAGCCCGACTCCATTGTTGCATTGTTGTTTGACTGCGCAGCGACCGACTGCAGCAACCGAGCGACGAGGCCGAAACCCCCGAGGTGGGTTTCCACGGCCGACCATGCACCGAGATTCCAGCCCCCCCGCATCGGCTGCTGGACCCGACCTTGGCCTCATCTTCGACCGCTCTCCCCTCGCTCTGCTCACTCTCTCGTCGTCGCGGTGTATAACGAGGGCATCTCCCCGCTTCCTGACGGGCTGGCGTGTAGCTGCCGCCGACTGTGTCGGCCAGCCGCTGCTTCCGTTCATCGAGGAACAGCTACTGCCACTCGGAAGACCCACCTACCTTGCCCACCTGAGCGCCGCAATTGACGGCGCCATCGCCTCCCGCGCCGAGCGCACCAGCACACCCATCAAGACAAGGCATGGCTCTTCTTGGACCGCCCGGGTAATACCCGTCTTCGACGGCGACGAGCTGCTGTCCGTCATCCTCGAGTGGCGCGAGGGTTCGCCCAGTTCATCGGAGGAAGAGCCGGTTCAAGGCCTCTCAATCGACGAGGCCTTTCGCATATTTGTGCAAGGCGTGAAGGACTATGCCATCTTCCTTCTGGACACGAATGGCTGTATCGCCACATGGAATACCGGCGCCCAGCTTCTCAAGGGATACACGCGGGATGATATCATCGGGAAGCACTTCTCCATCTTCTACAGCAAGGAGGATGTCGAGAACAAGAAGCCTGAGATGGAACTGGAGATTTGTCTGCGAGAGGGTCGGGTGGAGGACGAGGGTTGGCGGTATCGGAAGGATGGCCGCCGCTTCTGGGCCAACGTGGTCATCACGGCCGTCTACAGGAATGGTGTGCATGTCGGCTTCGGCAAGGTCACGCGCGACCTGTCAGAGCGCAAGTCGACCGAGTCACGCCTCATCGCCGCGTACGAGGAGAGCGAAAAGCTCAAGTCGGATTTCCTGGCCAACATGAGCCACGAGATCCGTACGCCCATGCACGGCATGTTGTCGGCGTGCACCCTGCTCCTTGACACGCCGCTATCGGCGAGCCAGCGTGACATCGTCAGCATCATGGACGAGTCCGGCCAGGTCCTGCTGCAGGTTATTAACGACATCCTCGACTATTCCAAACTCACCTCTGGCAGCTTTTCGATCCACTCCGACGTTGTCGGCGTCACGAGCATCGTCACCTCGGTGGTCCGCAGGATACAAACCACTCTTCCGCCGTCGGTACACTTCGAGCTCTTCCTGTCGCCTGATCTCCCTCGGTCGGTGCAAGGCGATCCTCTACGCTATCGCCAGATACTCCAGAACATAGTTGGGAACGCGGCCAAGTTCACCGAGAGGGGTAGCATCCAGATCAGAGCCTCGGTGGAGAGCGACGACGAGGACAACTGTACGATCCTGACCGAGGTGACCGACACCGGCATCGGGGTTCCAGAAGCGGCTGCCACCAGTCTATTTACACCCTTCACCCAATTCGACGCCACAACCACCAAGCGATACAAGGGTGCCGGCCTGGGTTTGTCGATAGCCAAGTCACTCACTGAGCTGATGGGCGGCAGAATTGGGTACCGGCCCAACCCCGAGCGCCACGGCAGCGTGTTTTGGTTCACAGCAAGGTTCAACAAGATCAAAAGTCTTGACCAGGTGCAAAGCTGGAGAACGACGATGCGGGGGGAATATAGAACCGGTACACCCCCGCCTGATTCCGACCTCGAGAATCTCCGGGAGGAGCTCAGGATGGTGTCTTCGATAAAGAACTTGCTCGTGGTCGAGGACAACCTGATCAACCAGAAGGTTATCATCGGCATGCTTCGTTCGCTCGGTTTCAAGAACATCGGCCTAGCGGTCAATGGCAAAGAAGCGGTTAAGATGGTGCGCGGAAAGCCGGCTGCCTATGATTTGGTGCTCATGGACATCAACATGCCGATTATGGATGGGCACCAGGCGACGAGGCACATCCGTTCGGGCGGCATCCTCGTACCGATCGTCGCCATGACGGCATACGCACTGAAGGGCGACAAGGAGAAATGTCTGGATCACGGCATGAACGACTACATCACAAAGCCGATCAACAGGGCGCGCCTGATCACGGTGCTTGGCAAGTGGCTTCTGCGGACGGTAGACTATCGCAAGACCTTCGAGGAGCGGCTTTCTGAGCTCAGGCGTCATGAGGAGGCAGCGGCGCGGGAACATGCCGAAAGGCAACGGCAGACGGCAGCCTTCGCCAACGGGGTGGATACGCCACCAGCTGATTCAGTTGCGCCGGACGCTGAGAAGTTTACATCAACAGTTGGCCCGGTCTTGCCAAAGGCGGAGTCCGCGGTTGAGGAGCCTCAACTGCCGCTTGTGCCAAGTGGATCGTCACCAGCTTTATCCGGCTTGTCACCAGCGTTGAGCCCGGATCCAACCCAGCAGGAGAAGGAGGCATCACCTGCGGTGGAGGCGAATGATATTGCCAGCCGACAGGCTACAGAGCTTATGCGTGGATTCGAACCTGCCGCGGTCCACGAGGTCCATCAGGACAGAGAGGCCGAGGGGGACAAGGAGGTCAAGGACGGCAAGGAGGGAAAGGAGGAAAGTGGGGTGCAACAGCCAACTTTCACGGCCGAGATCAACAAGGTCAACGAGTTGCAACAACCGAACCCATCGACTCCGTCAAAACGAAAGCACGATGTCCACGAAGTTTGTTATGTCAACGAGGCGGGGCAATCGTCTTCCATGACGCCGTCAGAGGAAAAGGGAAAGGACAATGGCCCCGTAGTCAACCATGTCAACGCGATGGCCCAATCGTCTTCCACAGCGCCTCTCGAGCAAGAGCGCAATGCTACCGCCGCCAAAGAAGTCAAGGAATTGTCACAACCAGCTCTCATCACCGGGGTCAATAACATCGAGGGGTCTCAACTACCATTGCTCACGGCAACACCACAACATAAGCCAAATGCTCCTAGAGAGATCGAGGAGCTGGGCCAATCACGTTCCACGACGCCATCGGAGCAAAAGCAGAACGCCAGCGAAGCCAAGAGGGTTACTGAGCTGCAACCATTGGCTCTTACTGCCGAGATCAAGCAAGTTAAGGAGCCGCAGCAACCAGCTGTTACGGCGCAGTCCGAGACAAAGCACGATGTAACGGAAGTCAAGGAGGTGATAGCGATTGAGCCATCATCCCTCACCAGGTTTCCCGATGCAAAGCACAATGCCACCAAGGTTAATGAGCTTCCCCACGACATCACGCCTTTCGAAGAAGAAGCGTGCTCTCCGACGACTAGTAGAGACAGTGGGCGACCACCGGAGGTGGACAAGGCTGAAGTGGCCATGCATCCGATAATGGATGAAGGCGGGGGCAGCGCTGGCTAGACGTTTTCCCTTCTCTCCTTTATAAGCATACTTTCCGTCTTGGGCCGTTCATTTATGTGGATGTGTTTGCAGATACCTGGAGGCTGGATGGCATCATATCGTGCTAGTCTTTTGCTGGGGGGGTCGGATGGGGCTCATCAAGTATTGGTAATCTGCCGAAACCGAGTTGACTGGCGTTGGAGAGGAAACAGATATCATAGTGTGTGTGCATGTCAGGGGGTAGTAGCATTATGCATGCACCGATTTCTTAGGAACGTTGTACATATATGCATTCACCAGAGCCTGTTCTCCAATGCTGTGCACGTCGCTATTCTCCGTCTCCGTACCAACTGCGGCCAACTCCCGCTCCTTGTCACTCCAGGCTGCAGTCTTCTACTGAGGGTTATGGTTTGTAGGGTAGGGGTTTAGGTTATTGACTGACTGACTGCGTGTCCAGGTTGACAGGAAGCAGAGAATCACGCAGCGGAACTGCCAGACGTGGGTGGTTGAATCGGCGCGGCAACTGGTCAGGGAGGGGATCTTCGACCGAAGCGTCGTGGATTATCTCCTGATGAGGAAACAGTACTGATGTGGCAGTTATTGCCGGACAGCAGAGTCTATGCTCGGATAGAAACATGAACCGGCCCAAGTTCACTGCTACAGTCTGGCCCTCGTCCGGTCCAGTTCGGCAGCGACCAGGCTATACCTCTCATAAGCGTCCTTTTCCGCATCGAAGTTCAGCAGCCACGGCTCTCTAACCAGGTGGATCATCTCGGGGTTCTTCCACACCTTGCTCCAATCCGCCTTGTGCCAGCGCTCCCTCGTCTGCGGGCCCGTGGCCTGCGCGCGATGCACCCTCTCATACCGCAACTTTTCATACGCTCGCAGTGCTGTCGGGATGTTCTTCCTGCCGCTCAGTTCCAGGCAGGTCGCCAGGACCACGCCATCCTCGATCGACTGGCTGGCTCCCTGGATGGATGTTGGCAGGAACGGGTGTGCCGAGTCGCCGATGAGGGCAATGCGAGCCTTGGGCGAGATGAAGGTCGGTAGCGGGTCGCGGTAGACGAGCTTGTGGTCGATGAGCCGCCCGTCGGGGGTTGCCTTGACAAGTTCCCGAACGACAGGACACCACCCCTCAAGGTACTTCAGCGCCTCTTCCGGCTTCCCGGGGAACTGCCAGCTCTCCTCGATATTCCCGTCATCGATATGCGTGAATACCCAGTTGACTTCGGTCCCGTTCTTGATACTCGACGCGAGGAAGTGGATGTCGGGCCCGATAAACCCCTGGTGCGTATCGCCATTCACTACTAGGTGCCGAATCACGGGGTTGTCCCGGATCCGGTCCGCCGGGAACCAGGCCCTGTAGACGGCATACCCGGATGACTTGGGGTTCTCGTCAAAGCCCAGCACGATCTTCCTCCCGCGCGACCGCACGCCCTCGGCAGCAATGACCACGTCTCCGGCAATCCTCTGCCCATTCACCACCACACCCGCCTGCGGAGGGTAGTCGGTCTCGAAGTAATCCTCCACCCTGCTCCCGAGCCGGATGTCGATGCCCCTGGCCACGGCATGGCGGTAGATGATGTTATGCAGCTGGCCGCGGTGGCCGTTGATGCGCCTCCCCCAGGCATTCTCGTGGGCGAACGACTGGCGCGTGACGAATTTCCCCTGGTGGTGGAACAGGTCGAGCCACGAGGTCTGGCGCGCGATGGCCTCCATGGCTTCGACCACGCCCGGCCAGCGCTCAAAGGCCTTGGAGCCGTTGGGGTCGAAGCTGATGATGTCGCCGATGCGCATGATCTCGTCGATGTTGTCCACCTTCTCGAAGAGCGTGACCGAGTGGCCTTTGCGGTCGCACTCGATGGCGGCCGCCAGGCCCGCGAAGCCCGCGCCGACGACGAGCACTTTGATGCCGGACGGCGGGAGGCGGGGGAAATCTGCCATGTTGGCTGGAGGAAGTGCTAGTAGTGATGGATTTCCCTTTTTTGTCTTTTCTTAGCCGGTCTAAATCACATGGAGCGTAAGCTTTTAGGTAGAGAATTAGCAGCTGTGTAAGACGAAGTTCAGGGAGGGTTGATTTAATGGACGACAATGGGGGTAAGGCCACGGCGCTTGTTTTAGTCCCGACGACCATGGACTTCTCGTAGCGCCTAACTGAGTTTGGCGACCTGCATCCTGTCATCAACTTCCCATGTTGGTTCCCCATGGGGTCCTACCCAATGGCTTTGCCGGTTGAACTGCCGACCCCGCTCATGCCGCGAGCTTGGGTCGCTCTCGGTGCCCCGGGTTCCCGAAGGTTGGTTGAAACTCACGAGCATCTCGGGATGTTGAATGCACTGAGGTGTGTATTGTAATCCGTAGTAGAGTACAGACAATTAGTAAAGGGAGGCCTAAACATTCTACGGTTAGCCAACGTTATACAGAGGACTATAAGTGTTACACATATTCGTTCATTAATATCTTATACATCTCCAGGGTTTCCTCACCAGAGTCACGTACTTTGTACGATCTGAAACTATCATCACGCGGTCAAGTACGGTCGGTCATGCGCGAAAGCTTGCCGTGGTGGCTTTTAACAGGCCGAGTTTAATGATGTTCTGTTGGGAAGTCACGAACCGTGGCAGGAGGATTATTTTTCGCAGATCGCATCTGCCTCGCGATGGCTTAAACTGATAAACAAGTTGGGATTTTCCAATGGTGAGTCTCGGTACATTTCAACTTCCTTCCGCCATCAACCGTGTTCTGTAGTGAGCCGAAACTTTTTCTTTTCTTTTCTTTTTTTTTTTTTTTTTTTTTTTTTTTTTTTTTTTTTTTTTTTTTTTTTTTTTTGGTTCTATTCTAGGCTACTAAGTTGTGAAGCAGACTATCTCGGTGCATGATGCATCCCGCAGCCGGATGCTAAGCTATGTACCTGTCTTACCTACCAGGGCAGGGAGGCAGCATGCATTCACATGCCAAGCGGAATAGGCGCTGCTCTCAAATGGCACGATTTATTCAGTTGTACGGTACGACCCCTTTCCTGGAAAATGACTTCTGAGGCCGGTTTGAACCCAGTCATCTCACCCTTCACAACAAGAATGGGGTGTGGCGGACATTCGAACGAAGGAGTTCCCCAGCAAGAGTCATTGTACGGCAGCCACCGCGTGGATGCAAAGCTAACTATGTACACGAACCAGTCTTCCCCTAACCCCTGAGACAACTAGTACCTGCACTGGCTGTCCTCCCGTCACCGACAGCCCTTCCGTCACTCTAACGGGGTCTCCGTTAACTCCCAGAGTGAGCGCTTAGAGGCACTGCGAGTACCACTGGTTGGCGGCCTGGCAGGTCGAGCCTGACTGGCAGCAGGTCGGTCCGGACCACTATGAAGTGTTAGCATGAAGTCGTTTCTAATCTAACCAAAGCAAGGACAGAGGCAAACTTACTCCCTGACCACCGCACTGGCCCCATCTAGCCGCGCACTGTGATGAAGAAACCTATTGTCAGCATATGGTCTTTCAAACTGAGCCAAAGGAGATTTCTTGGCTTACGTTGGAGCCGCCGGAACCGCCGCCCTGGTTGCCGCCGCCGCCATTGTTGCCGCCCCCATTGTTACCGCCACCACCGCCACCCGAGGACGAGCCGCCAACAGTAATGGTGGACGAGCCGCTGGAGAAGTAGCCCTCAGTAGCGACAATCTGGTAGTCGTGGGAGCCCAGCTGCAGGCCGGCCTGTTGCCAGGCGTTGAAGTGGGCGCCGACGTTGACGGAGCCGCCGGTGCGCTTGTTCTGCCGGACCGACCAGTACTGCTTGAAGGTGCTCGTGCCCTCGATCGACGGTGCGTTGGTGCGCGTCGTCTGGTAGATGTTGTACACGGACCCGTCCACGTTCACGCTGCCCAGCCGCTGGGCGCCCGTCGACGGGTCGTACGTGCCGAAGTTTTCGACGATGTAGTACTCCACCAGCGGGTTGCGCGTCCATCCGTACACGGCCAGGTACGAGTTGCCGTTGGGGCTGTACGTGCCCGTGTAGTTGATGGTTCTGAAGGGGAGGTGTACAATAACCCATGTAAGTCTTTTTGATACCCTCCTTCCACTTGACACACTGATACTAGTACTACTAGTACTAGTAGTAAACTTACCGGGCAGAACCCGGGTTCCAGCCCTTGCCGCCAACCCAGTTGCCGTTGCCCGACCAGGTCGCGCTGTATTGGCCGCCGGGCCCGTTGGTGTACCGGACGTTGCCGGCGCCGTCGGTCCAGAACGAGTAGTAGTAGCCGTCGTGGGTGCCCGTCTGGCTGCTGGTGAGCGTCTGCCGCTTGTGCATGCCCGGAAGCTCGCCGGGGGCCGCGACGGCCACCACGGCCGCTGACGCAGCGAGGAAGATGGACGAGAAGGTGACCATGGTTGCCGGTAGCCCGTGGGGATCTGCTCTGTGGACGAGTTGCGTAAGGACCTGAAGGCGGAGTTCCTGGGGGGTGAGGCACGGTGGTTATATACCCTTCCGCGCAGGGCCCAGCTGTACCTGGCTCGGAACCAGACTCCTTGATTCTTCCTGGAATTCCTATTATTAGCCGTGATCCGGGCTTCTGGTCAGAGTAGCGAAACATTGGCCTCGGGGCATCACCGAGGCAGCTCCTCCACATACCCCTGTCTACTCCATCCTGATCTCTTAGCCCTGCTCGGCCCCGGAGTCGAGCCCCTGTCCCTCATGTAACGCACCCCACACCTTGGTGTTCATCTGAGAAGCTTCGGTATTGGTGCCGATCCGGGTGTAGCCGGTTTCTAGGATTGTCTTCTTCAGCTTGTCCATAACTAACACAACATTATTCAGATTACTAGTACGTTCCGTACAGTGAGCAACTCTCGGCTAGTTACTTGCTCATTTGCTGTGTCCAGTTCGGCAGTTGAACTTGGTACTGGGCTACAAATCGCCTCAGATCGCGATTAGGGGTAAGACTGCACACTACTTGATTCTAGAGGGTTGTACTATGTTAGCTGCCAAGTTGGCTCATGACCGCCTGATGGACTGGTTATTATGCGGTTATGCTGCTGCATGGATTTATTAAGGATGGCTTGGCGAATGAGCAAGGGGTGGCACTCAGCCCTCTCGAAACACCGCGAGAGGCTAGAGCCGGGTCGGTGGGACTGTTCACCACCTCACCTTGACGTCCGCCCATGTTAAACGTGTTATCGGCAAAAATGGGCAAGGGAATGGCAGGGAGGGACTGCCGATTCAACCGACGGCTAATCTGCGCCTGGTGCGACCCAAGAACCGGGATTCAGGGCTGTTCTGGCTTGGCCGAACTGTGGCAGGCCACTGTGGCGATTGGTTTGGCACCACAGCGAATTCGCCGCATGCTTCAAGGGGAAATCCGGCGCTTCACCACCGAGAATCGAACCTTCGACACGGGGAAAAGGGAACAGCGAACCTCACAACACAACCCCGATGTCACCTCTATCGCCAAGCAGTTGTCCTTGTATAAACTCACTTTAGCCTATATCCGTAGTCCCCAAAACCGGGACTGAGAAGCGGCGTCCTGCAGGTCACATCATGAATCTGGGGTTACCACGTCAAAAGACTTGCCCATGGAAACGAACGCACCGGTTGTGTACAACACATCCAGTACAGAGTAGGTACACAGCATAATTTCCCTTTCGGAAGCTCCCGCCAGCGGCCGGGGCATTGCCAATCGGCCCGGAGCCGTCGATCCAGTGACCCGACCCCGGTGTAAGTGACCTAACCGCCTAATAAGTGCTAGTTATCCGGAATGTTCTAGATCACGGCGGTTTCAGGCATCAATCCGATGTTTTGATTTGATAGGAGCTGGCAGCGGGTACGGACTTCGACATTGTATCTCACGATGGCCAAGTACCTTATGAGGCAACCATGGGGAAAAGGATGAAAGAAATAAGGAACGTTAATGGTAACAAAACAGTCAGAAAACAGTGATTTGACCTTCTGAGACGACTGTACACACACCCGTACGTTCGATCGACTTCTTCGCATTTGTTAGGTATGATGAACAATCATTGGTTCGGGTATGCCACATAAAGAGATTCTGAAGTAATACAGCCATACTTCTGTTCTAAAGCAAAACGGCTGTTAGACATTCGGACTCAGATACCACTCTTTCTGAAGCTTGCAACTCTTGAGCGTTCTTGGCTGGCTTTGACATACCGATTCTGCCTGAAACGCATGCTTGAACGTGTCTAAGTGGCATTAAGTCAGTCGCCTATTAGTTGAAGGAACTGTCTTTGTAGTGGTGTCTCGCGCTTCATCATTCATAGCCATGCAATAATAGGAGAGTCAGACAGTCCGTCTCACCGAGGTGTCTCAGGGTCAGACGCGTCGGGCCCAAAAGTAGAATGATTGTATCTTGATCTAACATAGAGGGTTGGATTGAATGTCACTAAAGCAGTACCGACGTTCTGTTTGCCTGATCTATAGCAATTTAATCCTTCGGTTTCCCTCCTAAACAGTTCAGCTTCAGCGACCTGATCATGATTCTTCCAAATACGCATTGCAACCACAGTGACAGCCATTCGGGCAATAGGAGAAAAAGAGCTCCGGAGTTTATACAGCGGCCTTGCCGTCATCGAACCCGCTGAAACGTTAGTCCAAAACAGTCGGGTGGGTTACTGTTGACACCGCCCCCTTCCACTCACACACCGTACGCGGATTCAGTAAAAGTGCTAACCTTCCTCATAGTCAAACCAGTTGGCAAACTCCTCAAAATGCCCACCTACCGGGCGCCTACCCAACAGGAGAATGAAGAGATCCGGAACATGCCGTCATGCCCGAAAATAAACAGAAACACAGACACGAAGATAAACGAAAAGGCAGACAGAATACTCGCCATCCTAGCGCTTGCGATCGGCACCGTCCTTTCTGCGATCCTGCTTGCGGTGTCATTCTCGATCCTGGTGTCCCTCCTCCACCTCACCTTAGACACCGTCAAGATCCCTCTCGCCGGCCATCTTGTGCACCGCATACTGCTCGGCATCTGTAATGTGTTTTGGGCAATGGCCGAGGTTGCTCTCGGACTTTTCTACTTCTTGGATTGGGCACATCGTAATGTCTGCCGCATGCTTGAACTAGAGTGTTATTAGGGGAAGCACGATAAAGTACAACATGATTGCTTGGTCGACTGGGGTGGAGTGCAAGGGATGGCGCAACGGGGTCGCAGTTGATTGGAAACAGGCGGTCTGGTTCAGTTGGATGTATCATTCTTATGTTGAATTGGTAGACGACTGTCTGTTCTGGGTCCTGCTGACATCCATCGAATGTTCGCCGAGAGTAATGCATAGGATAATTGGATGGAATTGGGTATCAAACGCCATGCCAGTCTAGGACCTGTGGAATAACCCCATCTTTCGAACTCGCCACCCCGTCTAATACCAGGCCGATTTCTTCCCGGCTTCGATGCTATCCACAATCCTGCATTTCTCTGTCTGGCACACCTTCCTCCTCTCTAACCACTTGTCCTTCGGGCCCAGAGGGCCCGTGATGTAATGGTACTCTCCAAACAGTCTCCACTGACGTCGGTCACTCAACGGGTAGACGTCATCGCCCCAGTAGCCTTTGAAGTGGAACCACGACGTAGGAAGATCGGGATTCGATGCCGCTGGGATCAGACTGGTTTTCGTGAGTGTGGCATTGCTGGCCTCGTCCCGGTCAATCTCATAGTCATACCAGTAAGCGTAGTGATTGAGTGCCGGATCCCACAGAGGGCCCTTATCGGTGATGTCCTTGAGCAGCTTGAACGGGAGGACGTAGGGGTGCATGCCAGGCGATGCGTACATAGCATGACTTCCCACTGCCGAGTAGATGACCGGCCGTGCCGGCTTGCCATCTTTCTGTGTTCGCTTTTCGAGGGCTTTCCACAGATAAGCCTTGCCACCTGCGTGTTCACTTAGGAACATGGCCCGCGGGACTCCGTGTTGGAACCGAACCATACAGTGCTCCCAGTCGCCGACGTGATTCCCGAAGCGGATGTTGAGTACCGTTTGCCCGAGGTTGTAGCTGTAGAAAAAGAACCAGAAGGCATCGACGATACCGGCTCCTTTATCGACGAGGATGAGGACAGCAGGTCCTTTGGAGTAACCGTTGGGATCGGGCTTACTACCCTCAGACGCAGATTCGACAATGGGATGCTGTGCATTGGGTATGGAACGCTTCCTCCGGAGCTCTCGGTGCCTGTTGAACAAAGACTCCCTCGGCGGGACAATGCGATGGGGCGGATGATCTCTGTCGGCATCCCACCAACTAGTGTCGTCGTCGGGTCGCCAAGGTGGTGATTCCCCGTCATCCCCTTCGTCCGAACCGTCGTCATCGAAGCCTGTAGGAATGCCGATGCGACTGTGGAGCCAGTCTGGTCTAGATTCCACATCGTCGTCGCTAGTCAAGAACACTGTGCTGTTCTCCGCGTTGAGGCCTGCCATGTTACCGAGATTCAAAGGCTGGCTTGTGTTGAGCAAAGAACCGCCAGTGAAAGGCTTCATGTGGCGGACATGCTCGGCAATGTCGGACGGCCAGAAGTATTCCTGGGAGTAGAGGTGCACAAGCGGCGCATGGTCCAGCACATAATCCGGCACCTCCTCCAGAATCCGAGTATTTCCGGTATCGCTTGCTTGCATCTGGCGGTTGGTGTCCTTCTCTGCGGGTGCTGTCTCCCAATCACTGTGCCCTGTTTTCTCGACGAAGGTCCATTGGGTGCTGAGCCCCAAAGCCAGCGACTTCAGCTCTTCGAGGGTCGAAGGGCCACTATTCTCCCCGAGCGCAGGAGCGTCCCATCGAATATGCCTTATGCCACAAAGACTCAACCAACGACATGTCTGACGATCAAACCAACTGGGCGACGTGCTGACCCAATGCTTGTCTCGCTCCCTCTCTTCGGCATCGGGAGGTGTTGGGTTGAGGACGCGCGGCAGGAGCCAGATGAGAAATACTAGAGCGGCGACAAGGGAGGCGGCGATTGTCGCCCTGCGCAGGCTGTATGCCATGACCGACATTTCGCAGCGTCCGGGATCGCCGGCGTGCCGGCATCAACAAACACAACAGCGCTATGTATTTGGGACGGCGTCACGGGGTTGGTTCAGCAACCTCGGCGTTCCAGCATTGAGCGGTGAGGGTGGTGCGCTGTTTGCGCCTGATCCGGATGATGCGGGTGGCGGCGTCGAGAAACCTGAGTGGATGCGCCCCTCGCTGCGGTGACAGAGTGGCGGGGTAAGAAGACTCAGGTCGTCGGCGTGTGATCCTTCACAAGGGAAGGACAACCCACAGTGCCTTATTAGAAGCGCAGGGTGTTGATGAAGATGAGGAAAGACAGAAAGGAAGGGTTCAATTTAGATACTAAAAAGTCAAGTTGGATGCAAGGAACAGCAACTGTCCGGGTCTCGGTCCTGCCGGCATCTGCATCGATCTGTCAAAGCGCGGCAGAGCGTTGGTGCAGCCAGTCAGCAGCAAGTACCGGTACGGTGTGGTCCATGGCACATCCGCTGTTTCAGGTGTACTGTTACTGATCAACCAAAGGGGTGACCCACCCAGCCGGCAGATACCTACCAGCGAATGGGGTCCACAAGGCAATCCACGTTGGGTGTCGTCCCGATTCCGGCCAACGCAACATCTTGCCACTCAACCATTCTCACTACCGCGGATGTCGCTCCAGTGAGCGGGCGTTGGGGTAGAGGTTCTGGGCGCAAATCGCGATATTGGTCCGGTATCCCGTCGAATGAGGGCGGCTCGCCGGACTCGGCGTGGCCAGCGGCCTCTGCTTCCTCTTCTTGGGACGTAATTCCTCTCCGGCGATCCCAGCCCCAGCTCTCTCTCCTCCCTCCTCTTGTCGCGCCATCTGACGTTTCGCGCATGGTCCTGCCGCAGCTTTCGCCTGCGGCGTTCCTCCTCCTCGTCTTCTATCATGAGTTTGTTCTGTCTTGTCTCGAGGGGCTGGACGGTGACCTCGTCCGTCTCGCCGCGCTTGCGCTTTAGCGCGATAAGGTCCTCGAGAAAGTGCGCCTGTGGTTGTCGCTGGCCTGTCTTATCTCCGCCAATGTGAACGTAAATGCCTCCATTACGCTTGTATCGCTCTGGGATATCCTCTTCCGAATAGCCAAACCCAAGGAATATCCGATCTGAATTCCTGTCGTGGTCCTTTGGCTGCAACGTCGCCTCTTGGAAAGAGATTCTTGAAGCACTCGCGGCAATCAAATCCATATTCTGGGGAAGGTGGCGGAGAGCTGGGAGAGGCGCATCCTCGTCGTGAGGGGTGAAGATCATCTCCGTTCCGATGTTCTCACACCACGTGCCGCGGAACACATGGTTGCGGTATGAAACAATGGGATGCTTGGAGTGAAGGTCCAAGATCTGGATTTGTTCTTCCGGTCTGTCATTTGTTTGGACCTCCGACCGACGAGCCTTCTCGCTGTTGTGCTCCAGCTGGGGGTCGATTGGGGTATCTGTCTGCGCGGGCAGCTGCGGCAAGCCTATTGTATCCAAGTCGACTTCTTCGCGCTCGGGCGGCTCTCCATCGTCGGCGTCCTTATCTTTGTCGTCGAGAAGGTCTGCATTAGACGCCTGCGGTTCGGCCGCGTTAAACAGCGGGTTATACCACACTCGGTAACCGGTTCGGGTGTTGTGGAGCACGTCGTCGGTTCGTCGCTCGAGGAAGTCGCGGACGGACAAGTCGAGAGTGAGATAATACGTCTTTGCAGCGTATCAGCAGTAAGAGGAGGTCTAATGGACTGAGCGTATCATACCTCTGTCTCTGTGGTGGAATATTCGTATTCCCAGTCGCCGTCATCCTCCTCCGGGTTCGCGTGCCGCGGGGAAGCGCGTTCCATGACGAAGGAGTCCGGAATGCTGACTCTTAAACTCTACTAATCCTCGGCCGTTTCCAATGAATAAGGACATCCATGCATATTTGACGCGCTGTCGCATGAAGGATGCTGGTGGTTGGAAAGCCTAGTTCGCTCTGCACCGACCGAGTTCAGTTTGAGGTAGGAATAATTTAAGCTTAGGGACCCTGTCATGCGACGGAAAGCAATATTGATCCAATGCTACAGCATAAGTTTTACACCCTTGATGGCGGGGTAACTCCAATTCACAGGGCCCTTGAGGAACCCCGCCATCTACATTTTTGTTACAGCCATTGACTCATTCACTGCTCCGTGGCAGTCACCTCCAACGACGCAGTTTTCGGTACCTTTCTGCGTCTCTCTGCCTCCAGAGAGGTGATACGAAAGCTCTGTCACAATGCCAACCGTCTACCTCCTCGACTACGTCGCCGGCAACGTACGCAGCCTGGTCAATGCCATCGAGAAGATAGGCTACCGTGTCGAGTGGATCCGGTCACCGGAGGAGGTTGTGCATGCTGAGGTAGGCACGTTGATACGGTCAGAGGACGGTCGGAATAACTGACTTGCTTCTGTCCTCAGAAACTCATCCTCCCGGGTGTGGGCCACTTCGGCCACTGCCTGTCCCAGCTCTCTGCCGCTGGCTATCTTCCCGCCCTCCGCGCTCATATCGACGCTGGAAAACCGTTTATGGGCATCTGCGTCGGACTGCAAGCCCTATTCTCCACGTCCGCCGAAGACCCCAACTGCCCTGGACTCGGCCTGATTCCGGGCGCGCTCGACCGCTTCGATGATAGCGCAAAATCGGTCCCGCACATTGGGTGGAACAACGCCTCCTGTTCCACGAATCCGAACCTCTACGGCCTGCGGCAAGACTCGAACTACTACTACGTCCACTCGTACAAGTATCCGTACAAGAAGGGGGAATTAGAGGAGCTCGGGTGGGCCGTTGCGACGGGAACATACGGGGGTGAGACTTTCGTCGGCGCTGTGGCCAAGGGCAACGTCTTCGCGACACAGTTCCACCCGGAAAAGAGCGGCGTTGCAGGATTAAGGGTGCTCCGCGCCTTCTTGGACGGATCGGGAGCCAAGGCCCTCTCAGAGGACCCGCCACAAAGAGTGAACGGCGGAGTTGATGAGATGATTGCCAGGGAAGGACTGACCAAACGTGTGATCGCGTGCCTTGACGTACGGACAAACGACCAAGGGGATCTCGTGGTCACAAAGGGGGACCAGTACGACGTCCGTGAGAAGTCTGCGGATCGGTCAGTCCGGAATCTGGGCAAGCCGGTTGAGATGGCCAAGAAATACTACGAGCAAGGGGCAGACGAAGTCACGTTCCTGAACATCACCTCGTTCCGCGACTGCCCTGTTGCCGACTTACCAATGCTTGAGATCCTGAGGAGGACATCAGAGACGGTGTTTGTGCCTCTGACGATCGGCGGCGGTATCCGCGACACAGTCGACGTCGATGGGACAAAGGTCTCGGCGCTAGAAATCGCGACCATGTATTTCAAGAGCGGAGCCGACAAAGTGTCGATCGGGAGTGATGCGGTGCTGGCTGCGGAGGAGTATTACAGGGGTGGGAAGGTACTGTATGGCAACACCGCCATCGAACAGATCAGCAAGGCGTACGGCAACCAAGCTGTGGTCGTCAGCGTCGACCCCAAGCGAGTCTACGTTCCCAAGCAGGAGGCTACACGCCACGCCACCATCAAGACAAAATCTACTGGGCCTAATGGGGAGGAGTACTGCTGGTACGCTTGTACCATCAAAGGCGGCCGGGAGACGAGGGACTTGGACGTTGTGGAGCTTACCCAGGCAGTCGAGGCCATGGGTGCCGGAGAGATCCTCCTGAACTGCATCGACAAAGACGGCACAAACAGCGGGTTCGACCTGGAGCTGATCACACAAGTCAAGGAGGCCATTAGGATACCGGTCATCGCCAGCAGTGGAGCAGGCAATCCCGGCCACTTCCTCGAAGTCTTCCAGGAGACAACGACGGATGCTGCCCTCGGAGCCGGCATGTTCCACCGAGGAGAATACACCGTGCAGCAGGTAAAAGATCATCTCAGCGAGAAAGGACTAGCTATTAGGAAGTTTGAGGGTGATCTGTGATGTCTGTACATTTCGGCCGCGGACCCTTCTTGGTTTAGACTACACTCTGTGCATTATCGTTTGTTGTAAGATACCTGAGCTATCTTACCACCGTTTTCTCCATGCGAGAGATGAAGAGAAGGACTTGACATTCTCCTATGAATAACGCTAATTGCCAACGAAGACAGCCTCAACAAAAAGGTCAAAAGGGGCGAAGTTGAAGAGCAAGCGGCAGGAAAAGTCGCAGATGAATGTGAATAAACGAAATGTAGCCACACGCCTCGGACGCCTAAATCTCCATGCCCATGAATAGCCAGCGATCGCTCAGAACATCAAATCCACTCGACCAGAAGTCAAGTGTGGTAAGCGAGAAACCCGCCCATTGAAGACCCTTCGTCAATGCTTTTGCTTCCTCCTCGGGTATCGATCGCTCAATGCAAATGACCATGTGAGAGCAAGCAAGAGGCCCCTCGGCCAGCTCAATAAGAGCAACGAGTCTATCGCCGCGTTAGCGGAGTGTATCGTGAAGGAAATTGGGAATCAGAAGTCAACATACGCCTGCTTCATATCACGAGTAATGGAGTGTGCATCAAAAAAGACGAACAACGACGTGACTCCCCGGCTAGCATCTTCCGCCACGAAGCCGCGGAAGCTCGAGCCACCAGCGTAGTCCCAAATTTCCAGCCAGCCGGTGATGCCCCGTCGTGCGTCGTGACCCTGGCGCCGTTGATGACCCATCATGGTTTCACCCGTAATTGGGAAGTCGTCCGGCGGCGTAAGCTGGCCGTAATGCCCCATTACAGGTGCACGTCCGTGCCCGTCGTTGCGGCTGATGTCGTTGCTGCCGCTATGGTCGAAGATGTTGTTGTTATGGTTGACGTTGTCAAAGTTGTCGTTAACACTGGCCAGGCCGGAGCTCTGCATCGTCGCGTTCCTCTCACCCAGAAACATGACGCGCAGCGTCTCACAGAAGAACCTCTCACATTCTTCCCTGATGCGCAGTGCTGCCCCCCCTCGACGGCGATGCCAGGCACTAGTGCCGGAGCCGTTGCGACCAACGCTGCTGGCGCGCGATGATGGTGACCTCGCCTTGGGGGTCAGCGCGAGCTGGTTGGTCGTCGTGAGGGCCGCGAGGGGGGGGCTTGATGGCGGCGATGGAAGTCCCGTCGAAGGGACCTCAGGAATACCACTCGGCCCCTGCGAGCCCCGTAGTGCAGTAGTGAAGACCCTTTAGCGAGGCGGAATCGACGACGTAGCAACTGGCGAGGATATTGGCCTGGCGGACAATGCCCTCGCCATAATTACTACTGGTGTGGTTGGATCTCGGTGATTTCATGGGCGCCATTGCTACGGGATGCCAGGTTGCTGGTTGGGAACGCTAGAGCCAGGCGAACGGGGTTATCTGGAATTGATTTCAACGGAGAGGGTCGTCGGCGACTTAGTGGCGCGAGTGAGTAGAGCTGATGATGTCGGATCTGAGATCAAGCTATTGCGGCAGCAGGTCGAATTTGAATATCTGGCTTTCGACGCACGGGTTGTTGGGCTGCGGACTGGAAGCTGGAAGTTTCGGTGAGAATGGGCGGAAATCAAGTGGGAAGACCGAAACTAAAGAGCAGTGGCAAAAGTGGGGTTTTTTTAACACGAATCAAGTCAACCGACCCATCACGTGAGATTGAAAAGCGGGTCTGACGGTTCAAGCCAAGCCGCCAAGACAAGAAAGACCAACCAACTTCCTTTACGGCTCACGTTTCGACGTTTTGGGCGGATGAACGGCACAGATGACAGATTACACACAGAACACTCCGCGGAACCGGACCCTTTGATGCCTTCCTAATTACTTTTGACTCTAATAAAGGTTCTTCACTTCTAGGTTGAAAGTCGGTCATGCTATGAAACACAATTCGAACATTAACCAGACACCTCCGGAAAGTAGAACCGTTCACAGCAAGACCAAATCGAGTACGAACTGAACGCTGCCTCAGTATTACGAAACCTACCAAGCGCCTGCGCCTCAAGCTTGTTATCGCCAAGACAGTTGCTCTTCGCTCTCATATATTAATCGACGTTGGGACTATATGACTATCAGTTTGAAGCCACGCCGTGTTCAATTCATCATTCGTGTAACCGTGTAGACGGGGACTGGTCCGCTCGGGCCGCTGATCGGCCGTTTTAATCCACGGGTTGATGCGGTCTTGGCCCCGGGTCCGTGTACAGTACAATACATATTGCCACTCCACAGCGGCATGACAGTGTCAGGCCCGCCGATGCTAATAAGAGTTTAACACTCATCCCACTTATACAAGTATCGAAACTTCACATAGTATTCGGCATTTGAGCCAAGGGCTTTATGCGGGCTGCTTTATCGGGCGGGATCCGGCATTTCTAAGATGCCCCGCGCCCGTCGCCGTCTGATCCGACTGGGTGTATCGATAACAAGATGCGGGGAGAAGTTGGGCGAGAGTCAGGTGGTCACATATGAATCACGTCATAGGGTATCCCGACAACCTCTTGTGGTAGGCTCTGACTGATTGAGATTCACTCAGGCATACGTTATTAGGTTGCCACAATGAGAAAAGGACATTTCTGGCCACTATGCCAGTCTTGTAAACCCAATCCGGTCCCTCGTAACCAGCGCGACTGACTGATTCGGCACGTCAGAAGTTGCTCCCTTGACATACCTTGGAGAGACATTCTGATCAAAGCTACCGGACATTCCGGACAGAGATCGATCACCTGGCTTATAAACGACTAGTGAGCTCGACGGTTGCCGCTTGATCTCGGCGGCTCAGCACTTGTCTATCCCTCGACCTCTGTATTAAACAACTAGACCACGCTCCTCCTGTCCGACGCAGCAGCCATGCTTGAGGAGTGGAGTATATTCAAGAAGGTCGGCGAGCCTTCGGAAAACAAGCCTCCCTCTCTCCTTTACATACTGCCCACCCTCCGCACACCTTTCCGCCGCCGACGCACCTTGGAACCACCTTCACCTCCTCCTCAGACGGCCTCAGAACCAGAACTTTCATCGCCAGCCAGCGATGATGTACCATCCCTCTCCAGCTCCCCGAGCTCTCCCGCTTCACCCGGGTTCCCCCCTGCCAGCCGCCTCTCCTGCGTCCGGCCCACGACCCTCCGCTGCAGGGCTTGCTCCGCCGACCTGGCGTTCCACGACCAGATCATTTCGAAGAACTTCATAGGCCGGGGGGGACGCGGCTACCTCGTTGCGCCACCATCAGATCAACCCACCCCCTCCTGTCCGCGCTCACCGCCCGGCACCTCCGGCTACCGGCTGGTGAACATACTGATCGGCACGTCCGAGCAGCGCCGGCTGACCACGGGACCGCACGTCGTGGCCGACATCAGCTGCGCCGGGTGCGGAGCGATGGTGGGGTGGAAGTACATCGACGCGCGGAATCCGGAGCAGAAGTACAAAGTGGGCATGTTCATCCTGGAGACGGCACGCGTGGTGAGGTTCCACAGCTGGGAGGACGTGGAGGACGTGTCCGCGGCCGATGACGGCCACGCTGAGCTGTGGGATGCGGAGCGTGCGGACAAGGACAGGGGAGTTCCGCTGCCTGAGTTCGACTCGGAGGATGAGGACGAGTGCGACGAGTTGTTTGCGGGGACCTGGGACCCCAAAATGGCCTTGGTGAGCCGGGTTCTGAAGAAGCACCGTGGCGTTGATTATGAGGAAGCACCGTAGCGTTGTCTGAAGCGCGGTTGTTCGGGATGGCGGGGTGATTCATTTTGTTGTTGCTTGCCGTTCGTTTCGATGCCGCCTCGCCAGTCGGTGAAGGTAGGCTGATATTCCTTCTTTCCTTATTTTTTTTGACACTCCGTTACCAGGACAAGCCCGGGCAGGTCTGGGCGCCATCTCCTTTTCTTTTTCTTTTTCTTTTCAGGGGCTCGGGTTGGCCCTCTGTGTTTCTGCTTTTAGGGTACTGGGACGGCGCATGCGATACGGGATGGTGGGAGCATCAGAATGTGATCAAGGAAAGGGCATAGGCAACATCGATACCCCGGGTTAGGCGTGATGATGATGGGCAGGTGAAGGTAACATGTCAATGCCGGCTGCTAGGAAAGGCGTACCGGACTATAATATGACCTCACTCTTTCTCCTTATGCGAATGTTGACGAACTTCGAACGTAGTCAGCGGAATTCATGTGCTTCAATTCGATGGTGTACATGCTGTGTCTTGATGACTACGGTACCAGGCGCTGTGTCTGCGCCCGTGGCCGTGGCACTTCCATTCACCGCAGTGGACTGCTCCTCGTGTAAGTACTGATCTTGGGTGAAGTGGACGCTATCGCCGGACGCCCGAGTACCTGTACATCGAGCTCTACATCCAGAACTTTCCTCCCCTCATCCATCTAGTTCATGGGCTCCTCTGCCACATAATGCAGGTAGGCACCCAATAACTTGATACCCTCAATGTAATTCCGCTTGTCCAGCTTCTCGTTGATCGAGTGGGCGCCGTCAGTGGAGGAGCCCATGGGCAGGAGCAGCACGTTCTTGCCCGTGGCCTGCTCGAAGGTGAGCGTCACCGGAATGCTGCCGCCCTCGCGGGTGAAGTCGGGCTTGACGCCCCAGACGCGCTCCGTCGCCTTGGCCGCGGCGCTGAAGTTCCAGTGCTTGGGACTGGCAACCCACCACTTGCCAGTGTGCTGGGCATACACCTTCATATTGTTCTTGGAGCCGAGCTTCTTGAAGACGTCTTCCACGTAGCGGTACACGGCCTCGTTCGTCTTGTCGATGTCCATGTCGGGCACCGTCCGGATCGAGAATTTGCCGATGACCTTGGCTGGGATGACCGTCTTGGCGCCGGGGGCGGAGAAAGCACCCTCGATGCCGTGCAGCGAGAGCGACGGGTACCGCCACCTGGCCATTAGCGTGCGCTTCTTGTCCTCGAAGATGGTTGTCTTGCTGCCCAGCGACTGGTGCAGTGTCTCCATGGTGAAGGCGACGTCGTCGTAGAGGCCGTCCTCCTCGGCCGTGACGGGAGCTACTTGCTCGGCGATACCTGGGATGAGGATCTTGCCGTCGGTGTCGACCAGTGAGCTCATGATGCGCACGAGGTCCGTCATGGGCTCCTGCGCAGTGCCGCCGAAGACGCCGCTGTGGAGGTCAGCACCGGGGCCCCAAACCTCGACGCTGTAATAGTTGCACCCCCGCAACCCGTATGTCAAGCAGGGGCGCTCAGTGCCGAGCCAATAGTTGTCGCTGATGCACACAGCGTCCGCGTCTGCAAAGAACTTCTTCCCCTCCTCGTTGACGAGGTCGTCGAGACCTTCCGACCCATACTCTTCCATGCCCTCGAAGCACATGAGCAGGTTGACGGGGAACTCGATGCCGGCGGCCTGGTGCGCCTGGATCGCATTCAGCCAGCCCAGCACGGGTCCCTTGTCATCGGTCGAACCGCGGCCGCACATGCGCCCGTCCTCCATGACCGTCAGATCAAAGGGTTCTGTGTCCCAACCATCGCTCTTCTCCGCAGGCTGCACGTCGTAGTGGCCATAGACGAGGATGGTCCGCTTGTTCTTGTCGTTCCCGTAGCGCGCAAGCACAACGGGGGGGAGGTCGAGGTCAGTGCCGGGCTGCTTGCCGAGCGGCCGCAGCTCGACGTGGGCGCCGAGCTTCTTCAGCTCGTCGGCGAGGAAGTGGCCCATGCGGACGACATCGGGGCGGCGGGCAGCCTCGGACGACACGGACGGGATGGCGACGGCTTGGCGCAGGCGCTCGATGAAGGCGTCGGACAGGGCGTCAACCTGCTGGAAGTAGCCGTCGAGTTGGGGTGCCATTTTGCGGGCTTGGTGGGCACGGATTGCGTCGGTAAGGTACGGGCGAGAACCTGGAGGTGGTGATCTTGTGTCCCGCAGAGTCCTGGCTGGGGCGGCGGAACGGGGTGTGGTGTTATTGCAACGCGGAACACGGCTGACGAGGATAGATCGTCCCGACAAGCAACGGAGAGCGTTGGTTGACGCTATGGAATTTGGTGACAAGAAGAGGGAAGTGCGGGGCATTGGGACTACGTGGAGGGGCACACCGATACGAAGCAAACCGAAGTTAAGGTAAGCAGCTAAGCTACTGGCAAGTCCCAGTGATGCCGATTGCTTATCTGCGATGCTCCACTCGCGACCATTATAACCGTTCCGGATTGCTTTCAGGTGATCTGTACATAGGTATTATATCACTACTACTTACCTAGGTAGCTCTACCTTATCCCGGGCTGAAGCTGAAAAATTTCGAGAGACCCGTCTCTACTCGCATGCTTGAAGCTACCGAGTACGGTTGCCTCATGAACTTCAAGTCCCAGATCATCCCTCGAGTATCACGTGCTTCGGCCGATAAGAGGTAGGCTCGGGAAGGAGCTGCAGCTAACACCACGTGATAAGCGGCTAACAGCGGTTTCCAATTTTGCCAGGGCGGCCCTCCCGGAGTCCCGCCTACTGCTCCAACCAACTTCTCGGCCCGTAAAGGGGAAGATGAGCAAGGTTACCGAACCATCGAAGCCATGACAACTGACACCTGTCACCGCAGCCAGGCGCGGCAGAGGGAGGTGGGCTGCATGCACCTTCCGCGAATTCGCATGCCCACACCGCACGGCGTCCTGGAGCGGCTCAGCGGTTACCTGAAACGGCTGTGTTGACTACTCGCACTTCGAGTCTCTCGTCATTGGCCCGCTCCCACACACATCACCACAATACTTCTAAGCGCCCACATCAGCCGCCGAGAGGTCGGGGCTGCTTGCACACCACACAGTGACTACACGCGGTCCTTCGCATTGGCCGTTGCAAACCTTCGAAATGCAGTTGGCAAGGCTGATACAGGCCGGCCATGCTAGCGTCTTCGGCCATGGCTTCGGAGCGGGCACAACAAAAGCCATAGACGCATAGACGCTGGATTCAGCCGATCCTCGGCGCTTATATGCAGCTCACTCCTGCCCCGACACTATGCAGCCCCAGCTTGTTGGACGGGTTGTCCTCACAGGAACAGCCATGACATCTGGCACAGTAGCCCGCTGTCCCAGGCTCCCAGCAGTACGGTACGAGTGCCCCACCGGAAAAGGGAAAGTCCATGAACCAACACACATACCGCTGAAGGTCCGGGATGCCTTATATGCCTTCTTCCCGCTGGTGCCACTGTGTCTCACGGAATTTACTGGTCACCTCATCAAGGACGTCTATTTTCTGTGACCTGTGACCGGACACGCTATCTGAAGGTTGCCCTAAACTGAGCCGTCGCTCGCCCTGACTTTCAGTCTCTATGACTCGGTCTCCGCCCCCGGCCGCGATCAACGCTTCTATGGCCGCGTTGACAGCTTCGACCACCACCTGGCAGCAATCGTCGGACCTGCCTTTGCGAAACTACCTATGCGCGCTAGACTCAGTCGGTGATTCTACCTCTGATGCTCCTCCAGCGACGATGTCGCACTCGGCATCCAGCCCCCCAACGCAGCCGCCGGAGACGTCATGCTCCGTATTAGCTCAGTACGGGGAGGCATTAAGGACACAGCTCCATCAGCGGCGGTGATAGCGGACAACATCATCAGGGTCTACGGCAGTGAATCCCGGTCCCGGTCGGAAGCCTCAAGCCACGGTCGTAAGAGGGTCCGGGGTCCCGTCCGGAGCAGCACTCCGACTCCGACAAGATCGCCCTCGGCAGGAAGGTCACGGCCGCGCCAGCACAGAGAGCCCAGCCCGGCGGCCCAAACAGTCGACGAGAAAGTGCAGCGGTTCCTCCGCTCCATGAGTCCGCCCAGTCCGACGGAAGAGCTCAAGAAGGAGAACCGCAGCCTGCACCAACGCGTGGCCGCTCTGCAGCTGACCGAACGAGACCTGCTCAACGACAACCAGGACCTGGCCCGGAGGCTGGCCTCAACGCAGAAGCGCCAGGAAACGCGGCGGCGACAGTGGAAGGAGGAGCTGCTGAACAGGGAGAAAGTCTTCGAGGCCCGCATCAAGGATCTCGAGTCCCGGCTAGCCCGACAAGAGGAGGAACTGGTGCGAGTTACCCTCGGACGGACGAGGGAGACAGCAGGCCTGAGTGACCACGCCATCGCGTCTTGGTTTGCAACGAAAGCAAGTGCGTGGCATGGGTGGGCCGAGGATTTCGCCCATCAAGACCCAGACCGCGTCCGCTCCGGCCTCCACCCGCTGCAGCTCCGTGAGCTATGCGAGGGTGTCAGGCCTTTCGTTCGGCTCACCCGACAAGGGAGAACTTCCCGAAGGCTTGCTGTCCCCTGCCGGCAACGACGGGGCTCAGACAGCTCAAGTGCTTCTGCAGGGGATGTTAGCACACTTCATGTCATCGGAAATCTCCAAGTCTCCCTTCTGAGTGTTCGACGCCATGTCTCCCAGCACCCTCGAGCTCGAGAGTCCCGGCGTGTCCCGCATAGACTCGCCAATTGGATTTCGGATGGATCTGGCCATGTGGGATCTCGATGTTTCTCCGCCGGGCGATGTCCGCTCGCCCCGACCCGCGGTTATGGCGAACGGCGGGCGACACGGACCCCACGCTATGCGCAGCCTTCCGCGACTGGTCACCTCGATGGAATCGGCCGGCAGCTCTCCGCTGGGCCAGAACCTGCCGACGAGGCGAGCAACGGAGGGTTTACATCGGATGTTTCTGAACGGTACGCATCGACCTTACCTTGTTTAGAAAACACAAGTTCGTGCCCCTGTTGCGGCGAGCCTGTGACTAACATTCCAGCTGGCTTTCCAGCCCCAGGTGGCGCTGAGAATGTGAATGCCTGGCGCAGCTCTGTGTTGAAGGCCTTTTGCGAAGGCGGCATGAGCACGTCCGTCGACAGCATCCTCCTGACCGAGGATGCTGCCCGACCCCTTAGCCGAGGCCAGGCTCCGGTACGCGGGCTGAAAGACGCCTTCCTCCGAAGTCCAGCCCGGTTTCTACTCCGGGACCAAGACGCCGCCGGCATCGAGAAGCTGGAGCGGCGGCTGGTGCAGGAGATGGACTCGGCCCTGCGTTTCTCCTGCCAGCTGTGGTGTCGCCGCGAGCCTATCTCGGTCAGGGGCCTGGACGAGCTTGTAGACACGGCGTTCAGCGCTGCCAGCGACAGCATGGAACTGTGCCAAGCGCAACAAGCACCACCACCACCGCGCTATGCTCAGTAGGCGGGGAGCACCGCTGACGCCAGGGATGCTCCGCCGGGGTACTACGACGGCCACTCCGTGATCATGGTCGTTCAGCCTTCTATTGGGGTCAAGCAGAGCGTTGGGCAGGGAAGGGAGCGAAGGACAGTATCACGACGTGGGTCAAGGCCAGTGTGCTGGTGGCGCCGCCGAAGCCGGTCGTGCAGCGAGCGCCCGCGGCCACGCAGACGGTCGCGCCTCTTCCTGGGCCGAGTACAGTTTCGGTGAAGGCTATCTTACCCCCTCCGGTGCCGCCCAGGGATTCGAAAGAACGGGCTCTGGTTTTGTTGCCCACCCTCACCTTCAAGGGCCCGCAACCGTTGTTTTTCAAACAGCCGCCATGCTTGTCCATAGCATTTGTCGAGCAACCAAGGGCTTCGTGAGATGTGCCAGAGGAAGGTGAGGCTGCCTATGCAAATGCGTTACAGTTTGAATTTGGTCGTGGGCGGGAGCGTGGAGTTCATGGATAGGATCAGATTGTATTATTACTAATGCGTGTCTACCTATACCACTAGTGGCTGGAATCTCGAATGTGCTTGGCCTGACTTACTCTGTGCGCTCACCATGTCTCTTACAAGCAAATGCCAGGGACGAAGGGAACGCCGTATGTCGTCGGTCTCGTCACACATCAATTCCTGGTTGTTTGCATTTTTGAAGAAGCACTGCTAATCTGTAGTCAGACCTAAACAGTCGTTCCGTAGGGGTAGAGCAACACAACCCTAGATGTGTTCTACCTAACCCTACTATCCGCAATCTCAGTTCTGGTTCTAAAGTATTGTGTAGGGTACGTTGCATATTGGCATTTGGCAGCTTTCGATGTTACCGTCTACCGAACTAGAAGTGCCTCTACATTGGTGATACCTCCACTTTCAAATGGTTGAAGTTGGCAGCCATCACGTTCGATAGTATGGAACAGAAACTTGGAATGACACCTTCTGTTAAGACATTCACGCCATGGCTGTGCTATTCATAGCTGCCTAAGACACGACCGAGATACGCTTCGCCGTCTCCTCGTGGCAACCTCGTGTTGTTGGACAACGCCGGCCAGTCATGCCTGATCTGGCAGTTGGTAGCTGATGCACAAGCAATGTCACAGGCTGACCAACCAGAGGATCCGAGGCAGCAAAGCTGCGAAAGCTATCCAGGTGTTTTTGCAGGACAAAGGAACGTGACAATGCCCCTCCATCAGGTTGGTAATTTGGGCAAGTCACGTCATGAACCAAAGAACTGAGAGGTGACAATGGCCACTCCAGATGCAACTTTGACCATTGCTGTATCCGGAAGGCCATCACGATAAGGGCCGGCAGACGCCCCATGCTGGATGCGACGGTGGCTCAGTTTAAGCTCTCCGAGACTCGGCGTTGTGTGGTGGGCTGGACTCGATTCGAGGTGGATACACCTGGGGAACACAGGCTGATTCGCTTGATGCAGGAACGATTCCAAAAATTCCCAATCCTCCCGGAGACCCGAGTCGGTCAAACTCGCTGTTGTTGGCCAGCGCAGCGGACATCACAATCAACTCGAAACATCAGCGTTTTCTGGGCACATTTCTGCCTAGCAACTGGGTAACCCGGTTCTAGGGACGGGAGAGGAATTGCAGGACTTATCTCGGCAGAACCGGCGCATGCACCTACTATCAGCTTCATCTTGCACATGATACCGCAGGCCAAGCCTTTGACGCTACCACCTGCCCAACATGTTGCCCGATGGCCAAATGCTGGCGGCCCCTTTCAGACTTTTTGAACCCCTCGCTTCCAGCATGGATCGGCACTTCTCTCGATTCCTCCACAACACGGGCAAGGCCCCCCACCCGGCTTTAGCGCCATCTCCGAGGCCCCGTCCGGTTGCCGATCGACTGAGGCCAATGAGGTGTTATTGCGCCATCCTGGGCGGCCCCCGCGGACGAGGTTGCACCGAGATAAGTCCAGGGATGGCGTGCAGGGCCAAAACACACCTTACCCCAGATTTTAAACGTTTATTGATTACCGGCGAGCAACCCATCTCCCGTATCCTCAGGGCAACAAGGTGCCGCTCGCTTCACACCCGATATCAGAAAGCTCAGAACTCTCGTCTTGGCGTGGCAGAACAGACCTACCTATGACGGTGCATATCTCCCAGAGCCATTGTAGAAGGTGACGACGAACAAGTTGCATAGCGATGTGCGGGACTGAAGCAAGGCAAAAAGATGGTGCCATGCTAGATCAATCCTGGCCCTGGATTTGACGTTATGCGAGCCCGAACACTTCGGACTTCACGTTATGCGTACTCTATGAGGTGGCTGACTAAAACAGCGTAACAGACCCTCCCCTTGGAATTTCTCCGGCATCGCGTTAACGCCTCTGACGCGCCGGCCGATGTCCTTCTGCCGACCGGCTGCTTCTTGCCTCTGATTTGCCGGTTAGAGTTACGTTGAGCTGCCATGCTTGCATGCTACGTACCTATAACCAAGCTCTTGCCCCATCCCCTGTCCATGCCCGACGGACACACAGTTGCATCAGGCACCCTCTGACCAGTTGACCACATCCACCAAGAGATGGCGCTATGGCCGACTTAAGCCCGTTATGTTAGGTAGAGTCAAGGTAGGCCCATCTACGGGACCTCTACGGGCCTCCGGCATCCTCTTAGACTCTTGGCGCGTCCGACGTGCGGCGGTGCCCGCCTTCGCGAGCTCGAGGAGGTCCCCCTGAACACAGGTTGAAGAGACGCGGGAGCACCCGTTCGGCTGCGCAAGATCTCAGGCGGCGCGGACTGAGAAGCCGAACCGGGAAGGTGTGTCTCATCCGCCTGCTGCCCCTCATCCGCGTACCTCAGTGGCTTTTATGTACGTTCACGGGCGCCTGCCATAACTCGTCAGGTCCGTTCTTGGCATCGACCAAGTCAGCCAAACCCCTATCTTGTCGAAAGGGGCAGGTCACCAACACGCATGGCGGGAACGATGCGGTTGCTGGGTTGCTGGGCGGTTCGCCAATGTCTTACACTCTCACTGTCTCAGCCATGGGGGACACAGCTCGTGGCGGACGGACGGCGAAGATAAATATCACGAGCGGCCCTCCGACCACGAGCACCTCCTGTCTCAGCACCAAGGTTAACACCGTGTCTCAGTCTCTCGTCTCGGTCTGACTCTCGATCAACACCATGCACTTCCACACCGCCCTCCTGGCCCTTCTGCCCGCGGCCCTGGCCGCCCCCACGGCCGAGCCCCTGGACAAGCGCGCCCCGGTCATCGCCGCCCAGGCTGGCCGTGTTGTGCCCGGCAAGTACGTGGTCAAGCTGAAGGAGGGCGCCAGCGACGATGCCCTCGAGAAGGCCGTCAAGAAGCTCGGCAAGACGGACCACGTCTACCGCGGCCGCAAGTTCAAGGGCTTCGCTGGCAAGCTCGAGGGTGACCTTCTCGACGAGATCCGCCGCCTGCCCGACGTGAGCACACACCCCCATGATCCGTCATCCGTCCACGACTGAGAGGCTTGTTACTCACACGGGCTTGAACAGGTCGAGTATGTTGAGGAGGAGGCCGTCTTCACCATCAACAGCTATGTCTCGCAGAGCAGCGCCCCCTGGGGCATCGCCCGCATCTCGCACAAGTCCCGCGGGTCGACGACCTACGTGTACGACGACAGTGCCGGTGCCGGTACCTGCTCGTATGTGATTGACACGGGCATCTACACCGCTCACTCGGTAAGCTATTTTCCGTCTAAAGGGTATTGAACCCCCCGTGCTTACTTCGTGGTCAGCAATTCGGTGGCCGTGCTACCTTCCTTGCCAACTACGCCGACAACTCCAACACCGACGGCAACGGCCACGGCACCCACGTCGCCGGCACCATCGGCTCGAACACCTACGGTGTTGCCAAGAAGACGAAGCTCTACGCCGTCAAGGTCCTTGGCTCCGACGGCTCCGGCACCACGTATGCACCGCCCCCGCCCTTCTCCCTATCTGAGTACCAGTAGTAGTTGACAACTGACGCGTCTCCAGCTCTGGCGTCGTTGCCGGCATCAACTTCGTGGCGAGCGACGCGCCCAACCGCAACTGCCCCAACGGCACCGTCGCCAACATGTCGCTGGGCGGCGGCTACTCGGCCTCCATCAACAACGCCGCGGCCGCCCTCGTCGACGCCGGCGTCTTCCTCGCCGTCGCCGCCGGCAACGACAACGCCAACGCGGCCAACTACTCGCCCGCCTCGGAGGCGTCCGTCTGCACCGTCGGCGCCACCGACAGCAGCGACCGCAAGGCCAGCTACTCCAACTACGGCTCCGTCGTCGACATCTTCGCGCCCGGCTCCAGCATCCTGAGCACCTGGATCGGCAGCTCCTCGGCGACGGTAAGCCCGAATCTAACCTCCTCTACTTATATATCTGTCACAATACTAATATCCGATCCCATTACTAGAACACCATCTCGGGCACCTCCATGGCCAGCCCGCACATCGCCGGCCTCGGCGCCTACCTCCTCGCCCTCGAAGGCCGCCGGGCCCCCGAGGCGCTCTGCAGCTACATCAAGAGCCTTGCCACCGCCAACGCCATCAGCGGCCTCCCCAGTGGCACCACCAACCGCCTCGCCTTCAACGGCAACCCCTCCGGCTAAATTCGCTTTCGGGGGATCAGACTGAATTGAGCGCATGATGCAAAATGAGGATGAGAGGTGAATGATGTTGGCCGGTGATGATGATGACGGAAGGGTTACCGTAGGCCGGGACTTTATGATACGATGGATGACCTGTGGCTCTCAAGCTGGGGAGGGCTTCGCTTTCATGTTCAAAGTTGACGTTTCATGATCGTATCTAGGATTTGGCTCAGATGAGGTTCCTAGATGAGCATATCAATGAGACATGAATTCGTTCGGGAGCTTGTTGGACGGACAGTACCGTGAGCTTAGTCACAAGTGACCATATACTATGTGACGGGCAAGATTTAGCGGAAGGGAAATGTATAGGGAGCTTTCATAGGGGGTTGAGTGATCTATACAATCCAGTATACTATAGCTACAATCTATATGTGTAAGGGGCATAGCTCTGCATTGCCCACAAGTCACACGCCAATGGTACACAATCACCAATCGGTATGAACATTAAAAGGCTCAGAGAGTGGTTAACGCTAGAGCAACCGTCTAAAGTCATACCCTATTCTCATGGACGAGTTGTCCACGGGTTTCAACCAATGTAGTACTAGCTGTAATGGACAAAGGTAGTATGTTCTCCTGCCGTCCTAGTATTGCTCTATGTAAGGTAGTCCGGGCAGCCCTCCCCTTCTTCCGCACCAAAACCATATACGGAACTCCCTGCCTGGCTTCTCAAGGCCTGGACTCGTATCCCCTCCCCTCTGAACTGTTTTCAATCCAAAGACCCGCCTCAACACCGCCTGACATAGGCCGCGATACTCCCATCGGGGATGCTAGCGCACTCGCCAGCCTCGACGGGCAGCGCCACGCCATCCTTGCAGTTCGCAATAGAGTAGACCGTCACTGGGAGGTAGTAAGTACGATATGTCAGTCCTAAATTTAATCCACTCCATGTTTTGCGCATATCTTGTTCAAGGAGCACTCACAGTTACACGCCGCGTCCGCTGCATCAAACATGACGCTCTGAAACGTGGTCGGCGGCCCAGCCTGCCCGGAGCTGGCGATGAAGTACTCGCACCCGCGGACCTGGCCGTCAAAGAAGCCGATTGGGTACGTGTTCCAGTTGGTCGCGGGCGCGCCGGAGCAGTCGTTGGTGTTCCACACCGACAGACGGGCCACGGCGGATCCTGAGAGGGCCAGGATGGCTGAGGAGAGGATGAGGGAGAGCTTGTGCATGGTTGTTGAACGGAAAGGTTGCTTGTTGGGGTGTTGCTGGGGTGGTAGTAGTGATGCTGACGAGGGTGAGGGTGAGCGAGTAGTGGTACACTGAAGCTATTGGAGAAGAAAGGGCAGTGAGACTGGTGATGAAGCATGCTATATATATATGTAAGTTATGTACAATATCCGTACAATACTCCGTACCATTCAATACTCTTTCGGATTTAAGCTAACAGCGGAGCAGTCAACAGACTCAACACGTCGCTAATGTTACGTTCGCTTAATACTAGTACTAGTCTAGTCAGCTCCATAGACAACAATGCCCACGGTGCCGGAAGCCGAGCTTTGTTGTTTATTTTGAGGGACCAGTAAACCACCTCCCTTCCTGCAGAGTTCCAGTGCTGTGGGTACAGATGGCCACGTGATGGGGTCTGAATAGGTCCGAAGGATCGGTCATCAGGTGGCGGAGCACTCTTTGCATCGTGAGCGACGTGGGTTGAGGCTGCCAGCTGAGCTGCAGGGGTTCTTGGCGGCGTTATGAGTGGGCTTTCTGGCCTCGGTAGTTAGGTAGGCGTCTTCGGGGAGTGAAATGGAGCAGATTGATGGACATGGACTCACGGTCCGCAGAGGTGTGTTTAATGAGAGGCGACCACCTGAGAACACCCGCTGTCCGCTGAATATAGTCATTCTGCATAAGACTCCAAATATTTTACCCTTGACGCCTATAATCAGGTCTCCCTTTGGGTTCAACCCCGTTGGCAGTTCCACGGGAGATAGTATGCTCAAATACAAGTGTGCTAACTGTTCCCCGAATGGGTAATGGTGCTAGCATTACAATAATGTAGGCTGGAGAAGCACCCAAAGTCGACAAAGGAACCCGCAAGCTACCTAACCCCTGCGCACCTTGACCACAACCTTGCCGCGGGCCCGCTTGGTGGCGATGCGCTCGTAGGCGCGCAGGGCATCCTCCATCTCGAAGACAGAGTCGACAGGGATGCGCAAGCGGCCCTCCTCGACCAGGCGGGTTAGGTGGACCGCGTCGTCGCGCCGAGGGGGCGTGCTGAACATGATGTAGCGGCGCGGCACACCGCCCAGCCACGTGGGCAGCCAGTAGTTCGACAGCACACTGAACGCCGTCCGCGCGAAACCCTCGAGCGCCCCGATGTTGATGACCGCGCCCTCGGGCTTGAGATAGGCGGGGGACTGGACAAACAGCGCCTGGGAGCCGACGCAGTCGAGTATGAAGTCGAAGGGCTTGTCGCTGTAGTGCTGCGCCAGATAGGCCGGTAGCGGATCGTGTTTCCGGTAGTCGATGAACTGGAGTAGATCACACAATGTCAACCCCTATCCTCGTACATGATCTGATCGTTCAATTCGTTCCAACCAACAACTCACCTCGTCGACCCCCAGACCGCGCACCATCTCCTCATTAGCACCGCTCGCCACCCCGACCACCCTGACACCGCGCAGCTTGCACAGCTGCACCAGCACCGACCCGACCGACCCGCTGGCACCATTCACCAGCACGGTCTGCCCCTCGCGCAGCCCCGCCGTGCGAATCAGCTTGAGCGCGGTGCTGCCGGCGCCATTGATGCCCGACGCGGCCGCCATCTCCCGGCCGTCGGGTCCCCTCACCTCGATACGCGCGACATTGCCCCCCGGCAGGCGCACATATTCGGCCAGCACGCCCCGGCCGGCCACCATGCTTGGGACGTGCTGGAACGCGATGACACGCGTGCCCGGCGAGCGCACCTCGGCGGGCGCGCCCCCGCCCGCGGCCACCACCTCGCCCGAGAGCTCGAGCTCGGGGATGCAGGGCCCGGTGATGAAGGGCGGAAGGTAGGCGGGGATGAGTTTCATGCCCAACTCGCTGCTGTATTGCAGCGATACGTGCGAGACGCGGATCAGCACGTCGGATGATGACGGCTCTGGGGCGGCGGGGGTGGGGATGTTGTCGGCGAGCTCGAGGACGGCGCTCGCGGGGCCGCGCCGTCGGCGGATCCAGGCGCGCATGGTTGTCGGGATGGTTGGGATTTGATTTGTTGATGTCATTTTATCCTGTTTTGGTATTATCGTTCTGGTGGCGCAGAGGAGACTGAGAGGAAAGGAAGAAGAACGAGGACGCCGGCAAGTTTGAGCGAATGAATCAGTAGAACTAGCTTGTGTGATTTAATATTTGAAATGGTTGATTCCAGATCTGGCAGGGGAGACCCCTATGTTCGGTATTGTTTGCTTCGCTTTCGGCGCCGGGGTGCCGTCATTCCCGCATAAGACCCCTTTCGGCGCAGCTCGGAGACATTCTCGGTGGGACAAAGAACGCGATCGTGGACTTATAACTGATCCGAATGCATGGACCAACATACCTAGGTCCTTGGCAAATCTATGTCTCGACGGATTGCACGAGCTAGCTATCGGATGACAGGATGCAAGTTCCCCACGAAATTGTGGCGAACTGATCTATATTGGTCGGTGTGACGCGAGTTGTCTTGATGCACGCCATCGGGCGTTGCCAAGCTGAAACGGAAATGTGCGTCAGTTGACTCAGCTCCTCATCCGGGGAAGGTGCGTACCGTTCGATCCCGGATGCCGCCTTCCTACAACGCCACACCGAACCTCATTCGTAGGTAAGAAACCGGATTCCGTGTGTGACCTGGCCGTTCCACCATACCTAGGTAGGTAGGTAACAATCGATTCATCATGTGAGCTTTGGAACATATTGTTGAGTGCTGTGGCCCTGTGGGACAATAACCAAATATATCTCGACATGTGCCACGGCCCAAAAGGATTCATGAGTCATGATCGGACTCCTTGTGCTATGCGGATATGGTCCGAACCATTGTCCTGAGTGTATCATATACTGCCTAGACATCCTACTGAGCCTCTTCCTCGGCCCGTTGCGCTGCTGCCCGCTTCCGTTCCGCAGCCTCCTTTCCGCCAAAGCTCACCAGCATGCCGATGTCATATGCGGCCTTCAAAATACCGGCAATGATAAAGGCCAGCCCGAACAGGTTGTTGCGCGCCAAGACACCGGTGAGCAGCGGGCCCAGACTCTGGGCAGTGGTCTTGACCACGTTGACGGCGCCCATGATGGCTGTGCGCTTGCTGGGCGGGAGCGCGGCAGCGAGGAAGGCCGAGCGCGGTGCGACGTCCATGCTTTGCGTGCTGGCGCGCAGGATGAGGAAGGTGAGTGCCAGTGGCAGGTCGTCGGGGACCGCGATCAGGGAGAGGCAGACGGCGGACGGTAGGTGAGTGAAGACCATTGTCTGGGTTCCAAGGTTTATGAGAGCCTGCGTCAAGGAGTAGTAAGGGAGTGGGTTGGTAACGATAGGCTTACCTTGACGTTGCCAATGCGCTTGGCGATTGACGAAGCCACCAGCATGGACGCGGCTGAGATGGCGCTGGTGGAAAAGAATATCGTGCCCAGCTCGCCCTCAGGCAGACTGAACTTGCCGCGGAAGAAGTAGGTCATCCAGGACAGCGATGCGAGCCCGGAAGCGAACGAGTCCAGCGCGAAGAGGATGAACAGCCGGAGCATGAGTGACCACAGATCTCGCTCGATCGACGCAAAGATACCCCTCCTCTGCCGCGCAGGCTGCTGCTCCGCTTGCGCTGAGGGAGCAGAATCTGCTAGCAGCGGGCGTGTCTCTCCACTCTGCGCCTCGCCCTGCACCCCCGTGTCTTCTTCCTTGGCCGCTTCCACGTTGCTGGTCAGGGCCAAGGCCAGCATCAGCTTGAGCACACCAACGGCACCATAGACGGAGAAGATGATGCGGCAGGCGGGGACATAATCCCAACCGTGCAGCGACTGCAGCAAACCTATGGTCCACCCGCAGGCCAGTTGGCCCAGTGCGGTGCCGGCCGTGCCCAGCAGCGAGTACCAGGCAAAGACATCCGGCAGCTGCTCGTGCGGCGTCAGGTGAGCGAGGGTCGATTCCTCGACCGCGCGGAAGGGCCCAATCTCGTTCCCGCCAGGGCTGATAACGCCAAAGACAGCGGCGGCCAGCAGCAGCCAGTAGTTGCCAGACACGGCAAACACGACGCCGCTGCCGGCCATCAGCACCGACCCCAGCGCCAGCACGGCCCTGCGTCCCATGGCGTCGGCAAAGAGCGTCAGGAAGAAGCTGAGCACGACATCTCCCACGAGCGTGAGCGTCATGAACAGGCCGATCATGTCGTCCGCGATGCCGACGGCGGACAGATAGCTTGCCAGGATGAGCGTTGAGCCGCCGTAGGCGAAAAGGCGCACAAAGCGCTGCGCGCAGAGGAACTTGGCGTCTCGCGACGACCGCCACATCGTGACGAGTCCGAGCTCGTCGAGCGTGCGCGCGAGCATGCCCACTGTTTGCGGCGGAGATCTTGCTGGTTCGGCCATGATTGGAGTTTCAGACCTTCATTTTACGACGTGATTATCATTTCAACTGATGTTCTGTAACGTGGTTGATAAGCGAATGCTCCAGACAAGCGAATGCTCCACAAAGTTGCACCTATATAACAAAATGTATATCAATCCCACCAAAACCGCTTCAAACAAATGAAACTACTCGGAATCGTCTTCCTCAGACGTTTCCACAACTATCTGACAGGTACGCGCATTATGGCCAGGTTCGCCGCAGGTGCTATAGCGCCGCGCGCGCGTCTCGACCCTCGGCTTCCGACCACTACCCGCCCGTGTTTCCTCCTTTATCTGCACCTCAACCTCTCTCTGACCTTGCAAGTCCTTTGCATCTTGTATAGTAAGCAATCCTCCTTGTCGGAGCCGTTGTTTTTTAGCCCGCCGACGCCTGCTTAGTGCCTTATTTGCTACTCGGAGGCTTTGGTTCTCTGCTCTTAACAATGCCAATTGATATATAACCTTAGACGTCCCTTTCGCAAGGATATCAACTGCTCTTAAAATCTCGGTTGGAGAGCTATTTTGATGCCGGGCAATTCGATTCTTGATAAGGGCGGACTACGAGGAGGCTTCGGCTGGGTTGTTTGGGGTCTTGGAAACCCAGGTATAGGCACTGCTAGGCCGGGAGTTCGAAGGTATTGGTGTCTTCAGACGGATGTCGAGCTGGGAGATTACCTTCTCGGGATCAAAAGGAACGAGTCCAGTACCTCGAAAACCTCCCTGAATGTTTCCGGGCGTTATTGCTACCTGGTAAGCTACGAGGAATATAGGAAAGAAGTCTTCCTTGGTGATATAGGTTATACTTGCCTATATTATTGCCTCGATCTGCTTGCCGTATGCTGTCTTGAGCAGGCTAAAATACCCAATATCAAGCGGCTGGAGGATATAAGATGAGTGTAGAGGCATATAGAGCGTAATAATATTGTTCTTGTAGTAGAGCTCGAAGTCGATCGAATGGTAGCTATTATGGCCGTCGAGGACAAGAAGGCGATAAACCCTAGTTGTTTGGACTCTGGTATATATGTCGAAATGCTTGATCCAATCTAGACCTCTCTTATTGCTAGTCCAACTATTTTCGGATATCGCGATAACCTATTCCTTTGGCAATAGGCTGCCCTTATACTAAGAGGAGAGGTAATATTTGCCCTGGACGATAATAAACGGCGGGATTGCCTAGCCAATAGTATTAATACCCTAGATCACTATTGCCTACTCCTGATTATTAAGCTGCTTTGACTTTGCCCTGCTATAACGTTCGGAGCTTATAACAACCATTGAGGTTGCAATAACGCCTATTAGAAACCTAGTCTCGTCGAAGTTATAGATGTCTGCCTCCTAGATGCTATACTTCGCGATTGTATTCTATATAAGCGTAAACCAGCTCCGAATAATTTCTAGGTCTTTATATTAGGCCCTCTAGTAGTCGTATTTCCGATTGAAACGCATAATAAGCTCGGGGTGCTGTTTGACGAAGTTGTATGCCCAATATATATTAACGTATCCCACATTGCGTTTGGCAAGTAGTCGATTTGCTATATCTTCTATACTAGATAAGCGGGGAGGAAACCCTTTAGAATCTAGGTCGAGAATATATTGAACAATGACCGATTCTTCTAAATTGGTCAACTTCCGTAAATTGGCTGGAATATCGCATCGTGATTATATACTACGCCTATAACGGCTTAGCTTGGTATAATGAACCGTATAGATCTTAGCTGCAGCTCTTAGGCTCAAAAGTCTTTCTCAAGAGCTTGGAGGGCTAAGATTATCTGGCGTTCGTCGTCTTTTGGATGCATATTGGGTTGCAAAGAAAATGTATGCGAGGAGAAGGTGTTATGTAGGCGCGGTGAAGTGGAGCATTCGCTTGTCTGGAGCATTCGCTTATCAACCACGTTACGTATCAGTATTTTTATAGAGGCAATGATCTGCCCAGCGGCGCTCTTGGAAGCCAGCCGCCCGCCAGCTGGCGAGTCCGGTCGCTGTTGAAGCTCGGAGCTCGTACGAGCGACTCTCCCCCGAACTTCGCCTTTTCGGATCCCTACGACCTACATGCCATCAGTCAACATGGCAAGACAAAAATGCTTAACAACAGATCACTAGGCTACAATTCATTCTGTGCACGCCTCGAAGACATAAAATTATCGTTAGGTCGTTCTGGAGATGCCCGCAAATCGCCCCCGTCGACTGCTGCGGTCCTCAAGAGCATGTATGTCCACAGTCTGTCTCCCCCGTATTCTGTGATCGTTGCCTGACCAATCCAATCAAGGTGATTTCTGCCATAAACGGCGCATCAAATGCGAGGGAAATTTCGGCGTGGCCAGCCGCTGTCAGAACTGTACAGATTTCGATGTTCAATGCACTTTTGATCGGCCGCTCAGGAGAGGCCGAAACACACCACAGTCGACACGGGCAGTTGGGCAGCTTGGCCTCCCTGTTCCACCAGAATCTCCACGTCATGTCGGCAAAGACAAAGGCCAAGGCACCAACGGAGGGGTTAGAGCAAGCACTAGCCTCCATGACGATGAGAGCACGACGGAGCCATTGAGCCCGGCATGGGAAGCCTTTGCAAGTGCTTCCAGCTCGGTTCTGAAGCGCTTGTTTTCGGTGTACTGCGAGACTGTTTACCCGATGTGAGCCAATGTCTATCTATTCGTCATCTCCAGCTAACAATATCTTGAGCTTTCCGTTCTTTGATCCGGTCAGCTTCCAGCAACGACTGGACGCGCTCGAACACACTCGCAACCGCGCATTCTTCTGTTCTGCCATGGCGGCTTGCGCGCTTGCCTCGGCCAGAATAAGGGACGGTGCACCTGCTTCTGCCAGGGCTGGAGCAGGCGCTGGCAGAGAACCGGCCGAAATGCCACCAGAGATATTCTTTGCCGCTGCAGAAGAAGCCCTCCCAAAGGACATCCTTCAATGCCACGACTTCGACTACCTCAGGGGCTATGCGCTGCTGGCGCTCACGAGCATACAGGATGCAAAGATAGCGGCGATGCACAAGTACATCGGCTATTACTTCACCATGCTTGCCATCAATCAGTGGCACGACGAGTCCAATTGGCCCACCGGTCTGCATGCTTCTGAGAGAGAGGAGCGTCGGAGACTAGTTTGTGCCTCGGCCCTTCACAATCATGTGGCATAGCTCCCACTAACGGTCACAGTATTGGTCCATCTATACACTAGACGTCTATTCCTCCATCATATGGGATGGTTGCATCCACTTCCAAGAAAGCCATGCCAGAGTCGAATACCCCACTGGGCAAACCGACCTCGAAGACAGCTCCAGCTCAACCGAACCTGCCCACTGGATCGTGGGATGGAATTTCACGACCGATCTTTATCGTATTTTGGAGCATACGGTGAGCCGGCTGAGGTGTCGGTCATCCAGGTTCAACTGGCTGGGCGACTCCGCCACCACCGGGTCATTCAGCGTTTCGAGCCAGGTTCGAGTCGCGGAACTGTACGCCGTGTTGCCCGATGTCTTCAAGCATCTGCAACCGGCGACCGGCGACCCCGAGAGGGACATCTACGGATTCCAGGCGGCCAACATCCAGGCAACCATGGCTCTCCTCCGAATGGCCTACCTTTCTTTGGATGTGGATATCGACCTGGAAAAGAAATGCTCCGTCGTCAGCGACGTGCTGTCCACCTTCCATCAGGTCCCTAAGCCCTATTTGAGAGCCATCAGTACGCCTCTGATCTATCACATCGGCGGGATTGGCATCATCCTGGGCTCGGTCATGGAAGGGCCGCTGTCAGAAAGCTCCTGTCGGCGCGTCCGGGACCTCCTGCTTTCGATGGCCGTGCTGCTCGAGAGTCTCGAAGCCTTCCTCCATCGGAGTGCCGGCGCCGGCCAAAGACTCCGCAACCTCGCGTCGCGGCTGGAGGAGTACATCAACCTTCGGTCAACCACTCATCCCGGCCAGACGGCGGCCGTGGCGGGGCCGTCAGAATTACAGGATGCGTTACCATCCAGCGGGTGGGAAGGCTCTGCAGGTGTGGCGGACCTGTCGCCACAGTTCCAACTTCCGGACGATCTCTTTGAGGACTGGACATGGCCTTTTGTTACCACCAACGGCTACTTATCCTTCTGAGGGATCATGCAGGATGGTGGGAATATCTATCGTGGTACTCTCATTACACGCCGTACTACCACCTATTACTAAAAACCTCGCCGTTCACATAGTTCACCATCTCCCTAACCGGCTCCAGCTCCGGCAGCCCTTTCCCAAACAAGATGCCCTTCCTCATCACGGTCCGGTAGTTCGCGCCGGGGTTGACCTTCCCCAAGACATACAGCCTGCGGGTCTCGACACGGTCCGGCACGGGAATGCTGCGTCCGACGATGGCCTCCATGCCCTGCCAGGCGAAGGTGACGGCCTCCTTGGCACCTCCCGGAATGCCGGCCTCGTCCAGCGTGAACATCTTGACGTGCGGGAACTGCTCCCTCATATACTCGGTGATATTGGGGTTGTAGGCCCCACCGCCGCACATGAAGACCTCGTCGACCTCACGGTCCCGCGGCGCGTACCGGCGCCAGTGGTCGACGATGGCCTGCGCCGTGATCCGCGTCACAGTCGCGACCACGTCGTCCGCGCTCAGGCCCCGCTCGGCCCCTTCCCGGATCAAGTCGTCGGCCAGCGTGTCCCGGAAGACCTCGCGGCCGGTCGTCTTGGGCGGGTCCCAGCGGAAGTAGGGGATCCGGGCCAGGAAGCGGTCGACCATGTCCTGGTCGACCGTCCCGCGCTTCCCCATCTCGCCGTCCTTGTCGTACTCGCGCTCGCCGTGCGTGTAGTGGCGCACGACGGCGTCGATGAGCGCGTTGCCCGGCCCGGTGTCGAAGTCATAGGCGCGGTCGGGGCCTTCGGGCGGGACGAAGCACACGTTGGCGATGCCACCGATGTTCTGGCACGCCCGCAGCTTGCCCGGGTGATGCAGCAGCAGCGCGTCGAAGAAGGCGATCAGCGGCGCGCCCTGCCGCCCCGCCGCCTGGTCCGACACGCGGAAGTCGGTCACTGTCGTCACGCCCGTGCGAGAGGCGATGATGGTGCCCTCGGCCATGGTCAGCGCCGATCGGGGAACGCCCTTGTCCGGCATGCTCGCAAGCCAGATCGTCTGGCCGTGCGAGCCGATGGCGTCTAGCGTCTTGATGTCGACGCCGTTGGCCTCGCAGAAGTCGATGGCCGCCGCCGCGAATACCTCCCCCAGGAGAACGTTGACCTCGGACAGCTCGGACGCGGACGTCTTGTCGTGCTTGATGATGGACAGGACGCGCTTCTTCAGCTCCAGGTCCATGGGGATCTCGCCGTACTTCAGCAGGGAGAAGTGCATCGGCGAGCCGGGCGTCTCCTGCCGGAAGTGGCACAGCGCACAGTCAATGCCGTCCTGGGTATTGCAGCTCCCTTTTCAGTATTCTGGGTTCCACGGCAATCCAGTGACGCGGTGTGGTAGTAGTGTGGACAATACACTCACCATAGACGTGCCGCTGTTCATTCCAAGCACGGTGAGGTCTAGGGGCTGGCCACGGCGGCCGTTTGCCATTGGTTCTGATTCTTGTGCCATGGCTGTGTAGGAAGCGTGAGGACGAGGAGAGAGCGCTGAATTCGGTTCAGGGTAACAAGCGTGTTCATGCCAACTTATCATGGACCCGGAAAGTCCCAGCTCCCAGCTCGGAGGCGCTCAACCGGCATGGGTCGGCCGCATGATCTCGCTGTGGGCCTCTGCATCGGCTTTCAACTTTTGTTGGGTTCTTACTACTAGTCACATGTCCGATGGGATAAGCGGTTACCCGGGTGGTAGGTGTGGCAAGCGGGATCCCGAACGGCGTGGCGGCTACGAGGTTGAGCGGCTACACGGCAACGCGGCTACACGGTTTAGGGGCTTGGACATCCACTTTCGGCAGCAACAAAGCATACAGCACGAGTCAGCTGCTGCTGCTCCACACCCGCTTCCAAAGTCCAACTCCCCGGGTTCTGGGGATCCGGGGACCCGCACGGCAATGACAATCCAAGTGTTGGTTGTGGGTTCCCCAGAGTTCCCCAGAGTTCCCCAGAGGCTCCTATTCCTGTTCGTCAAAAATCCAATGAGGAAAGGCGAGAATGATGCTTGCTCGGTGCCTATATAATATGGTGGCTTGCAACCCGTGAGATCACCGCATCGTGCTCTTCGCCCGCTGACTCTTCTGTCGCTTACACTCGTGCAGCTTGCTTTGGCCGCCACGATGGGCTACACTACTCTCTGGAAGAGGCTGTCGCCCCGAAACCTCAACATCGCCATCCAGGTCTTCTCCCTCATCAGCATCTTCTTCGAGGGCTATGACCAGGGCGTCATGGGCGGCGTCAACGCCTCGCCGCGCTATGTCGCCGAGGTCGGCATCGGCCTGCCGGATGGCACCGTCACCGACACGGTTCACCAGGGCGGCATCGTCTCCATCTACTACCTGGGCTGCATCTTTGGCTGCTTTGCCGGCGGGTGGGCTGCCGATAGGATCGGCCGGATCAACGGGTATCTCAAACCCCCTTCTTCAAATCTGCGTTGCCGTGAACACTTTCTAATCAGCCTGCATGGTCCCAGTCTTTTCCTTGGGTCTTTCTTTGCACTCGTTGGCGGTGCCCTTCAGGCGGCAACCCAGTCCAGTGACTTCATCCTGGTAGCTCGCGTGGTGACGGGAGTCGGGACAGGCGCCCTGACCGGAATCACGCCCGTGCTTGTCTCCGAGACATCAACCGCCAGCCACAGGGGCGGCTATCTCGGCTACGTCTTCATCGCCAACTACCTGGGCATCGCCGTCGCATACTGGATCTCGTTCGGGCTGGCCTTTGTCAACGACGGCTATTCAGACGTGCGCTGGCGGTTTCTGCTGGCCTTCCAGTGCTTCCCAGCCCTCCTTCTGCTCGCCGGCATCCGGCTGCTGCCCGACAGCCCGCGATACCTCGCCTCCGTCGGCCGCTTCGACGACGCCCGCGAGGTGTTGGAGCATGTGCGCGGCAACTACGGCCCGGAAGTGCAGAGAGAGTTTCGCGAGATCACCGCCGTCGCCAGAAGCAGCCAGAAGAGCTCGCCGCTGCAGTTCGCCAAGATCCTGGCTGGCAAGGGCGGCAAGCCGGGCCACCACCTCGGCAGGCGGTCGTGGCTGTGCTTGATCCTGCAGATCATGGCCTCGTGGACCGGCATCACCGCCGTCACGGCTTACTCTCCCGTCCTCCTCTCCGCCGCCGGATACAACGACCTCACGCAGAACGGCCTGGCAGGCGGCCTGAGCACCGTGGGCATCATCGGAACCATCATCAGCGCCCAGATTGTCGACCGGCTGGGCCGCCGCACGTGTCTGATGGGCGGCGCGTTCGGCCTGTTCGCCGTGAACCTCGTCGCCGCGAGCGTGTACGAGGCCGCCAGGGCGCAGCCGGAAAAGGCGGCGTCGTACGCCCCGGCCGCCGTGACCATGTTGTTTCTCTTCAACATCTGCTATGCCGCGACCTGGGGCACCGTCGCCTTCCTCGTGCCCACCGAGATCTGGCCGTCCGACATGCGGGCGCAGGGCAACGGCTTCGGCATCACCGGCTGGGCTATTGGTGTCGGCTGGACTGTCTTGGTCAACCCTGTCATGTTCGGAAATCTTGAGAATAGGACGTACTTCCTCTTTGCAGCGCTGAATTTGCTGTGGATTCCCATCGTATACTTGTGTAAGCCTGTGCTCTAATGTTGGAAGGCTCACGTAGCGTTCTGCTGACCACATGGACTACTACCTTAGTCTACCCCGAAACCGCCGACAGATCGCTCGAGTCCATCGACGCCCTCTTCTCCACCGACAGCCCCTTCAACTGGAATATGGAGAAGGCGTACCGCGAACATGGCGATGTCCTCGCGGAGCTGCGGCAGTCGGATGTCTCATCTGTGCAGGAAGATGGAAGTTTTGCGGATAAGAGTGCGCAGCTTGTTTGAGGACGGAAGAATAAACATGAAGCTGGAGCGGTATAATATAATAAGAATAACCAATGGGATATTAAGGCTTCACAACATAACGGACGACACTTATGCCTTGAGCCCTTTCTCTAGCGTGACCTCCTTCTCGCTGCTCACTGGATCAGACTTGGCCACACCCGTCGACTACAACACAATCTGCGCTAGTAGGCATGACGCCGAGCCTTGCCGCCTTCTCAGGCGGTGAAGGTGCCACGAATACCGTGCTCATCAACCTCGCCGAGGCCTCGTGGCGGCCAAAAATAGTTCAACACATAGAACAGTGAAAAGTAATCGCAAACCCATCAAGAAACGCCAGGCTAAAGACATTCGGCCACCCCCTGGACACCGTGACCGTACCTGGCGTCACATTCTGCGCAAAGCCCGGGAAGCTACGACCAGGGCCCCGCCACCCAGGCGACGAATGCGCGCCAGTTGAAGCCGTGGAAGTAGAAATAGATGCCCCTCGGCCCGCGGGTGGTAGAGGACGGACAGCTTGATGCTCGCGGCGCCGGACCATCCAGTATTCGTATACCCGGATGCTGACACAACGGGGCCGAGGAACACGCTGGAGGCTGACCGAGAGCACGCTGATGAAGACGGCTGCGGACGAGAGCAGCTCCTAGAGGCAAAGGGCGATGCTGAGGACTATAGGTCAATGTAAGCGCCCCGCCGGATATTGCTGTAGTTGGAGAAGAGCTATGTGCGGGTGATGAGTGTGTGTGTTAGCAAAAGAGTCTGGGACTACAGATCTCGGCAGAGCAGGATATAGGTCTTACAGCGGCTAGGTCCATTCCCGCCGAGAAGGCGTTGTCCACCGTGTTGATGGCGATCTGGCAGACGAGCAGCTCCAAGCCGGAGAAGAATACCCTGGCACAGGCGCCGCTGTTGTACGATGTGTCGAACCACAGTTGCGACAGAACGGCTGGTAAGGGAATACCGGGCATGTGAGTGATGAAAATGCTAGCCAAAAAGCGGATGCAGATTACTAGTGGTGTTAAGTGAGCGACATACGGGGATTCCAGACGGCTTCTCCGAAATACGCCTGCGTTGCCGACGCAGTCAGACACCCAAACAAGTGGAACAATGCCTCGAGGAAGCCTTTTCATTAGGAATGAAACCATGCCCTATGAGGAAAGAACCTTCAAGTACTGCCGGCCGGCGGTAATGTACGACATATTTCGATAGGAAGCACGGGCAGCAGTTGGGCAGAGTGAAACAAATGTCATGCTACCACCCTAAAGCCGAGGCCATTCAGAGTAGATGTGGGCAATTGCCGGAAGAACCACAGGCCGAACTTTTCTCTCAAGTATCGAGATTTACCTTTGATGTGACGACACCTGTGTGACAGAAGATACAGCGGTCAAGTCCAAGCAGCACCGTGTCTTCGGCATCATCATCGCCGGCGATGGGGTGTAAAATGCCTTCGCCGTGCCGCATAGGCGCAAGTACCTATGCTTGCAAGGCAGCACTTTAGGCGTGAGAACAACCCCCCCCGAAACACGATGAAATCCGGGCTATGGCCCTGCGGTGTCACCCATCGACATCCAATCGTATCTGCCATTGCTGGGACTGAACCGCTGATAAACATTTCCGAGTCTTGGGTTGGCCAGTTTAAGAAGGCGGCGGGCCTCGCAATAGTGTTCTGCCGACGGTTTTCCTCCTACATCACCCAACTACATTACCGGAACACAAAAAGATGCGCCGTCTTCCACGCTTGCCGCAGGCCACCAATACCTTGCCTGGCTTGCCACCTCAAGCGCAATTGCATCTACCCGCAACATGCGTTGACCCTTGCAGTAAGAATGCAGTGAGGACGCGAGAGTTGTGAAGTCTAAGCTAATTCCCTATCCTTTTTCCTGGTCTAAATAGATGTCGCATACCTAGGCTACCAGACGCAGGACTTTTCACCGGACTCGCTAAGATCGTCGCCATTCGCCGAGTACAACGAAAACTGCTTAACCTGTCTGATAGACAACAATCTTGAGCCTACAGTTTGGTTAGACGGCTTTGGGGACTTCCTCATCTACTTTGCTCGGCTGAAGTCGTGCCCGGCCCGTTCCAGTCCATGTCCGCGGTTTCCGTCCCTTATTGCAAACCATCCGAGGTGTTCGCTGACATAACGTGGATCCAGGCGACGACCTTGGAATCGCGGGCGAGAATCTTTGTTGTCCGACGGATCACTTGTAGGTGTCCCTGACTATGACACCACTGCAGTGCTCTTGTCGACGAACAGCACGATTCCGAGCAGACCTGGGGTTTACGCAGGCTTCTATTCTGTTTATCTGCTGATTGCAGGTGTTCACTAGATGTATTATCGACTTAAATAACGTTACCGTGGCCCAGTGCTGCCAGGGCTCCTCTTGTGGAAGCCCTTGCGGATCCACAGCATACCAGTGCGACTACACTTCCATGATCGAGGACACACCCACCGTCATCCCGGCATGCTGCCCACGGCTTACGTCCCGGTCGCTTGCTCCTACTAACACCATCCCGATGTCATGGCTCGTGATGTCAACCACACGGGCCGTAGTTCCCGTCAGTGGTGTAGGAATGGATAGCATTACAACCGTGACAACTCTCACTGCCTTTGTGGAGTTGCTCGTCACGCGGGCCGATTGGACCGGCTTCGACAATGTCAGCTCGACGTCCCGCCTCAGCAGCCAAAGCACTTCGACGGGCGCGTCAGTAGATGGTAAGAGCCAATGCACTTTGACCCCTCGACGATGAGCCATGACCATATACCATATAGTTAACCAAACAGCTGCTGACCCCAATTCTGCAGGGCATAGCAGCTCAGAGGGCGCTGGCAGTACTCCAGGATGGAGGTTGATCGTCAGCGCGACAATTGGCACTGTCGCTGGCTTGGCTCTCCTTGTAGGAATCTATCTCGTCTTCCGTCGCAGCCGGAAACGGGCGAAGAGAGAACAGGATGTTGTTTGGACCGGGAAACCGGAGTTACACGCCGAGAGCGTACCGAATCCACCACACCCGCCCCAGGAGCTTGACGCTAGGCCCCGACCAGCCCAGGAACTTGTGGCTGAGGGTTCTGGACCGCGGCAGGAAGGAGGCCCGGAACAGTCCGATGTCACTAGTGAATGTCACCGGATGGTAGAGATGGCTGCAAAGGAGGTCCCTGCGCTGGAGATGGACGTGAAAGGTGGGTATTGTGAGATGGAGGTAAAGGACAAGGAGAGAAAAACGCAAACTTCAGAGTTTATGTAGGGAGGCTCTGAGACGCTGGGAAAAGGGGAAGCCGAGGGGTACTAGTAGGTAAGATACGCGGCTGCCTTGGCGAGATAAACGATTAGAGAGGCGTTAGTAATAAAGCATATTCAAGGAGGCAGGGGCCGAGAAGAGGAAAAGAGAGGAGGGATGGAGGGACTAGTCGCGAGTACAAAAAGGGGGCGTCGGAGAGGCGAGGCTTGTGTTTATATTACAGGCGCGCTGGGCGGTGCGAGCACGCGGTTCGGACGTAGCGCTATAGTTACCCGATTGGGAGGGTCGCTCGTCGCTAAACCCGGTGGGTTCTACATTACAAGGAGAACACCAATCTGAACTTTCCACTCTACCTGGGCACTTGTATACCAGTCCAAGACTCTTATTCCTTGATTGCATCTTCTTGGCCTCGGAGTCCCAAAGGATGGAGGGAAGCCTCTGAACCGTTTGCGGGGTTCCGCGGGGTGCCAAGACGCTAACTCTGGGGTTGCATGCTTGGCGAGCTCGGGTGCAACGGGAATCGTGGAGAAATGTCGGTTCCTTCGCTTGGTCGACGGAAGGAACCGCGACACGCCCAGCGAGGTCCACAAACCAACACATCCCAAATTGTTCCAATTGGTGCGCATCGTAACATTGCCGGGGAAATAGCAGACTCAGTTGGCAGATCCCTAGGTGATATCGCAATTCGGCAGCACTCTGTGGGCATGGGCTTGGACTCCTGGAGTGCCTGGCTGCGTTGACCTCGTGGAGAGATCGGTTGATGCAAGGGGCACATCGGCACGATGTGTGTTACCGCTCCAATCACCGACTTGCCCAGTCTCTTGGGTCGCTTCCCCCGCGTCAACAAACAGGAAACCGACCATCACGGGTGGATACTGGATAGACGATTCATGGAGCTGACGGGTGGACGTTCTAACTTCTCGTCAAGTTTGCTTAAATTCAACCATGCCGCCCTCATCATGGCCCGCTGCTTCTCCAGGCCAGCTCAGCCCAGCACACGACTGACTCCAGCGCCAACTCCGCCAACATGAAGTGGTCAACGCTCGTCCTGTCCCTCCTCCCCCTCGTCTCGGCTGCTCCCAAGCTCAAGGAGCAGCCGACCTTCGCGCAGCGCGTCATCTTCACGCCCCCGGACAATTACACGGATCCGCGCGTGCTGTACGCCCGGACTGGCCAATTCAAGGATGGCACCCTGCTAGCGACATGGGAGAACTACAGCCCCGAGCCTCCCGTAGTGTACTTCCCCATCTACAGGTCCACCGACGGCGGCCTCAACTGGAAGGAGATCTCGCGTGTCCAGGACACGGCGAACGGGCTGGGACTCCGCTATCAGCCCTTCCTATACGTCCTAGACCAACCCTTCGCCGGCTTCCCCAAGGACACCGTCCTACTCGCCGGCAGCTCCATCCCGACGGACCTCTCCAGGACGCAGATCGACCTCTACGCCTCCACGGACCGGGGCGTCACCTGGAAGTTCGTCTCGCACATTGCCGCCGGCGGAGAGGCCCGGCCCAACAACGGCCTGACGCCCGTGTGGGAGCCGTTCCTCATGCGGTACCAGAACACGCTCATCTGCTACTACTCGGACCAGCGCGACAACGCCACGCACGGCCAGAAGATGGTGCACCAGACCACGACCGACCTCCGGTCCTGGGGCCCCGTGATCGACGACGTGGCCTACCCGACGTACGAGCAGCGCCCCGGAATGCCCACCGTGGCCGAGCTGCCCAACAAGAAGTTCATCATGGCGTACGAGTACGGCGGCTCCCCCATCACTTCCGGGTATCAGTTCCCCGTGTACTACAAGGTCGTGTCCGACCCGGAGAAGTTCGGCCCCGCCACGGGCATCTCGCTCAAGACGACCGACGGCTACGTCCCGACCGGCTCGCCGTACGTCGTCTGGAGCCCCGTCGGCGGCAAGAACGGCACCGTCATCGTCAGCGCCCACAGCTCGGGCGACATCTACATCAACACGGGGCTGGCCGAGCCCGGCACGCCGTGGAAGCGGGTCCCGACACCGGAGAAGAACGCCTACACGCGCCACCTGCGCGTGCTCAACAACGACCCCAGCAAGTTGCTGATCATGGGCGCCGGCCAGCTGCCGCCGAGCACGACGAACAAGGTGCAGCTGAGCGTGATGGACATCAGCAAGCTGTAGCGGGATTTCGGAGTTGTCAATAGAAGATATAGGTTAGAGCATTGGTAATTCGACTACAATGCTGTTGTGGAACTCTGATCTCCCCTGACTACACTAATCCTCAGGTACTTTGTAGGTAACGGCGGAATGTTCCCAGGCGCACGGGTGGCTTCCGGCTTCATTACTGGTCAACAATCTGCGAATGCACATGCAGTGCTACGGTAGGCGTGCCAATGATTTGGTCATATCTCAGCGGCTGAATCTTGTAGCCCCACCCGCCAGAGCACAGGATGTCGAGCGGGAATCGAATTTCCAGTGAGTTCGGTTCGCATACCCTACCTACACACCTACCTAGTCTGCCGCCCATCCGTTCCTTATTGGACCACTGCAGCCCTGGTGGAACCCTGGTCGTTCTCACGGAACAAATGGATCATCAGGTGGGTGTCTCTGAGCAGTTGGAGCCGCTGGGACCTGGGCAGAGGTGGGAGCCCGCAGTGAGCCGCGAGGCGGGAAGAGTCAAGATCAAAGACCCCTCCTCGCGTCAGTCGCGGTGGAGCACTCTGGGCCGATCTGAACTTGGACCGGAGTCCGGAGATTAGAATGCTGACCGGGTTGCTTCTCAACAGCCGCACAAGAAACCCTTTGGCTTCCTCTCTCGTTCGGGAACGGAAAAGTCGCTGCAGAATCCAACAGCTGCAGACCTCGTCGGGCGAGTACATTCCATATTCTTCCTAGCCACCCCGCACCGGGGCTCGGACATGGCATCCATCCTTGAGAACATCTTGACCATGGCATTACTGGCATGGGGAAAGAAGCCCTATGTGGCCGACCTGACGCCCAACTCGGCAGCGCTGGCGGCTATCAACGATGCCTTCCGGCACGTCGTACCGGACCTGCGTCTGTGGTCATTTTACGAGACGTTACCCCTGCGGAGCACAGGGGCGATCAATCGAATCGTGGTGGAGCGGCACTCAGCAACGCTTGGCTATCATAACGAGGAGATTGCCGCCTTGGACGCCGATCACCGCCAGGTGTGCAAATTCGACACGCCGGCCGATCCAAACTACAAGGTCCTTCGGAACGCTCTCCTCACTGCCGTGGATCTCATAGGGCGGCTGGGAAGCCGGAAGGCACGCCATCTCACCCCTCTGCGCCGTCACCGGAGAGCAACTCGCTCCTGCGTTCCTTTCTGGGAGTGTGGGAGTCGGCTGAAGGTGACCTCGCCGCCCTTCAGGTGCTCAGGCAACCGGGATCCTATGTGTGGTTCACGGCGAAACGGTGCTTTGCCTCGTGGAGAGCCGGCACGGGGCCGGGCATTCTCTGGCTCATGGGGAGGCCTGCCGCCGGGAAGTCCGTGCTCGCGACCCATGTTACCGAGCAGCTGAACCACCCGCAGGTATACTGCAGTTACTTCATCTTCAAGCATGGCAAGGCCGGTGCATCCACGCTGGGCGACTGCTTCCGGTCGCACGCCTTCCAGATGGCCATGCAAGACCATTCGGTGAGGAAGGCACTACTGCGGCTTGCCAAGGAGGGCGTCACCTTGGACGGCTCGGATGAGATGAGCGTTTGGCGACGACTATTTACCGGCTGCATCTTCAAGCTGCCAAGCATAGTTCGGCACTTCTGGGTTGTGGATGGAGTAGATGAGTGCGCAAACTTCCATGCAATGTTTGCCAAGAGGTTGCTTGCTGCGCTTCCCCAAGGACTCCGACTGTTTGCCACGAGTCGCAACCTGGAAGAGATCGAGCGTGGCCTCGCTTCGCTTGGGCCCAACCGGGCCGTCGTACCGGTGCTGTCGGATCAAGATACGGTCGAGGATATGCGGCTGTTCGTAACCACCAGCTTGATGGAACTGGGGCGGCCGGAAACTGCCGAGGATCGCGAGCGCATGTGCGCAAAGATCCTCGAAAAAGCGTCTGGTTCGTTCCTCTGGGCCCGTCTCGTCTTACAAGAGTTCGAAAGCGCCTGGACCGAAGAGGCCATGGAGGCGGTCTTGGGCGAAATCCCTGCGGACCTATTTGACTTGTATTCCCGGATGGCGCAGGCCATCGAGGAAGAAGGACGGAAGCTGGCTTTAGCGAAACCCATCCTTACATGGATGGTTCTTGCATGCCGCCCCTTAACAGTGGACGAGTTGAGGTGCGTGGTCAAACTTGACATCAACCAGACCCTCCAGAACGCGGCGAAAGCGATCCCAGACCTGTGCGGACAGCTTGTGTTCGTAGACCAACACGACAGGGTGCAGATGATACACGAAACCGCACGGGAGTTCTTGGTTGCCGAAGGTCTTGACCGGGAGTTGTCCATCGTTAAGAAAGATGGCCACACCCGGCTGGCGTCCCTGCTGCTCCAATATCTCTCCAGCACTGTCCTGAAACCATCGGGGGCAAAGGCACCGCAGAATAGTAGCGGGCGCGCGCGAGGGTTCGCCAGACCTACCACCACCACCACCACCACCACCACCACCACCACGACGCCGCCGATGGATACGTCTCTACTACTAGAGTACGCGTGTTCCTTCTTTTCGGACCATTTGTACCGAGCTACCTCTGCAGATTACCAGCTGATGGAAGAACTGTCCAACTTCCTGAGCGCCAACAAACGTCCTCTCCTGGATCGAACTTGTTGCGAAGAGCGGGGATCTCACCCCGCTGCCCCGGACAGCCATGAATCTACGAGAATACCTTAGTCGACGGATGAAGTATGTGCCGCCAACGGATAGATCTGTCAAACTAGTCGATGGCTGGGTGACAGATCTCATCCGCGTGCCTGCTAAGTTCCGGGCCCAACTTCTGGATTGCCCGTCCTCCATCCACTCGCTTATTCCCCCCTTGTGCCCGTCAGAGTCAGTCATCTCACGCACTTTTGGTACAGACCGGCGTCCGTCGCCCGCTTCATCCGGCCTGGTGGTCAAGGGTCTCCCGCCCGGGCCCTGGGACGACTGCCTGATCCGGATGGACTTTGACAAAGGCCAAACATCGGTTGTCAGCCACGGCGATCGCTCCTTTGCCATCGGATTGTCCACGGGACAGATCTCGCTCTACGATACGGCTTCCCTACAGGTTCTCCGCCACCTCCAGCACCCCGAGCGTGTGAAGATTTTGGAGTTCAGCCCTGAGGATCGGCTCCTTGCGTCCTACGGCCGGAAAAGTCTTATTCTCTGGGATCCCAAATCTGGGACCATGGCGCGCTCGTTGCCCTTGCAGTCGCCTGCGCTTGGGGTTGTCTTCCTGGGCGTAGAAGAGCTTCTCGGCGCGTTCCAGTCTTGTGAATTGACGATATGGTACAGTACGTGAAACAGGATTCAACATCAATTTAAGCAAAAAAAGAGCCCTTTAGTACTAATAACGATGGCCATAGTGACCTGATAACCGAGGAAGCCGTGTCGATCTCGTGGAAGGACGCTGGACCGTCCGAAGAGCTCAACGTCGTCCCCCCCAATCCGCCAAGCCATGTAGCATTTCTAGTGAGGACTCCGGATGAGGTGCTGCTCGCGATGGGATACCGCGCTCATCCAATCCTCGTCTGGAACGCACTTGAGCTGCAGTTGCTAGGGACCTGCGAGCCCGATATCCCAAACAACGGAATCAATGCCATGGTCTTTGGCCCCAACCCAGAGGTTACCGGTACTGGTGGTGTCATTCCAAGAGGGCAGCCTCTGTGTTTTTGATTATTTGACGATGGACATGCTGGCCCGGCAAGCTCACGTCTACGCCATTAGCCTCTCGTTCTCGTCGGACGGACGAACCTTGATCAGTGGCAACAACCAGGGTGCCATTGAGGTATTCGAGCTCGAACAAGCACCCAACGGCGCCACTGCCACCCTCAACATTATCTACCGTACCAACCACCCGCTGGATGGATCGGTCCGCCGCGTCGTCTTCAGCGTCGACGGCTATCGTTTTGTCGACGTGCGTGGCGGGCAAGGGCGCGTCTGGGCCCCCACTGCGTTGGTGAGGAAAGGCATCAGCGAGCTGGAGAGCCCGATAGGGTCCTCGGAGGCCGAAGCTGCATTGATCATGGCTCCCAAGCCTTCTAGATCCATGCTCGACGCTCTCGGGGATCCGGAAATCACAAGTCCCTTAGTACCATCCGCAGACGGAAAGATGGTCCTCGCCGGTAAGCGGAATGGAGACGTGGTGCTTTTCTCAACCAGCGATGGGAGACAGATCGGGACTCTGTACCAGCATGGTCCTGGAACATCGATCGTCGGCCTCGCGCTCGCCGGATCCCAGAACCGGGTGGTTTCGGCTGATCATGGAGGTCGCGTCGTGGTGGCCGAGCTGGACGTACCTCTGCCAGCAATTTCGCACACGGCAGAACTGAAAAGGGCGTCAGTTGTTTTAGACCGAAACTTCGGGGCCGCCGCCACTTGTGTCCTCGCCAACACGTCCGGAACCACGTGCTCATTTGCGGACGTTGGTACACGACACAGCTCTGGGAGATCGCATCCGGAAGGGTTTTCTTACCTGCTGGGAGCGCTGTTGATGCGATTACTACTACTACTGATAGGAGTAGTAGCTACAATCTGTCGCCACCGACAGCATCACTGCCATCGCGTCCGGTGTCTCCTCCTGTCCCGGGAGCATCGCCATCAGAGAGGGCTTGGAAAAAAGCACCGGGTCTGCGATTTGTCTTCCAACACCCCAGCAAGCCAGAGTGGTTCCTCTCAGTCACCGGAGACATTGCAAGAGTCTATTCGTGGGCCGACTTCGCGGAGGTCACATTGCCGGATGGTATCCGACTCGACAGGGAGTTGTCTCCAGTCGCACCGGGGGCATCCTGCGAGACTGCAAGCGCGTCTCATCACGTAGGCCCCGGCTTCGTAATCGAACTGTTTCGGCCCTCTTCATCATCCTTCCCACGGCTTTACTTGTGGCCTGCCGCCGAGCTGGATCCTGCTTCGGCATCAGGTATAGCCCGGCCGGCAATTGAGCCCAGCCTGGAGGCCGTTAGCCCAGCCGTGCTCGCGGTACTTGGCTTAGTCGGGCCGTCGACACTCCTATTCCTGGACGCCAAGCTCTGGGTATGCAGCACGGAGCTGCAATCCGTGGTCCCTGCCCCGCCCACGAGCGTCGTCCCCGTCCGTTCCGGAGGTTTCAACAGCAACAGCAGGCGATCGACATTGACGACGTCCACAACTTCTCTCGCATCTTCATCTCGGCTCAGCTTGTTGTCTACGTCGTCAGCGGCGGTAGAGCCGACGACGGTCCACGCCAGGCGGCATTTCTTCGCTCTCAGTGAGTGGCGCACCAGAACTGGAGAGTTGCGGTGCGCCGTCGCGGTTCGCCCAGCGCCGCCAGGCCGGGGTGGGAGCGGTGCCCGCCATGTTCTTGCGTTTGCCGATGGCCCTCGGGTTGTGGTCGTGCAGGGCGGGTTACAGTTCTCGGAGAGTGTGGCGGCTCGGAGCCCTCGTGGCGATAACATGGATCTGTCTTCTAGTACTACTGGTGAGTTACGCGGAAGTAGGTTCGCTGGACAGAATCTGTGGCATGTTGTTGCGGGGAGTATGCATCGCCGGTCGTCGAACTGGTGATGAGACGGTATTTATTGGCAGTGTTAGGAACTTAGGTAAATGTACCTAGTTATTACGATCCTAGTAATCCTAGTAGTAGTAGTAGGATATTATACCTATACTTGAGTGCTTGACTGCAACTCAATGCGATTTGAAGAGCATTTCATATTCGTATAGCTAGGCGCCGTATGGCAGCAACACAACACTTACATAAAACTTCGGCGCTCTCTTGACGAAAAGCCGCGGGGAGTCTGTTCGGATTGCTTGGGATTGCACCGGTAGAGGCCGACGACGAAGTGGTGTTCCGAGTTCCCGCCCTCCTCGAAAGCTTTTCACTATTACCAGGCTACCTTGTACCATGCTAATGTTGAATTAGACGGCGAGATCCGGGATGGCATTGACATGATTGACATGACTGCAGCAACGAGAGCGACGCGCGCGTCATCCGCCTCTACATGATATACACCCGGCTGTCGAATTGCGGAATGGCGGAGCACTTCAACGGTCTTGATCAGAGCGTGCATCTCGGAACGCCAATTACTTACTAAGGTACCGACTTACGGATACCGAGGAGCTGGTTCCGACTCGCCTCCCCGACGACGATCCACTTCCCGTAAGTGGGTGGTGAACGTGATGTGGGGTCGGACCAGAGCGAGATCCGAGTCACGCGATCCACGCCCAGTATGTCGCGAACACAAGGATTATCAATTACCACCCAATCCACGCGGACTGCTGGTCGTGATTGCTGGCCCAACGATATCCAGCCCGACATCCACACGGTCACACCCCCACACTGGCTAACCGACACCCTTCGAGTTCGCCATTATGGACGACGAGCATAATCCACACGAGACGGTCGCGCAGGTCTCGTGTCAAAATTGTCGAGCCAGAAAGGTGAGGCAGCCTTCGCGGGCAGTTGGTAGCAATGATTCTGCTGATGATATATTATGTGATACAATACGCATAGGTCAAATGTGACCGTCGTTCACCGGGCTGCGTTCGCTGTGCTAAGCTGGAGATTCCGTGTTCCTACGACAGAGCGCGGTATGGCGAAACCCGGCCGACTACTAGTAGTAAGCGTGTTGGTGACTCGGAGCTTGAGGTCCTCACCGAGGCCGGGATGCGGCGACGGCGCATCCAGCGAGCCTGTGACGCCTGCCGCCTCCACAAGTCGAAATGCTCGGGCACCCGGCCGTGTCGGAGATGCGACGTTATGAAGCTGTCTTGCTTGTACGGCGCTGCGACGCCGCGCTCCCTGTCTTCTTCCAACGCAGGGCGTAGAAATTCTGCACGTCAAAGAGTGGAAAGCCGGTCCCGGATATCAGACGCCTGCGAGCCTCACGAAACCACACAGAGCCAGTGCCATGGCGACGAGGAGGAGAACACAGCCTTCGGGGATGCGGGCACCACCCTCTCGCCCGCCATCACTCAGCTGAACGGCGGCATGGATGCGTCGGGGTCGACTCGGTTGAGCCCCTCTGCTGCCGACTGCTTACTTGGCGACAAAACCGTGGTCAGGCAGTGCATCGACGCCTACTTCATGCATGCGGACGCCAGTGACTGCATCTTCCTGCACAGGGCATCGTTCCTGTCGAGCTGGCTCCGCCAGGAACTGAACCCAACGCTTGTCAAGATGGTGTGTGCGTTGGGACTGCGTCTCAATCCAGGGCACCACGACTCGGCGACGCCGCGTGCCTGGGCGAAGGAGGTGCAGCAGAGCCTCTTGGTCGCCGAGGCATTCAACGACTGCTCGGCAAGCTCGCTGCAGGCCCTGGTCTTGCTCATCAGATTCCACTTCACCTCGGACTTCACCCAAGACGCCTGGATTTTGCTCGCCGTGGCCGCCCGAATCGCCTTTACCATGCGTCTCAACTACGAGCGGCTCGAACCTGCCAGCACGGCAACAACAACAACCGCGGCGACATCGACGTCGACATCGACATCGACATCGACATCGACGTTCGGCGTCATTCACCAAGAGTGCCGGAGACGACTCATGTGGGCCATCTTCGTGTTGGACAAGTTGTTTTCGGGCGGGATTGAAGATCTCACCGTGTGCCCGTCCCATCGCTTGCAGATCCGGCTGCCGTGTGACGCTGTCGCTTTCCAACGCGGCATCGTCCCTCCGACCGAGTTCCTCCATGGCCATGTCTCTTCTGGCCGGCCACATCACATCGCTACTACGGCGAGTGGCATGGATGCAACGTCGTATCGCGTCCGGCTTTTTGATTTGCGTGACAGAATCCACAGGTATACGCGACGCGTCATTCTCCAGGGCTCCGCGCCGGCCGATAGCCAAGGGGAACTGCAGGCCCTGGACGACGAGCTGCACCGGTTCCGCGATGGCCTGCCGCCCGAGCTCCGGCTTGACCCGGAGAGGCTGGTCTTGATGGCCCATTCGGACGAACTGACCCCGTACATGGTGCTCCACGCCATGTGGCACCTGTGCCGCAGTGACCTGCACCGTTTCCTGATTCCCGGCATCCGCGAAGCCGTGGCGGCCGAGGTCATGGCGCACACGCCGCAGCCCTACATCGACCACTGCCAGCAAGTATGCTTCGACGCAGCCACCAGCATCTGCGACCTGCTCTCCGCTGTCCACGAGCTGCAGACTTCCAAGCGGATCGCCAATGCCTCCTTGGCCGTCAGTCTCTACCAGTGCGTGCAGATTCTCCACCACCTGGGCTTTCGGATACCCGCCGCCGGACCTCACTGCCTGGGAGAGCTGAAGCGAAAGCTCAGTCAAGGTGTGGCGCTTACGTCTCACCTCGGCACGACCTATGTCTGGTTGAGGCCATGCGTACGTGTCTATTCATCCTCGCAATGGCCGAAATAAAGCTGACCAGTCGTACTAACTTACTACTGTACTTGACAGTTCCAAGACATTGAGAAACTGATCTCGGTTCTAGGGCAGCGACCAAGGTATAGTCCGGGTCTGGCGGACCGCAATCTCCGCCACGGCCGCTCCAAGCATGTATTCGCACCCCCGGAAACTCAGGGCGAGGACGGCGGGGAGGAGCCGGAGCGGCGGCAACATCGGCCGGAACCATCAGGAGCAGCAGCATTCCAAGAGGGTGGTGGAGAATTGAGACAAGCGGAAACGCCCTTGAGTCTGGACCAGCGTCCAGCCGACCATGTCCTGGCGGTGGATGATGATGGCCGATGGAACCAGCTTATGATGATGACACCCGCATCGTTGTCCCGGCTTTCTCCCTTGGTACCTGGCAATGCTGGCATTCCTGCTCCACCAAGACCCAGAACGCGCGCCATTCCCGCGCATCTCAATCTGCTGGGTTCTACGTCCTTCATGGTGGATGCTGTATTTCCGCTCGACCCGCTCGAGCTAGTTCTGAGTTCTTATGCGGACGCTGACCCGTTGGCATGGCCGACGCTTTCCGTCTAACTCTGACATGCCCACGATCTGATGTCTGATAGGCCTCTCTCTGTACTGTACTTTTATTTATATAAAAATATTGCAATGTAAGGGTCGTACGAGAAATGTGCATGGTTCGGAGTCCTAGCCAAGCGTACTAGTACCTGTACCTACGGTAAGTACTATCTAGTACCTTATTTTACACACCCTTCTGTCCCGACGGATGATCCACGTGGCTAGCCTCGGCCTCGTCCTGCTCCACGTCGGCCTGCTTTGCCGCGGCATTCTGCATCTCGGCGCCGAGCAGGGCCTGGACGTCGACCTTGGCAAAGTCCCGCAGCGGCACGCCGCTCTCAAACAAGTAATTCACCTGCTCGAGCGTCCTGCCCTTGCACTCGGGCACGCAAAAGTACACAAACACGAAGCCGACGGCCATGATGGAGCCGAAGATGAAGCCCAGCTTGCTCTGTAGGTTGGCGTACTTGTCCGACAGGAGGTACGGGACCGAAAAGCTGACCAGGAAATTGGTCACCACGTTGACGCCGAAGCCGACGCGCGTCGTGAGGTCGCGCAGCCGGGCGGATGCGACCTCGGACGTGATGACGTAGCTCAGCGGGCCCCAGCCGCTCGAGAAGCCGCAGGCCCAGACGGCGATCATGCTGACGATGCCGTTGCGCGCCGCGAGGGACACGGGCGTCTTGATGCCCAGCCCGGCCATGGTCATCATGGCGAAGCAGACGATGGTGGACGAGATGAAGAGGAAGGTCCTGCAAAAATTATTAGTTAGTACTGAGTTCAGATCTGCATGTCGCCTTCGCTTTTTATTCTTCTTAGTGGGGTTGGCTTTCCAAACTCACCTTCGGCCGGCCTGGTCGGTCAGCAGAAGCATGGCGAACATGGTGGTGATGTTGACGGCGGCGAGGATCAGGTTGAAGCCGAACGGGTTGATGGTGCCGAGCGACTTGACGTAGATGGCGCTGTACTGCGAGACGAAGGCCTGACCGGTGGCCTGCATGAGGAAGTTGACGGCGACCACGATGCCCGTGCGGCGCAGGTTGCTGCCGCGGAAGAGCTCGACGAAGTCGTGGGCCTGCTGGGGCTCGTGGTCGAGCGCGTAGCGCAGCTCGGCGAACTCGGCCTGGATCTGGTCTTCGGTGAAGGGCCCCGCGCGGATGGCGCGCAGGTTGGCCAGCGCCTCGTCGGCGCGGCCCTGGCGCAGCAGCCAGCGCGGAGACTCGGGCACGAACCATATCAGCGACAGGATCGTGACGGGCACAATGTAGAAGAGTCCCAGCGGGATGCGCCACGCGCGGTTATCCGAGATGGTGCTCGTCCCGAAGCAAACGCAGTTGATGACCAGTCCGCCCACGATGAGGCTGAGCTGATACGAGCCGACCATGAAGCCTCGTGCAGCGGCGGGCACTGAGAAAAAAAATTTAAAAATCACCGGGTCAGTTACTCTAATACTACTAGTACTTATTAAATAAAACACCTGGGAAACTGAAGAACGAATATGCATAAGTCAACGTACCCATCTCGGCTTGGTAGGTTGGGATGACGGAAAGCTCGATGCCGACATAGACATAGTTCAAGATGCGCGCGGCCATGATCTGCTCCCGGTTCCGGCTCGTCACGCCGATGGTGGCCGTCACACAGGCATAGCAGCTCATGAGGAACATGGCCCACCTCCGGCCCCAGCGGCGCGACATGATGCTCCCGAGGATGACGCCCGCAGCAAAGCCAATGTAGTTGAGGCTGTTGAAGAGCGACAGCCACACGGGCGGCAAGACGTAGGTGCCTTTTGCTGCGTCGTACTCGCCAAACTGTCGTTCGAACGCGTCCATTGCCTGGGTGCTGGCGAAGGCCTGGTTGTCGAAGCCATAGTTTGCCGTGGAGATGGCGATGAGGAGGCTGGCCAGCGCGAGCCGCCGGTTGAAGAGGCGGAACTTGGTGAAGACGCCCATGGTGCTTGCTGCTCGTTGTGTTGTGGAAGGCGGTGCGAGAGAAAGAGTCGGAGAGACAATGCAACAGTTGGCAGGCAGGCTTCTTTAATATGAAAATGGTTCGGCGGGCCACAGTCCCCTTCAGCCATACACAGTAGTATTCCGTATGCACCTAGCAGGTAGCCAAACACAGAGAAACCTGGCATCTCAGATATCTGGCACATGGACTCCACCGGCCGAGACCCCAAAAACCTGGGGAAGACTGGAGATGGCAGATGATGCGGAGGGCTGGGGCAGCTCACTAGTGCAGGTCCGGATGGGGACGGTGGGGGTCGAGATCCGCGAGATCCGGTAGTATGTATGTACGACATCCGACGGTGCGGCAGATGTCCAAGTGCCGACTTACCGGGAGAAGTAGAAAGAGGCTGTTCGTTTCACACGCGAGCTTTGTTCTCCCCATCGAAAAGTCCAAGTTGCCAAAACCCCAGCAAATCCGATCATCTATGATTTTCCGAGGCTGCGGTCGTCCTCTTAGCACTGTCAGTCTGTCACCAACGTCTTGACACCTGAGTAACCAGTATCCGTCTATCCGACTATCTTGTACATACTGCATAGCACATCCGAGCATCATGCCGGACACGTACGAGCTTCGCCCGGGGCCGCTCCCTCTCCGGGTCAACTCCAAGAACGGCGGCGGGCGGCCGAACTACATCATCTTCATGCCCGACCAGCTGCGCTACGATTCTCTCGGGTGCACCCAGCGCGCCACCCCGTCCAAGCCGGGCTTCGCCGACATCAAGACGCCGCACCTGGACGCGTTCGCGGCGCGCGGAAGCCTCTTCACCAACTGCTTCACGCAGGCATCCGTCTGCTCACAGTCGCGCTGCAGCATGTTCACGGGCACGTACCCGCACGTCAGCGGCCACCGCAGCCTCGACAACCTCATCAAGCCGTGGGAGCCCAACGTGCTCCGCAGCCTGAAGGAGAGCGGCTACCACGTGGCCTGCCTGGCGCCCCGCGGCGACACCTTCGCCCCGGGCGTCACCGAGCTCAGCGTGACCGAGTACGGCTTCCTCGAGACGCCCGAGTTCATGCCCGCGTTCGGCAAGGGCAACCAGGAAAAGGACGAGAGCATCTGGGGCCGGCTCTTCTACCGCGGCCTGCGCGGCGCGGACCGCGCGGTCGACTACGACGAGGCGCTGGTCCGGTCGGCGCTCGCGTGGCTCGAGTGTCCGCCGCGCGACAGGCCGTGGGTGCTGTTCATGCCGCTCGTCTTCCCGCACTGTCCCTTCCAGGTCGAGGAGCCCTTCTTCTCCATGTACGACCGGGCGTCGGTGCCGGACGTGGAGGCGCTGCCGAGCCGGCGCACGGGCTACGAGCCGCAGTACATGCGCCGCATCCGCGAGCAGTACGGCACGGACCGCGCCACGCCCGACATCTGGCGCGAGATCAAGGCGACCTACTACGGCATGGTCACGCGGCTGGACGAGCAGTTTGGCCGCGTCATGCGGCGGGTCGACGAGCTGGGCCTCTGGAAGGATACGGTCACCATGTTCTTCACCGACCACGGCGAGTACCTCGGCGACCACGGCCTGATCGAGAAGTGGCCGTCGGGCCTGTCCGACTCGCTCGTGCACGAGCCGCTGATCATCGGCGGCGCGGGGCTCCCGGAGGGCCAGGTCATCACGTCCATGGCCGAGATGGTCGACCTGGTCCCGACCATGCTGGAGATGTCCGGCATCGGCCAGACGTTTGCCCACAACGGCCTGTCGTGGGTGCCTCTGCTCCTGCGCGGCGATGGCGATGGCGACAGAACCAAACCCCACCAGCACAAGGAGTACGCCTTTTCCGAGGGCGGCTTCCTCGAGTCGGAAGAGCCGCTGTTGGAGCAGGCGCCGTATCCGTACGACCTCAAGGCTGGGCTACAGCACCAGGACACGAGGCTGGTGGGCAAGGCCGTCTCGCTGCGCGATGCCACGTGGACGTATGTGTATCGACTCTACGAGCCGGCCGAGCTCTACCACCGCCAGAACGACCCGCACGAGCTGCACAACCTCGCGGCGGATCCGGCGCATGCCCATCTGGTGGCCAAGTACGAGCAGGTCGTGCTGCGGTGGCTGCTCGAGACCGGCGATGTCCTGCCGTGGACGAGGGACCCGCGCATGCCCGAGGTGAAGCTGAAGAGTCCGCGGGAGCAGATGGAGGAGAGGTTGAAGACTTGAAGGCGCACGGCGAGGCCGCATCCAAGGTGTGAGATGGTGTATTTTGGTCCTGTCCTCCGGTGAAAAAAGCTCGGACCTCCAAGTAAGGAATAGGATTCGGTAGAGTCTCACAAATACTAGTACCTAGGTACACAACACAGGTTTATACATTTTGTTCTCACTCTCTTGTGTTTCGCCCAATTGAAAATAGTAGGGTGAAAGTGCGATGTTTTCTCTAACTTTCCCTGGATGGGCTACTTCCATGATAAACCCCGCCATCGTAGGTAGTCACCTGACCACCTAAACCCAAAATGGATAAAAGTCTCGCTTTCACCACCAACTTCCTTTATAATGCACTCATGCCCAACCAAGCACATTATCAATCCTCGGCAGCGGGTTTATCGGCCGAGAAGGGAATCAAATCAGCCTCCGCTCTGCTGCTGCATCTAATAACCGATAGTGTAGGATAGGGCTTAGCCAGAGCCGCCTGGGCGTAGGAGCATGCTAACGCTGAGTGACTATCGGAGCCAATGATATACTCAGCATTCAAGGCATTGCGTAGCACTTTATTCAACACCCATTCCTTCGGAATCCCTCCCGGCGATAGTTAGAACATGGTTTGTTGATTCGGGGATAGTAGTCATTATCACCGTTCTTTAGGAACACCGGACTGTTTTGGAGATTAGGCGTCCTGGAGATTTTTAACCAAAAAGGGTCCAAGGGAAGCGGGGCGTGTTTGTTGACGATGGACTACCTACCTACCTAAGGTAGGTATATAAAGCCATGCGGTGGACGGCGCCATCTCCATGTTCAATACTCAGGTGGTCATTGTAACACAGTTCAAGTCCGAGACACTACATCGAAACTCGAAAGCGTCCAGCAACCACATCCCACAGCTCTAGCCCTACTCGCGCCAACATGTCCAACAAGAGTACCAATCTCGCAGCTGTGCTGCCATCCGCCGGCAGCAACTTGGCCATCGAGGAGCGTGCCATCCCGTCTCCCGGTCCTGACGAGGTGCTGGTGCGCAATCACGCCATCGCTGTCAACCCGATCGACTGGAAGCGGCAGGTTATGGGCTTATATATCTCGTCGTATCCCACGATCCTCGGCCTGGGTACGTGTCCTGTTATGTTTTTGCCCTTGGCTACATGACTGCTAACCCCATCTTCCCCCTCTCAGATGTCTCGGGTATTGTCGAAGCAGTAGGGTCCGCCGTCACCCTGTTCAAGAAAGGCGATCGTGTCCTCGGCCTCGCCCCCGTGACCGCCACCGGCAACCCAGACCACGCGGCATTCCAGACCTACACGCTCGTGCAGGCCTCAGCCATCGCCAAGCTGCCGGATACGCTCACCTTCAAGCAGGCCGCCACGCTACCTGGGGCTATCTCCACCGCATCCGTCACGCTCTTCGACGTCTTGGGCTTGCCCCTGCCGCAGCAACAGTCGACCCCAACCCTCTCCACCACCGCCAGCCCGTCAACGGGCATTCTGGTGTGGAGCGGCGCCTCCTCGGCCGGCAACGCCACGATCCAGCTAGCCCGCCTGGCAGGGCTGAAAGTATTTGCCAGCGCGAGCCCACGCCACCACGCGCTCGTGCGCTCGCTCGGCGCGACCGAGGTGGTGGACTACCGCTCGCCGACGGCCGTGGCCGACCTCGTGTCGGCCGCGCAGCGTGCCGGCGTGGCAATCCGCTACGCGGTCGACTGTATCTCCACCGAGGAGACCACCCCGCTCGTGCTCGACGTTCTGACCAAGTTCGGCGGGGCGAAGAAGCTAGCGCATCTGTGGACTTGGCCCGAGCAGATCGCCGTGCCGGACGGTGTGGAGGAGACCTTTGTGAACACGGTGGTCATTTGGACGGAGAGGCGGGACTTGGCGGCTCGCGTGTTCAATGAGTTGCTGCCGGTGTGGCTGAAAAAGGGAGAGGTTGTGCCGCAGACGGCTAGGGTTATCGACGGCGGACTTGAGGGCTTGCAGACGGCGTTGGAGGAGCTGAGGAAAGGGGTTAGCGGGGAGAAGTTGGTGGTTGAGCTGTGATTCGTAAGGGTATGCTAGCAAAATCTTGCCTTTCGCACAACTGCTTTTGATGACTCAGCGAGCACGGGCCAACGTTCGCCCGAAGTTTTGCCGCCCGAGAACCCGTTCGCGTTCCCGGATCGGGGCCGGCTCCGTAACGACTGCAAACGGAGCCGGCGACGGAGGCCGGAAGGCGTCGCCCATTCTACTTCGTTCACACCCCATTGAGTCCCTTAGCACGCGCCCCGCGCATTCGCGATGGCGGTGCATTTTCGGCGCCAGGATCGCGTCCCTAGTTCGGGGACGCGAACCAACTACGGCCGACCCTCGAGCCTTGATATGCTAGCCTTGCTGGCCTAGCTCGCCTGGCTTTGCTAGCCTGGCTCGCTCATACCTGTCGTGTTCCTCCCTCCTCTCCCCTCGAACATTAGAACTCCCTTCCTCCTCACCTTCTCGTCGTTCTTCCTACTCCTAACGCACTTCTCGACTCACTAGAACGGTACAACGACAGTCGCGCTTCTCCAGGGCGGACCAGGAAAGCGTCAATACGCTCCTCCAGGCTTATACGGTCAATGCTATTAAGGAGGAGGGTAATAAGAAGCCCTTCGTTGCTCGGGCACGTGGGCGGAGTGCGATAGAATATAGGGAGCCTGGACCAAGTAGGTATATCTTTTACCCCTCCTTCCTAGGCTTCTTTAACCCAAACTAAATCTCGATACAAAGCCTAGGCCAATGTGCTAATGTGTTACTAATTTTCATCATTTCTTAGAGTTTCTATAGACTTACTGGAAAGAAAGAAGGTACAATGGACAGGTATAGCACTCCCCAGGTGTATGGGGCTCACCATCGAGCCCTAGAACTGGTGCTAACCAAGTGAAGCTATAGTGGTGTCGACCCCTGCCGCTTCTAGGTGGACTTCGCCCGGGATCCATCCGACCCCGTCTACGCCCTGCTGTTAGGCTTAAACGCGGCCACCGTGGGTGTAATTGCGCTAGCTGCCGTCTAGCTGTCCCAGAAGGCCATCACCGACCGGCTGACGCGTATCGTCGTGTTTCTCTCCAGCGCCGCGGGCATGTTGTACAATGCGCTGTGGTACTTTCCGGTGCTAATGGTCGCCGCCGGTTAGGCTACGCTTGTCTACGACTTCCGCTAGGTCCATCGTTCGGTAAAGAAGCTTGCCAACGCCATCAAGGGCCTTCGACGTTCATCGAAAGCTCAGCAATCGCCTGAAGTGGGATTAGAAGCACGCCGTTCCCAATCAGACACCCAACCGACACCGACACACCTCTCCGAGCTCCCCATCACTGAAGCCGAAGCTCACCACCACCCACCCAGCCCCCAACCCCCGCCAACAAACCCCCTTCCTCCACCACCACCGCCGCCGAAAGCAGCATCGAACCACGCATCATCCCCGCCTCCCAGCACCTCTCCCTCCTCCGCCCCCCCCCCCCCCCCCAACCTGGAAACACGGCACGGCAATCATCGCCGCCTTCCTGGCCACCTTCATCACCGTCACCGCCCTGCGCGGCGCCCTGCACCCCCCACCCCCCTTGCTCTACCGGTTGTTTGCCAACATGTTCCTCGCGGGCACCATCATCTTCGGCGGCGGGCCCGTCATCATCCCGCTGCTGCGCGAGTACGTCGTCGCTGAAAGTTGGGTGTCCGCCCGCGATTTTTTTGATTGGGTTGGCGCTGATCCAGGCGTTTCCGGGGCCGAATTTTACTTTTTCTGTGTTCCTGGGGGTCTGGCGGCGCTGAATGGGGGGTATAGTTCCCTCGCGGGCGCGGTGATTGCGTGGGTGGGGATTTTCAGTCCCGGGTTGGTGGTGGTGCATGGGACGATGGGGATCTGGGGGGCGATTAGGGGGTAAGAGGTGGGTGAGGAGTGTGTTGCCGGGGGTGAATGCTGGCGCGGTTGGGTTGATGTACACGGCGGTGTATCGGATTTTTGGGATCGGGTATGTGGATGCTGGGTTTCAGGCCGGGAAGAGCCTGGCGGATGATTCGTGGTGGGTGATTATCACGGCGACGAGTTATGTTGGGGGGAGGTATTTTGGGGTGAGTACGCCGGTGGCGATTGTGCTTGGGGCGGTGTTGGGGTTGTTGAGGTATACCGTGGTGTCGGCTTGACGGTGCTATCTACTGCTGCAGGGTGTCTGACGGTGACATTCATCGGCTCATCCTTCATCCATCGCACCCCTTAATTCGTCTCCGTCAAACAAGTATAGAAATTTGACCGCTCAGGAGACTTGCTGGTCATTCGTACATAACATGGATCAGACCAGCACAATGCCTTTGAACACCAAAGCAAACCCTTCTCCTGGAATGTCCGGACAGTCCCGAACAAAGTTATCACACTCAACCAGACACTCTCTGACGGTGACTCCAAGCCCCCGGTCTTGCGTCTCCAACCCATTCTCTCCCCTGGCGTACAGCGCGGGAAAGAGGCACAACTTGATGCACGTCCCGTCGGCCACCGGCCTCGGCCTCGGCCAGCCATCTCTCTTCTGCCTCGGCGACCCAGTGTTGAAAGCGCTGTACCCTTCGCCGTCTCGTAGCATGGTCTCCGGGTCGAACCGATCCCCCGGGCGGAAGAACACGAGCTGGTACTTTGTCCGGGATAGCACCAAGCTTTGCTTGAGTGTCAGCGCCCGGATAAAGGTCTCGAAAAAGAAGTCCGACATGGGGGACATTCTGGGCTGGCATGCTGCCTGACCTTCCCCGTCTGTGGGTGGTGGAAATTGGGCAGAGGGCGCGGTGTTGGACATTGTTGCGTCTTGGGCCGGTACGAAAGGTGCCATTGTAGTGCAAAATACGCTGGAGGCGGCAGCGGTAGCTTCTTGAAAAATGCGAGAGGCATAGTAAGCTTCTGACATAATGGAGTTGCATGCTAGCAAATCCAACTGGTACAGAGCCTGTGGTCCATCTAAGGAGGCTTCTGGTCAGCCGTGGTCTGCGTGAAGAGTCACCGTGAAAGAAGAAGAGCGTACCTTTGGTCAAAATATGGCGTCGGTATTGGTCAAGTAGAGGAGACTCTGTGGCCAAAAAGTCTGGGAATTGGGTCTGGAAAACGAGTTCGCTGATCCCAGCGGCGGCCAGGGCTCTGACAATGTCGAGATCCGAGATGTCGGAATCGGCAGGAGACGCAAGGAAACGATCAAGACCGCACCGAGCTACCCTCCGTGTCCAGGACTCCAATTTCGCTCTCGATGGCTCCATGTCGTCAATTGGTTTTGAGGGAATGCTCATATCCGCTGACGAGCATGCGTCCTTTATGTCCGCAGCGATCAGCCCGAGCTCCTGCCAGATCTCCTGGTTCGAAGGCCTGACCGAGTCCGCTGCGACCATGGGGATGAGCTTTTGCTGCCTGTTGAGCCGTTGCAGCGCGCCTCTCAGTACCGAGTTCTCGTACAGCAAGTCACGCCGCACGATAATCTCGTCACTGCACTCAGCCGACCTGCTGGCACTCTCCCTAATCTTTTCACATTCGAACTCGGCTGCAGACAGCCGGTTAGAGAGCGAGAAGATGTGGTGTTTTTGCTCCGTATTCTGTAGCATTACTCTTTGCATTTGCTCGTCCTTTGCTGCAAGCTCTTGTTCGAGGGCTTTTATTGCGGCGCCGTTGGCTGTCCGGGATGAGGAACATGTTGGTAGAGGCGCATGGCACACTCCGGCAAGCGGTGGAGGAGCAGGCTCTCGCTTGACGTCCGCCGATCGGGGTTTGGCTCTGGCTCTGGCTTCCGGTGGATTTTGCCCGCTGTTGCCGTCCCAATCCAGATTGCCTGCCCGCAACACCTAGAAGACACAGGGAGGTAGTTAGTACAGATGCTCAGTATGTCTATGTGGTTAACGCTGACCTGTTGTCCATGCGTCTGGTTCTTGCCGCCATTACCAGCTTGAGCAGGAGGCCCATCTAACACCTCAAGGTGCGCTGCGGCATGTGGAGAATTGTGACCATTCGATGACGCCGAGCGTTGGTGGCGAGGATTCAAAGACCGTGTACGAGAGTGGGATTGCGATACCAAGGAGGTACTCCTCAGCAAGTACCGAGGAGTCTCAATGAGGCGAACTTCGTCACGGATATGTTCACGGTCGATGTCGGCGTAGCCGTCAAGAAACGAAGATCCCTCTGAGAGAAAATCACCGAAAACGTAGTGTTCTCCATCGCGGCCATACGTTTCGTACTCCCGCCTCAGCACCCGCTCGACTTGCTTGGCTGTTACCTCGTGGCCTGTGCGCTTCTTGAGGTGGCAGATCGCTGTCGTGTTCAAATCAACCTGATGCTGCAGGGAGAAGTCCAGGCACGCGACAAACTTGATTCTGTCGCCCTTGGTCCAGCGAAATCTGGGAGGCCCTGGTGCGCGGCGCCGTGTTGGCTTTCTGGGCATCGCAGCGGTGACAAGTGCAAAAGTGGACTGATGGTCTGAGGCTGAACAACTCGGCTCCTGAGAAACAAAACAGTATGTGGATTGCGGAGGTGGACATTGGGAGAAGTAGCAAGCTAAACTGGGCCAGCCGTCCCTGGACACATGTGCGTCTCAGCATCGCCAACATGCATATGGCCTGCCTCTTAATTGGTTGGCAATGAGTCGTCGTGGTAATGGCGTGTCACAGCGACCCATGTACGCTTGCCTAATCATTGGCCACTGTGTGCCTGGAAATTACAGGAGGGTGTTCAGCCTGCTCTGAACGCCTCACTTGGAGGGCCATGCTGCGAGAATGGCGGGGGCGGGAGGCCTGAGGATAGGCGAGAAGGCGAAGTCGAGAAGCCTCTGCGTCGCACTCTCTCTTCTCCACACCTTACCTACCTTACCTACCAGTCCCCGCAAACGGTCCAGTGAACAGCAGAGGGAGCCCCGGCGAAAGTTTCCATGCTGGAAACATTCCTAGTCCCTAACCATGGACGACCGGAGCATCACCATGGACAACCGGAGCCCTACCCCAGGACCCGAAATGGTGCCTGATCATTTGCTCGAGGGCCCGGACGTACCGAATTCTGCAAAACGTTTGATCATGGCGGTTGACTTTGGGACGACGTACTCTGCCATCGCCTATGTTGCTCTTGAGGACGGTCAGTCGGGCGATTATCTCGCTGCGGCGGATATCCGTACCATTCAGAACTACCCCGACGATGCGACCTTCGGGAACCTGAACGACGAGATGAGAAGCGAAGTGCCGACCGAAGTGATCTACCCATCGAACAGTAGCTTCCGCGTAAACGAAGGCATGAGCGAAGGGTCATCGGAGACTGAACACCAACTCGACGATCCACCGGCTTCCAGCGAAGCGGCCCGAGACGGCCAGGACGAACAGAGCAGCTCGAGCAACCGGCTGGCTGTATTTGGCAGCGATCAGTACGACCGCGATACGGAGGAGATGTCTGTCGACGAGGACAACACATTCCGCTGGGGCTACGGGGCTCACGAGGCATGGGGCAGGTCTTCAACCCATGTTGATAGCCACCATGCGCCTCTGGCTAGGTTCAAACTACTTCTCGACGACAGTCCCAGAACAGCAGCGGTTCGAGACGAGCTGAGTGTGACCGTCAACAAGCTGAAGAGAAAGAAGATTATCATCCAAGACCATCGCGAAGTCATCGTCGACTTCCTGACCTGCCTCTTGCGACACGCAAGGTCTGAGTTGCAGAGCGCCGGGTATGACGACAACTACAAGTTGGAGATGGTCCTTTGTGTCCCGGCTATCTGGACCCAAAAGGCTTGTCGGATCATGCAGACGGCAATGGCCAAGGCCATGAGGCAGGCTGGGCTTCCAGGTGTTGACGAGGACAACAGTATCAAAGATCTCTTCATTGTCTCCGAACCGGAAGCAGCAGCTGCGTTCGTCTTGGCCGAGTCCCGCGATATATCGGTATGGCATAGTGGACACCATTCACATACGGCTACTCATTTTGAAACAAATCAAGGACTCCAGAGAATGCTAACGAACCGAACAAATAGCCAGGAGACACTTTTGTGTTGTTGGATGCAGGTACTAATCACTCCAGCTTGGCCCATGGAAATGATGTCAGTTATCGTGCTAACAACGCCGTAGGAGGCGGAACCGTGGATGCCAACACTTACACTGTGAGCACAGCCACGCCGCTGAGGCTGACCCGGGAAGTTGTCCCACCGGGAGGTAAACATCCATCGAGCTTGACAGCTATGCACAAGCAAGGCTAACTCGCGCTGCTCTTGGTGAAACGCAGGTGGCCTTTACGGATCCAGTTATATCAATGAAGGTTTCCGTGCTCTGCTTCGAGACCTCCTCTCTGGCGAGACGTACCTCGAGACCGACGATATGACGATCAATGGTTGGATCGAGAAAATCATGGTGAACGACTTCGAGTACAGAATCAAACGGACTTTCGACTGCTACTCTGCTAAACGCCACAAGTCGTTTGATGTCCCCGGCCTGCGCGCCAACCCGGAAAAGGGATTCAGGAGAGGCAGCGTTCAGATCCCAGTGTAAGACCAGTCTGCTCTAGCCATCTTGCCAGACACGAAGCTTACCTACTCGGTCGACTTCCTTAGTGAGCGGATTAAGGAGATCTTCCTCGGGCGGCTGGAGGGCATCGGGTCGGTCATGGAGGAGCAGATTGACAAAGCGTTTGCTGCGGACACCAGAGTCACGGTATGGCCAGCGTCCTTCGAGAAGTTCTAGCGAATCCATGGCTGCTAACTTATATCGTACCGCATTACTAGAAAGTTCTCCTCATTGGCGGATTCGCAGCTTCTGTCTCACTGCGTCGATATATCGCTGATCGTCTCGTGGACTTCTGTCACAAGAAGAATTATCCTTTACCACAGCTACTTCATCCGCCCAACACGTGCGTTATGCCGATCACTTATCAGCACAGATGGAAAAGCCTTTTCTTTCTTTACATGGCAAATACTGACATTACCTGGCATGACTAGCGCCACTGCAGTAGCTCGCGGTGCTGTTCTCCGCGCCTTCGACAAGGAGCGTGGCCCCCGAAGATTCGCACGATCTAGCTACGGTGTTCTGCGAACCGAGGAATGGGAAGCCTTTCCCGAACACAGAGACGGGGGCAAAAAGTCGTATGACCGTCATGACGGTCAGCCCTACGCGGTTGGCACCGTGGACTGGGTACTCAAACTGGTAACGCTCACCACCTCCATCCCACTTCGTTCCAGTCGACCCCATCCGCCGCCACATCAAGACTAATTGACAATGTGAGCAAAAGGGCCAAGAGGTGGATCCAGTCTGGACCTGCCGCCCCTTTCTGTGCAACCACACATTCGACTGCTTTCCTGTGCGGGACCTGGTCTGCAAAGAAGTTCTTTACGTGTCCGACCGGTCCACGCGGTCGCACTATCAGCTGGGCCATCCCAACAATGCGGGCGCAGAAGTAGTGGGGGAAATCGTGGTGGACTTCTCTTTCCTCCGCACCGAGGGCCTGATACAGCCCATCGACGGCGGATTCAATAAGAAAGGCAAGCGGGTCGGAAGGCGACACTACCGGGTGACGTACACCATGGTGATCAAGGTCGTAGACCGCGACCTGCGATGTAAGTTCCCTCGGCGCCATCATCAGCCTTAGACTGGGAGGCAGCTGACGTCTGGTGCCAAGGTTACGCAATATACGATGGCCGAGTCAGGAAGAAGTGCAAGATCAACATCGCTTCTGGCTTCTTGCCGGGAGTCAAATAGAGGTGAAGGCTGGACTGGATCGCTAAGACTGACTAGGTACGGTGCCAGGCAGCGAGGCGATGGGTGGACGGTGCTTCAGGTCTTCTTTCTTGCATGGCTTTTACTGAGCTGTTAAATATCTAGTTGCCCGCTTGCTTCTAGTTGACTAGCGCGGGATCCGGCCGTACCGTCCAATGACACTCCGCTGCTTCATATAGGTGTGTAGTTCACGCGAACCGTGGCCTTGCTTCATGACCACCTTCTCAGACCTGCACAAGGACGCTCCCTGACCTATCAACTGTGAAACACCACACCAGGTGCCGGACAATTTCGTATGTCAACCCGACGCCTCGGTTGCCACTGCAGGATAGATTTGAGTGGCAAAGTTAAGTAACTTAACCTGTGTACACCCCGCCTCTTGCGCTGGACCAGACTGCCGCCGCCCCTGAAACCCACCGCCTCTAAGACACCGCGCAGTGGTTTGACTCCAAAGCCCCCAACCTGAATGGTACTTGTGCGGCCAAAACTGGGACACTTACCATGAGTGAGTTGGCGCCCTGATCTGCAATTTCCCGGCCCGGTGACATCAGCCCCTGAGTGGCAGGATCTGGGTGAAGCATTCCATGCTGTTCCAGATCACACTGAGCCTCTCAAGTCGGATGACCTGTGCCCCTAACACGATCGTTCGCTCAGTAAAACTCTGAGCTTGCCGCCTAATTCTTGTGGTACTCTGTTAGGTGTCTGAAAGTTGGGCTTCTTGGCAGTTCGACACCTAATTTGACGTTCACCAGCCCTTTCCCTGTCATTGCCCCCCTTTCAGAGCCTGTCAAGGAGGTTCACACACCCAACTGCTGAAGCGAAGAGATCATGCCGTCCATCTCCGAGAGCACGTCTAACAGCTCGCTTTCCACATGCGGATTGTTTAGGTCCGCCGACCCGCACCGGAAGCAGCCGCCGAGGCACTGCTCGGTGATCTCGCGGAACCTCACGCCGATGCCGGGGCGTGATTTCAGGTACTGTCGCATTACTCGGTCGTCGTCGTCTGTCTCGTTGCAGTTCGTTTCCCAGGCGAAGTTGGACCAACAATCGGTCTGGAGCGAGGCCAGGCCAAGCGACCACAGCGAGTCTTTTCTTGAGGAGCGACTGCGGGGAGTCTCGTCAGCGGCCCACGAACAGCCGCTGCTATCGGGGGTGAGCTGCATCACGATGTCTGCGGTGCTACTCCTTGCACGTTTGTGGTGCGCGCGCTGCTGGCCCATGAGCGGCAACGGCGCGTCAATGTGAAGTGATTCGAGGGAGGCGACCAGGTCGTCGCCGCGGCGGACAAACGAGAGATCCCGCAGTGTCCACCGGCGGGCCAGCCAGGGGGTTGAATGAAGCGTCAGCACCATCTGGACAAGTGACTGGGCTAGCTGGATCCGGTCCCTGATTTGCAGATAGCCGTCAATCTGTGGTCGAGGATGTCGCTCAACGCGAGGACGTCACCGGTGTCGATCACGCTACAGTTTGGCTTTCCGCATATGTCACGTCCCGTTGGGTAGACGGAATGGCTGAAGCCTTCGTTGAGCATTGTGTCGATGTAGCCGACAAGGTTGAGGCCGTCCTGCGGACACACCTTGACGATGGGCTCTGTCATTGACTCGCATAGGTCCAGAGACTGGCGCAAATCGATCTCCTCCGAGTTTTCTGTTCGAATAGCCGGCGTCGATGGAGCCTGATGGGCAGGTCTGGCCTCCTCGTCGGCCCACCGCGAAACCTTGCGTCTCTTTTTGAATGGAGTTGATGCTGAGCCCGGGCAACTTCCGGGAAACAACCCGCTCGAATCTGGCACGGGCGTCGGCATTGAAGCTATGATTGGCGAAGGGCTAGATCTGATCTGGAACTCCAACAGTCGGAGTTCCTGAGAGCAGTGGGCGGGTTCGTATGCATATCCCAGTTTCATGGTGACGCAGTCACCAGTGGCGATCGACTCGGGGGTAGCCCGGACAAAAAGCTTCAGGGAATGCCTGGAGTGGTTCCCCTTAATGCTGTCACACAGCTAGATGGCGGAGATGCCCTCGTGAAGTCCCTGAGCCGCACGTCTTTGGCGTCCTACGTCCTGTGGCAGACCATGCCGGGAGGGCGAAACATCCTGAGCCGAGTTCTGTGAGTGATGGTGCGCCGCCGGAATCGACGACGTGAGGCCTGTCTGCAGCTGTCCAAGCTGACGGTTCAACTTTCCTAGCTCTTTGAGAGATTTCCGGACGTCGTCCTCTTTGAACGAGGCCTTCACCCGGTGGGCAAACTTGCGGACTTGTCCCTGATGCTGAACCTGCTCGGGAGGGAGTAAGAGGGCCGAGAACGTGTCAAGCACCGAACCGAGGTCCTTGATGGCTTCGATAACGTCGCTGATAGTCTCGACCCAGTCGTCGCAGCGGTCCCCAAGAACCGCCGCGAGAGCAGGTCCCAGCTCGGGGTCGTTCCACCCCGCGTGCTTGGCGTCTTTGAACATGTCGGTGATTTTGGACGGGTCTGCGATGGCGTGCCCGAGGATAGCCATGCACGCCTCCCTGCGCGTGCGAGCTTGCCCTCGCAGTTCCCGATCCCAGCGGCGAACCATTCGGTCGGCCTTTCAGAACGACTTGAGACGCGATTGGAGCATGCTGAAGCCGTTCAGGGCCATCACGGCCAGGCGAATGACCTCCAAGGCGATATCCGCCATCTCCGCCTTTTGGGCTCTCTAACTCGCTGCTTGTTGGAATGGTTGGGGGGAAATTTCCGGGTAAAAGTCTGGATCAGGACGTGAGCTTATTGTTGGAAGAGGAGTGCAAGCGGTAGGAGTTGATTGTCGGAGCGGAGGCATGGTCTTGGGGAAAAAGCCGAGGAGCATGGGTGTGTGCCACGGGTGACTCCGAATTCAGCCTCAGAGCCTGACGGACTGCTGCGCCACACCTGGGACGCCCGACGTGCGTTCAGGTTCCGTCGGAAGGCGCTCAGCCTTCGGCGAGCACTGCCCGATGTGCCTCCTGCAGACTTCCCCATTTTCTCCCGGCTCGCACTGGCATGCCTTAGTGTTTCTCATCGAAACACAGTTTTTGACCATCACGTTCCCGACCTAAGCAACCTTCGTCAGTCTTGCTCGTCCCATTGCTATCAGAACCTTCAGGGGCAAACTCGCGCAGATCATTGAATGGGCAAAAAAAATGACCCCGAGCCCCCACCCCTCAGATGTCAAGTCGATTTGGGTCTAAGAATGGCGGTCCGGTTTGGAGCCCTTTGGCCTAAGCTTGGCGTTGGACGACGTCGATCTGATCCGACGAACATTCGACGCCTGCATCGCTGCGTCCAGCTTCGTTGCGGCGCACCTCCCATCCGTTGATGAAATTCCAGGCAAGCCGTCTGCTGCGTTCAAAAGAAATCTGTCCAATTTTGTGCTCTGGGGGCATGACCACAATCTGAATGGCATTGGCCTGGATATGGCACTCGGTCGGTCTTCGGTGCTTCGCGAGTCTGTTTTGGAGGCCATGTCTGAGATAGTAACGCTTCTTGAGAGTAAGTCCGCAGCGTTCCTGCCATTTAGCCCAATGCCTCCATGTTTCCTCCCCTTGACCGACGCGGTGACCTCGTTACTTACCTCTTTGTAGGGTTGCTGGATCAACCAAACATGAAACTGGCGGCCATGAATACCGTCGGAGACCGTGAACTAAATTACTAAGACTGCTGAAGGCAGAATGCAAGGAAGCGCGTGCCAGGTGTGACGATTTCTCAGATGCTTCGCAGGCGACCAACGACGGATCCTCCCGGGCTCCGGAAGGAGTTGATCTCAACTATTCAGAGATAATGAAAGACTTCGAGACCGAAGTCAATATCCTCATCGGCCTGGAGCCCTTGATCTGCTTCGCAGTAGCGGACTCACTGCCGCTCAGTCAGATTCAGACCCAGGCCACAGACCCAACGCTCGAGTCCGACATTACCCCTGAGACGGTCTTTGCGGATCTCATTGTCCTCCGGTATCCCAAGGCTCCACGGGCGCTCGTCGAGCGCCTTGGAAGGTCGGGATGGGAGCGGTTCCAAAGATGCGCCCAATCAAGGTTAACGGAAAGCGAAACCCGCAACGCGCGGACCGCCACTCAGGGGCAGCTTGAGAACACGGAACGCAAGAGCAGCACGATAAGGGACTTCTGCTTGACCTTCCTTGAGCACGCGATTGCGCTCAGCAACTCTGAGAACACGATATGGAGCATAGAATAGTTTGTAGGCGGTGGTCGGTTCGGGGGCTCTGGAGCATGCTCCTTGTACAGGTCCCGATGCCCCTGAGCACTAGGAACAATGACGCATCTGGAGTGTGGCTCCCGCGCCATTTCCAAGACACCCTCAAGCTCTTCAGTTGTCAGTTGCTAAAAGAAGGCGCGAAAGACATCAACGTAGCTGGTTCCGCTAGGCTCAGGGTCTCGATGAACAAATTCGGCATCTTCGACGGCAACCTCGCCGGTTCTGCCAGTCCAGTTGGGTGGGTTCCGCTGCGCAGCACGAGAGTAAGAACGTCAGCACTGCGTACTCCATCGGTTGGGAGACATACTCCACTGTTTGGGGCAGGCAGCGCAGTTTATGGGCATTCTACACGGGCAGGCTCGCTTCTTCATTGCACGACCTGGAGGTATGGTAGCGGACCTGAGGGTTGTTGTGGGGCGGTCCCTGGATCTCGCTCATGCCAGAGCTGTCAGGTATACCTGTCAAGCTGCCGGTGGTGGGCCAAAAGCCCGAGTTTGGTTTATTGGCGGAACCAGACATGCTGGGGTTGAGCGTGCCGTGACCGCACTTCTTGCTACCGGAGCTCAGTCGGAGAACCGGGCTAACTATGCTGTACGGAGCAGGAACCGTGTTATTGTAGGCGCGTAACCAGGCCGAACCAGAGGACGCACTTGGCCAGGAAGGAGGAGAGAATCGTGGGTTGGCCGCGTTGCACGTAGTGACCTTTAACAGGGAGCGGAGGGTTTTATGTAGACACCGTACAAAGCGACGACCTGAACACTCGACTTTTATTTGAAAGGCTTGACCTACTGCACTTTCAGCAAACAGGAGGCCGTTCAAAGCGCCGGTCGACTATAGGGTGGGCATCAAGGGCAACATATTCAATGTACTCTGCAGGTTGTTTGTTCGGCGTCCCCCCACATGAGCGGCTTTTTCTCAATGTCTAAACCAGATCACATTTACAGGGAGTACGACCGACAATGCCCCGGAGTCCACTAACTAAGCCAAAGCTCCCAAGCACAGTGAAGAAAAGTAAGTAGGTTGGACAATGCAAGTAGTTCTCTACCAGGTGATGAAGATCATTGTAATCAGCTTTAAAAAGGCCCTCACGGACCGTCTTAGAGAGTTCGGGCACACAGTTATATATAAGCCAATTTGAACATGCGCACCTTGCGGTGGAAACAGGACTGCCGCGGTCAAGGGCGATCGTTATCGTAAGCTTTGTTCTTCTAATGCATTATCCTCTCGGTCCCTTGGGCTGGATGTGGACGTGCCAAGGCTGTCGTCGTCTACGGATGTAGAGAAAATGCCGCCAAGCTACTCGGAATCGTCGCGCGACCCTTTCGGTCATAGCTCGTGTGTAGCGGCGTCGCAGTGTAACTCAGGACTTTCAAGCTAGGTGAAGTGCATGAGATCTCAGGCTCCAAAGACCCAGTTAAGAGCCTCGACCCTCCATTCCACTGAGCCCCTAGGTGTAATCTTCTCAAACTGCCGGTCTGTCGATGCTCCTCGGAGGGAGTGGATAGCCGTGTCGGGGTCTATGAAGAATATCTGTGGATGTTAGGAGCCGAGAAAACGGGCCTGTCGCGATGAGGGTGGTCGGGTTGGTCGTACCGACGAGCAATGGGCGAGCGTATACTTAAAGTTGTAGCAGGCACTCCCATTGTCGAGCTTTTTTACCTGCCGCCGCCCTGGAGGCGCAGTATCTCCCAGCCTAACGCCTTTTATCCTGGGTTCCACGGGGAGACCGACAAGGGGGCCACCCACACTCCTTCCCAGAAGCCCTGCCCATTCGTTGGAATAGTTAATCGCAGGTCGAAAAACTCGGTCGGTCTCGGGCGAATCTGACCAGTGGTTGGCGGGAATGCGCCGCCAACTGCGTAATGCATTGTCGGCGAGGCGATCGTCAGGCAGAACAGTTGCCAGTCCGCCTGAAGAACCTCTTGAACGGGTATTCCGGGAAGTCCGTGAATGGTGCGTTCTAGAGTGGCGCATCAGTTGGAACGCGATTCAAACCCCCTGCCGACCCGCCTGACTCGGGAACCGGGCATCCCAGCAAGCTGCGGTCTACCTTGCTACTGCTCTATAGCCGTGCTGATACAGGACTGCGCCGATTTCAGGTCGGTTCCTACGCTCATCGTTAGCGTGCGACGTAGACCGGCAATACGCCTTCGGGTGATGTCGGCGCCGCAAGTAATCGTGAACTTTGAGAGCTGTACGTATACTCGTTGCCAGTCTGCTCATAGCTTGCGTAGCTCTATTGCGGTAGTCAAGGCTTTCCCTCTACTATAAGCAGCAGAGTAGGCTGGGTCAGGCCGTACGGGCGACGGGCGCGTCCAATTCGACGTTGATCAGCCTGGTCAGGTTGACGAACGTTGGGGCCGGTACTCGCAGCGCGAGCACGCCAGGTCACTATGTCTACGTCGTTTATGTTCCCGCTCTTTGTACAGTAGCCCTCGCGTTGGCGTTCGGCATACTATGGAAAGGCTTGCTCCTGGGCCGACGAGGCCGGCAGGTGCATGCCAGTCGAGTAGGGCCAGTCGAGGACAGTGGCTATAGGGGGCTCGGCATCCTTCATATAAACAAGAAAGCGGCTATTAGCTAGACGAATAGAAGGGTCGCAAATGCATTTGGTTGGCTAAAAGCAGAATCTATAACGCGTCGGGGGAACTCGGTTATAAAAGGCGATGGTAGATTCACGCCAGAGTATAGATAGGAAACGGTATTGAGAAACGGAGTAGTAAAAACTCAGCACGAACGTATTCCTAACCGTTTCAACCGTCCCGGTACGTAACCTTGGCTTTGCTAAGTCAGCAATTTGACCCAAATTGAAAGTGAATTAACGTTATCTTATAAGCGAGCGGGACACTAAGTTCTTGGCACGACGCGTCCTTCTTCATCCACCTCCAACAACGCGTTTTTCCTACAACTAAAGATGTCTTCCGCTTCAAAGGAAGCTAGGGTAATCTTGGCCCTCAAAGCTCTTGAAAATGATACGAAACTAAGCCTCCAAGCCGCGGCCAAGCTCTATAACGTGCCAGTTTCAACCCTTGGCTACCGACGTACCGGCCGGCCTATACAATGTGATCTTCCAGCCAACCTATAGAAGCTTACCGATCTAGAAGAGAAGGCTATAGTCTAGTATATAACTGAGCTATCTGAGCGAGCTTTTCTACCAAGGCTATATAGTATAGAAGATATAGCCAACTAACTGCTACGTGTATAGGACGCGCCCCCTATTGGCAAGCTCTAGGCTTACAACTTCGTTAAACGCTAGCCCGCTCTCTGTATATGTTGGTCATGTCGATACAACTACTAGAGGGCCAAATACAATGACCTAGAGGTTATTGGCAAGTGGTTCGCGCTTATATAGAATGTCAAGGCCAAGTATAGCATTATGGATGATAATATCTATAACTTCGACGAGACTAGGTTTATAATGGGTATTATCTTCTTAGGTATAGTAGTTACGACCTCTAATGGCCGTAGCAAGGCAAAGCTGGCCTAGCCTAGTAACCGCAAGTAGGCTATGGTATCTAGGGAGTCAATGCCCTCGGCTAGGCTATCCTACCCTTTATTATCTTGGCTGTGCAATACCACCTCGCCAACTGGTATTAAGAGTGCAATCTCCCGGCCGACTAGCATATTGCGACCACCGAGAATGGCTAGACCACTAATGCCGTAGGCCTCGATTAGATCAAGCACTTTGACTTCTATATAGCACCCCGTACAAAGGGCAAATATTGGTTATTAATCCTTGACGGCCATAAGAGCCACTACTCGACCGAATTCGAGCTCTACTGCCAGGAGCATTACATCATCATACTCTATATGCCTCTACATTCCTCCTACCTCCTCTAGCCACTCGATGTTGGCTGCTTTAGGCCGCTGAAGCAGGCGTACGGTCGCTAGGTCGAGGACTTGATACGTATATATATCAACTATATAAGCAAGCTCGAGTTCCTCTATGCCTTCTATAAGGCCTTCTTCGCCTCTATAACGGAGAAGAATATATAGGGTGGCTTTATAGGTGCTGGCCTTATGCTGTACGATCTAGAGAGGGTACTTTCTAAGCTAGATATCAAGCTTCGTACACCAATACCCCCAACCTCACGGCCTAGCACTATATAGTCTTAGGTCTTCCAGACACCATATAACTCCCGGGAAGCCAATGCACAGTCTACACTCATCAAGACTTATATTGCCAACCATTAAAATAGCTCCCTAACCTCGATGTTAGCTGCTGTAGACCAGTTGGCCAAGGGTACAATAGCTATGATGCACCAGATAGCTCTTCTTCGCGCCGAGGTCTCTTCGCTCTGTAAGGCCAACGAGGCACTTAGCAAGCGCCGGAGAGCCAAAAGAACACGCATACAGCTTGGAGGATCGCTTGCGGTACAAGATGCAAAGGATCTACTGGACCAGAAGGCCGTGGTTGGGGAGATGGCGCAAGAAAAGGAGCCGGATAGTGGTAGTGCAGGGGGGCTTGTACGAAGGTTCAGTGCTATGGTGTGTGCGGCAAGCCTGGCCATAATGCCCGTACGTGCCAGGAGGTTGTAGAAGGGTCTGATTCAGCTGTTTCTGATGTAGTTAATTGTAGTTGGTTAATGGTCTTATTGTATTGCAATTGAGGATGGTTGTTGTAGAGTGGTGGAGAGTGTCCCGCTCGCTTATATGTCCCGCTCGCTTATAAGATACGTTACTCGGTTCAGATTCACGTTTTCGGCCTCCCTATAATAGCGACATCTTCTTGTCTTCATTATTGTTCAAAGGGGGCGGTTTCTTGTCCTTAGAACGACCAGTTCTGGACCCTTTTGAGCAGACAGGGAAGATTTACAAGCAAAAATCCTAGAATGATACCTGATTTCACTCCCTCTTGTAACGAGAACCGCCATGATTCTAAGGTGATGGAAAAGTTTGAAAAGAGGCAGAAATTGACCCTCCCTTATTACTTGCCCCGTGTGATGATGAGGCCAGTGCGAAGACGAAGACGTGGAGTTGTGCGTGCCTCTGCAGCATGGCCCAAAAGTATCCTACTAGTAAACCGAACTCTCATTTCGCACGCAACCCTAGGTTATCGATCGGTTGACTCGGCTCTGTGTCAAGCGACGGGTTAGAAAGGACAACGCCGAGCTGATGGACTCCTTGCTACCCGGTGTTGGAACTTGGAAATTTTGAAGGTGCAGCACACACCTGGGGTACGAAAGCAATTTCTAGGCACCGGCCAGGCTCTGAAAAACCAACTCTCTTCACTCAACATCCACCAACCAACCAATCAACCAACCATTCAATCACACCTCATTTCTGCTCCCTTAATCGGGTCGGCCTAGTAGAAGCCCTGCATTGCTTCCTGCACGCGCACTTTTCCCTTCCTCTAGCTAACAGTAATAGACAACACCACAAGATTGATCATCACTTGTGGTGTCGTCATCCCCGCAGAAGAAGGCATGTTCCGCGAACCGGTTCATAGGTCCGCGAGTGTGCTAGGACGTGTGTGCGGGCAGTCCAAGTTTCGCACCCGGTCGCTCTACCCAAGAAGATTATACGGATTAGATGGGAGTCATTTCCGACACTGGCCAATGTATAACCTCCTGCGTTAGGTATGCCATGTACGGTATGTATGTACTTGCATGTATGTGGTTATGCACACTTGTGGGTCTGTGCGGGCTGTGCTCGTAAGCGCTAACTCTCTAGAGAAGAGGGGGCGGCGCCTAAACGCCTCGTCCATTGGATAGATCATCTACACAGTAGGCCTCGCTCCTATGCGGGATTTGAACTGACTGTGACATAGGCAAGTGAGGCAACCGACTTTCCCCATCCCGCTCATACTAGCACTCAAGCATTCAACTGCCGTCGTAGACGGTAAGCAGCCCAGTCGACGATGGCGGACGAGGAAGATGCGCAATTTGAGGAGCTGCTACACGAGTTTGCGCTCGAGTACCGGAGACGGACGCGGAGTCTCGAGGCGCACATGGACGCGGCCAAGAGGAAGCTCGAGTCTGAGATGGGTGGGCTCCGGGAGGCCATGAACGTGCGGCACATGCCCGTCTCGTCCCGGCTCAAGGACGAAGCCAAGGCGCTGAGGACGCTTCGGCGGCGGCAGGAGGACCGCAAGCAGCTGCGAAGCCTGAGGGAGATGGTCGAGGCGCGCGGCTTCGAAACGTGGGAGCAGTACTGCAGGGAATGGGGCATGGCAGACAAGGTGCACGAGTCGGAGCCCTTCGAGTCCGTGGAGCAGATGTTTGCCGCCATGCACGATCTGGCCGGCATCCGTGTGTCCATCTACTTCCCGACCGACGTGCAAAAGGTGGTGGACTTCCTGCGCGAGCATTTCCGCATCGTCGAGGGGCCCAGCCAGAAGGGCGGGCTCGCGCGCGACCTGCAGAAGGTGCGCAGGCTTGTGGAGCGCCAGCGCCAGATAGACAGCGCGGCGGCCGAGGAAGAGGCGCCGGGCGCGCAAGAGGCCCAAGCCGGTCCGGTTCCGGGTCCGGGCCTCGACCTGACGTTTTCCGGGTACCGGGCCACGCACGTGGTGATTTGCCACAAGAGTCTCGACTTCGACCAGCACGCGCGCGGCGAGGACGTGGTCAACATCGAGGTGCAGATCGGCAGCATCATCATGCACGCCTGGTCCGACATCGAGCACGACATCCTGTACAAGCCGTCGGCGACGGGCGAGCCGTCGGCCGACGTGGTGCGCATGCTGGACCTGATCAACGGTATCGTCATGACGGGCGAGGTGGCGCTGCAGCAGCTGGCGTCGGTGGCGGCCGCCGAGACGGCGCGCCAGGCCGAGGACCGCCGGAAGACGGCGGTCGACTGGCCGTACATGTTGCCGTGGTTCGACAAGTACTTTGCCGACCGCAACATCTTCGTGCCGCCGCGCAAGAACCAGTGGATGACGCCGCAGTACCTGTTCCAGGTGCTGCGGGCCACTGACGAGCACACGTACGGCCGGGTCGAGGAGCTGCTGGACAGCATGGGCGCCAAGCCCGAGGAGCACCTGTCGGTCTTGCTGCTGCAGCACATCGGCCGGGACACGTTCCCGTTCCAGGACCTGCCGTCGAGTGGGCTGCCCCTACAGTATGCCACTACATGGAACGCCCGCTACTGGGCCACGTGCCTCGTCAACACGTTCAACCTAGCCAGCTTCATGAATTCATTTCCGTCCATGTACTGGACCATCACGCAGCGCTGGAATGACGAGGAGAACAAGCAGGTGTACCCGTACCGCCCGACCTTCGCCGAGTTTCTCGACATCCTGCACCCGACCAAGCCCCAGCGTAAGATCGACCGTGAGCCCTGGATGATCCTCTTCTGCAAGCGGATCCTGAGCACGACCTGTAAGGCGCTGGTCTCTTCCTACTCTTCCGCCCTTTCCTTTTCCTAGCTTCATGGAGTTACTCCGTGCTTACCTAGTGTACCTACCTACTTCGTACGGAGGCATTGAAACGTTGACATTCTTGTTATGTTACAGTCGACCCGCAATCGCAGCGGCATGTCATTGCCGCCCTCAGGCTCGCCTCGGCCGGATACATGGCGCGCCCGCGGCTCTCGGAGGCGGAGGAGGAGGCTCTCTCTGGCATGGACGAGCCTCCGCCCATCTTTGTTCCGGCCATGCTCAAGCGGCTCGCCATCGACCCGCACATGACGTTCAAGGTCGCTCTAAGCGCCCTCGGGGATGGACTACGCGACGATGAACACCACTTTTTCATCCCGCGCCGGGCCAGCGACGAGGACAGCGCCTGGAGGCCGGTACGCCGCGATACGGGAAACAAATGGGTCATCACCCGGGCCCCGTTTGCCCACGACGAGACGCTCGCGTTCGAGGATGCCAAGCTCGGCCGCTCCTCGTGGCTGCAACATCTGATCCGCGTGCTCGATATTCCGATCGACGTCGAGGAGCTGCGCCCCCTGCACGAACTGGCGACCAATTCCCAGCTCGGGCTGACTACGGAGGAGATGTGGGTGCTGCTCAAGAACACGCGCTGGCTGGGCACTGCCGACGCCGACACGTATCGTTCGTTTATGAACGTGCGGGACAAGCTTGGCTTAAGCGTCGCCGAGGGGGTCGAGCTAGCTGAGCTGGCCGGTAGCATGGGGACCTTGGACGAAGAGGAATTAAAGGAGTATCGCAATTTGGCACATGAGCATGGCACGAAGGATCCAAACGAGCTGTATGCGCTGAGGCTGAGGAGCACGCAAAGTTTCCATGATGATCAGTCGGAGGCAGAAAGCTGGGCAGGTTCCACCGAGGCCTCCTGATGCGCGACTGGGCCGTGAATAGAAGAGTTTTAAAGGCGCTCTAGACAAGCTCAAACACCTGCTCGTTGACGCTTTCTGCTTCCACCACCTCTCCGTTCATGACCCCATGCACGTAGCACTCTCCGACAAGCAGATACTTGTCTCCCCAGGGCCGCAAGCAGAACGGCATATTGCCCCCGTACAGGACGCACACCACATCGCCGGGCTCCATGACCTTTGGGCCCAGCACGAAATACCCGCCGCTCGTCCTCGCAAAACGCCGGTTGCGCGACGCTCCGTTGGCAGAGCGCGCCCACTTGGCTGCGTCGCCGCACTCGGCCAGGCGCTTCAGCTCCTCCGAGACGGCACACGACCGCCCGGACGCGCGGACGAGGTATGCCGCGCCATGGGACAGCCACTGCCGCTTGGGCACCGACGCATAGGGCTGGCCGCCGTCCTGCCACGCCACGGCGACGCAGGCATTGCTGAGCGTCTGGAGGTAGGCGAAGACTAGGCTGTTGATGTTCTCGCCGCTCTCTCGTTCTTCCTCGTCGTGGCCGTTATTACTAGTACTAGTATTATTCCTGCCAGGATCTTGCCTCGGACAAGGATCATGCTGAGCAGAGCGGGAGGGAAGATATTGTCCCGCCACGTCAAAGTCAAACTCGGCCTGGCAGCACAAGTCGCGCCAGATGCTCTCGATGGCGGCGGACGGCTCGGCGCCGTGGATATGAAACTCGCGCGGGCGGAAGGGCGCTGAGCACGCGGCCACCCGGTCGACCATGACCCCCCGGATGCGGAGAAGCGCCTTGGATGCCAACAAGTCGTCGACTTCGAGTTTTGCGCGGAGGTTACCGCTGGCGCGGTGCGGGCTTGTAGGCTCGGAGAGGATGTGCGATTGGTAAAGGCGCCAGTCGGGCACCCACGAGGGGAGCTTGTTGGGCGAGAATGACGAAGAATAGTCCAAGCTGGTACTACTAGTAGTCGGTTCTGTCGCTGCGTTTGATCCGGATGGAAGGCTGTCATGCTGGACCGAGGCCAGCGTCAAGAGAGAAGTGTCGTCGCCGAGCAGCGCCCTCGTCGCCACATCGGTGTAGATATCTTCGACCCGTTGATTGTAGTCCGGCCTCAACGACCTGAGTTCCTTATTCGCGCTGTGGCGGATCGAGTAGTGGCCCAGCATGGCAAAGACCTTGTCGCGCGGGTCCGTGGCCACCAGGTGCCGGGCGCGGTGCAGCTCGTACAGGAAGCTGAAGCGGTTGGCGTGGCGCGAGGCCGGCGGCGGCTCGATGAAGCGCCGGTACAGGTACTTGATCTTGGGCGTCTGGACGTCGACGTGCGCGCGCAGGTGGTGGTAATCGGTCAGCGCGTGGCAGACCGCGAACAGCACTTCCCAGTCGATGTGCGCGTCGCCCCAGAAGAGCGTCGCCGGCGCCCGCGTGCCGATTTCCTGCACCACCCACGCCCGAGTGAACTAGAGATGGGGGGGAGCTGGTGAGAAAGAATGTCCCACAGAAAATAGAGCCTGCTGGCTACTACCAGTACTGTACTGAGCACTTCATACCGACTTAAGGGATCTGGTACAAAAAGCACACACTTACCCATGGCAGTCCGGTTAGCGTCCTCAGAGGGGCCCATACATCCTTCGACTCGGGGCGACGACCGAGACTATCGGAATGGCCGCGATCGAAAGCCGCCCGTCGTTCCTCATCGGCAAACGTTGCGGCCAAGTCGGCCACGAAGTCGAACGCCGTCGCGGCCACGCCGTGCTCGTCATATCCGAGCCAGACCAACACGCGCCCCGCGTTACGGTAGATCAGGTTCATCAGGGGGATCTGCATGTTCTTCTCGGCGGCATTGTCCTGGTCGATGCAGATCTGGTCCGCCCAGAGCCGTCTCGGCGCGTGCCGGAGCCGCAGCCGCTTCAGCGCCCCGTAGATGCTCTCCGTGATCGCCAAATCGGCTCCGTTGCACACCATGTTGTGCGTCTTGGACGGGTCGCCCCAGACGTATGAGATGGCCTCGTACTGCCCCGCGCCGCTGTCGATGCTGACAGTCTCTAGACGCCCCGAAAGAGGGTCGCTGGGAGCGCCTGGGTACAGCGTGAGGATCCGGATGGACCGCTCGTTCGGTATGTGCGGATGGGGAGAGTCCTGGTTCTGGTGATCGGGCGTGCTTTTCTCGCCTTGGCCGTACCAAGGCCACGATAACCGTTTGCGCAGCGCGGAGATCATACTGGGCCAACTCTCCCTTGTCGATACCCTCGCGAGTCTAGTCTGCTCGCTTCAAGATTGGGTGTTCGTTGGTGTCCCGTAGTCAGCTTGTTCATGTGCTTCAGAGAATTGGTGGTGAATTTGGGGCAAAGTTTGACCAAGGCAGGCCAAGGTTGCCTGTCGCAGAGAACGTAGCATCCGGTGCGGAGGTCATGCATGGCACTTACATTAGTACACTGTACACGTCTGTTGGCGGAATGGGAATAATAAACGGCCCCCACCAGGCTCGCAAAGGCACTGCTCTGCTCGACACTTACCTATGGTATGTACTAGAAATCCAGAAGGGATAGCACTCAGTGCCACAACCCCTCAGATCTTGTCGCATGAAGCTAAGTACTACTAGCAGTAGTCACATAGCATACATTACCGTACAGCGCTAATCGTCTGATATACCTGACGGCAACTGCCCTATTGGCATGCCTTATTTTGCCTCTTGTACATGGCCGCGTCTTTCCCTTGTTTTCCGCCAAGGGAGCTCGAGTCGTGGAAGGGCGGAGTCGGCGGAGCTCTTCGACGACAAGCTTGTGTTAGATAGTATCTCATTCTGTTTATTCCCCATTTTAGTTAAGTTTAATGCCCACAGATAACGTGCCGAGCAATATTTCCAAAATCGTATTCCGAAGTGCTTGAACAAAACGCTGTGATTACTCCGTAGTGCATAGTAGTTGTCCGGGCGGTTAATCATCGGCTCGGCGTTTGAGGCGGCCGGACAACTATCCCTCCGATAAAGCCAGCTTTTACTAATTGGAAGCGTACCGAAGTCCGAGAGCAACATTAATCAGCTGGTCCGAGGGCTAGTCCAATGATGCCGGGCCAGTGGCCATCATCGGCGTGATGGCAATCATGTCATGGTATATGATATATCAGGGCTCACCGAGCTATCGAGCGCTCTGAGTCTCTGCTGCTTGGATTCCGCACAGCTACTCAGAGTCTCGGACTATAAGTACAACAACGTACCTAGTGTTGGGCCGTCGTCAAGCGATCACCTTTTCCGACCCACCTCCAGGAAGCATAAGCCTTCAAGGACGTCCACGCTGTTCAACATGTCTATCCCCGAGACGTATAAAGCCTTCAGGCGCACCACCGGCGACTTCCCGAGGACCATCGTCCCAACGACGGAGCAGATGCCCCGGGAGCTTGGACCTCACGACGTCCTCCTCAAGATCCACGCCGTCTCGCTCAACTACCGCGACCCCTGGATGCTGCATGGGGGCTACCCTTCGCATATGATTGACCGAGGCATTTCGTGTTCCGATGCAGCGGCCGAGGTGGCCGCCATTGGCAGCGCGGTGCAGGATTTGGCCGTCGGCGATCGTGTTTCGGTGATTATTGACCTTAGCAACTTGACTGGGTACGAGGATGAGCCTCCACATGTGCTTGGGGGCGACGTCGAGGGCGTGCTCCGTGAGTACGCCGTCTTCGAAGACAAGTACCTCGTGCACCTGCCCAAGCATCTGTCGTGGGAAGAGGTTAGTAACGCCCGTTATAGGTGACCACTTCCCAAAGCATCACTAAAGTGTCATTAAATGATAGGCATCGACCATCACCGTTGCCGGCGTCACAGCCTGGACTGCTCTCGACGGCCTCCAATCGGCCAATTCCAGGAGGAGTGTCCTCTTGCAAGGTCCGCACCACTGTTTCGTTTTTCCATCTTCTAATAACCTTCCTTCCCCCTCTCCCTACAGGTAACTAGCAGACAGTACTAATACGAGAGCCAGGCACGGGAGGCGTCAGCCTGTTTGCGCTCCTGCTCTGCCTCGCCGCGGGCATCCGGCCCATCATCACCTCTTCGTCCGACAAGAAGCTCGAGCGGATCCGGCAGCTCGGCTCCCACATCGGTACCATCAACTACAAGACCGTGGCGGACCAAGCCGCCGAAGTCCAGCGGCTTACCGACGGCAAGGGCGTCGACATTGTCATCAACAACACTGGGGTGGGATCCATTCCCGAGGATATCAGCTTTTTGCGGCAGAGGGGCGGGATCGTCTCGCTCGTCGGCTTCCTGGCCGGTAACAAGGCTGATTGGGAGCCGAGTGCCGTGCTGGGATTGATGTACAAGTTCGCAAAGCTGAAGTAGGCCACCCTGTCTTGAAGAAGCTTGGGACTGCCCAGGACATTGCGCTCGCTGACAATGGATCATTATAGGGGCATCCTCGGGGGTTCTAAACAGGACTTCATCGACCTGAACCGCTTCCTAGAAGAGAAGAAGGTATCCCTGGCCCCGCTCGTTGACCGAGTCTTTGCGTTCGACGAGGCGCCGGCGGCGTTTGACTACCTGTACTCGGGCAGCCACGTCGGTAAGGTGGTCATCAAGGTGCAGGACTGAAATGAGTGTTCTACCAAGGGAAGGACCAGCAGTGTTCATTTAGCCGTATTCAGGCCATACCTGAGAATTCAGACCCATCTCCCCTAACCCCTCCATTTCAAGGGGTATACCCTCTGCTGCTCTATCGTGACCGCCGCCTTCTCTTTGATATCCACAGACGAGAATCCCACCGAGAAATGGTAAGTACCAGCCTCCAAGACCCAGGCGCGTGCCTTCTCATCAAAGTGGGCCATATCCCGGCCCTTGACAACAAGACGGACGCTCTGCGCCTCGCCAGGCTGCAAACGAGCCTTCTGATATGCCACAAGTGTCTTGACTGGATGTTCCAAAGGCTTCGCAGCACTGCCCACGTACACCTGAACAGCGACGCCGCCAGGTAGAGCTCCCGTATTGGTGACCTGGGCCGTAACCACAAACTCGTCGCCCCCCGTGCCACCACTTGGTTCGACACGCAAGCCCCCCAGCTGGAACGAGGTGTACGACAAACCGTGGCCAAAGGCAAAGTTGACCACATCCTCCCGCGACAGACGGTCATAATGGCGATACCCCACAAACACGCCCTCGGCATAGGTGACCCTGAGCGGGCCGCCGCCATCAACGTCATACTCTCCCGGGAAGTTCCCGTGCGCGGGGGCGTCCTCAATCCGGCGTGGGAAGCTGACAGGCAGATGGCCCTCCGGGTTGACGGCGCCGGTGAGGACGTCGGTGACGGCGTTGCCGCACTCCTGCCCCGCGAACCAGGCCTGCACGACGGCGCGGACGTCGGCCAGCCACGGCATGGCCACGGCGACGCCCGTGGCGTTGACCACGACCGTGTGGGGGTTGGCGCGCGCCACCGCGGCCACCAGCTCGTTCTGCCCGTTGGGCAGGGCGAACGAGTCCTGGTCGCGGCCCTCGCTCTCCCACTGCGGGTCGTGGCCCGTGAAGACGATGGCGAGATCGGCCTCGCGCGCCACGCGCTCGGCCTCGCCGCGCAGGTCGGCGTCGTGCTCGGACGCAAGCCGGAAGCCCAGCCGCGCGCCGCTGCGGCCCTCCAGGATGCGCATGCCCACGTCGGTGGGCGGCTCGGTGCGCACGCGGATACGGTGCGCGCGCCCGGCGGCAAAGTCGTGCCGGAACAGGTCCTCGGACGCGGCCATGAAGAGCGCGCCCATCGGGTCGGCGCTGTTGCGAGTCTGCCGGAAGACGATGGTGTCGTCGACGAAGACGGTCGTCGCGCCGATGCCGGAGCAGGCCATGTAGTGCGCCCCGGATTCCGTGGGGGTGAAGTCGCCGACCAGCTCGACGACTCGGTTGAGCGACTCCTGCGACCCGAGCGGGGAGTACGCCGAGGAAGGGTAGCCGTGCAGCGTGGAGGAGGGCTCCGGGTTGGCGCCCGCCTCGTACAGCAGGCGCGTGAAGCCCGGCTGGCCGTCCAGCCCCGTGACGGACCCCGCGGCGGTGCTGTCTTTGGACAGCGGGGGCAAGAGTCGCTGTCGGTGGGCGCCCTTGGCGTACACAAACTCGGCGCTGTCGCCGAGCGCGGCATGGAGCCCGTCCCAGGGCGAAACCTTATAGTGCGCGTTGACACTCGCGCTGCCGCCGCCGTGCGCTAGGGCATCCTTGGCCAGGCCGATGAGCGCGATCTTCTTGCCCTTGACCTTCTCCTTTGTCAGGGGCAGCAAATCGCCCTCGTTCTTGAGCAGCACCATGCCGCGGGCGCCGACCTCGCGGATAAGCGCGCGATGTTCCGGTCGGTCCACGGCCTTCTCCCCGGCTGGAGACGTCCCCTCGAGGCCGCCCACGCGGTGGATCAATTTTAGGAGAGCCGCGGCCCGCTCGGTGATGGTCTCCTCGGTCACCTCGCCGGCCTCCAGCGCCGCGCGCACCGTCTGGAGCGTCCGTACCCCCGCCGGGCCGGGCATCTCCAAGTCGAGCCCGGCGTTGATGGAGCCCGCAACCGAGTTGGTGCCGCCCCAGTCGCTGATCACAGCGCCGTCCCAGCCCCACTCGCCGCGCAGCACGTCGCGCAGCAGCCAGTCGTGGCTATCACAGTGCACGCCGTTGACCAAGTTGTAGGCCGTCATGAGACTCCAGGGCGCGGCCTCGCGCACGGCCATCTCAAACGGCCGGAGATAGATCTCGCGCAGCGCCCGTTCCCCAATGGTCTCGTCGACGCTCATGCGCGCCGTCTCCTGCTCGTTGGCCACAAAGTGTTTGATGCACGCCGCCACGCCTCCATCCTCCTGCAGACCTTTGATGAGCGCCGTCGCGAGCGTGCCCGTCAGCAGCGGGTCCTCGCTGAAGCTCTCGAAGTTGCGCCCGCCCAGCGGATGCCGGTGGCAGCACACTGTCGGCCCCAGCAGCACGCGCGCCCCCTTGGTGCGCGCTTCCTGGGCGAGTGCGGCTCCGATCCGTCGTGCGAGGTCGGGGTCGAAGGTGGCGGCCACGTTGCTGGCTGCCGGGAAGCAGGCTGCCTTGGTCCCGCCGTCGATGTCTGCCCCGCGACACCCGTTGGGCCCATCTGTTGTCTGCAAAGCTACAGATCAGCTAACTAAGTAAGAGACAAATCTTAAAGTGATACACTACTAACTAGGCCTTACCTTGATGGACGGGACGCCCTTGGAAGGGATGCCGACTGTTTCCCAGAAGTTGGCGCCAGCCAGGAGAGAAATCTGGGAAGAACTTGGTTAGCATTTTGGAACCGTATCCAGTTGGAGGCGAGAAAATGAATGATGAGCCGGACCTACCTTCTCATCTAGTGTGAGGGATCGAAGGATCGCATCTGTGTCTACCGCTTGAGCCGCCATGTTGAATTTGGAATTGGAGCCTCCCTGCTGCTGGGAAGGACTTGTCACCAGTTGTGTACCAAACTCCTGGAGGTCGCTTGCGTGGTAGAGTCTGATGCGGGACGCCAGTACTTTCTAAGCCTGTGTAAGTGAGGGATGAACAAGCGATGGTCGCATCATCGGATGTCGTACCTCATGTAGGGTAGAGAGGGGAGCAATGGGGAGAAGATTCCACACAAACCCGGAGCCGTTGGACTCCGTCGGAGCGGGAAGTGGATCCACTTTACGTAGGTACTCCGTACCTGGTACGCAGGCCGCGGCTCCTTCTCAGGCGGCTGTATAGACTCGAGTCGAGGTCTTCCTGACCACGAGATCCGGGTAAGCTGAAGTTATGAAGATGGCATGGGCAGGTACAAATTGACGACGGGCTTCGTATTGGAATGTGGCGTTAAGTTGCTTCCTAGTAAAGCCCGGTTGTCAAAGCCTGCAAGACTCGTGAATTTTCCCCATCCTGAAATATGGCCGCACCTTACTCGGGCAGCTGCCTCTGCGGCGGCATCCGCTTCACCATCGCCTCCGAGCCGGCAGCCGTCCTCTCATGTTTCTGCGAGCATTGCAGCAAAGGTGCCGGCGGCACAAACCAAATCGTACAGTTCTGACCACATATGTACCTCCGTAGTCATCGTCCTCGCCATACTGAAGAATAGGCAGATCGCCAAATTCGCCCAAGCCGACGTCAACATCTCGGAGGGCGAGCACCTCATCGCGACTTACACCTTCACCGATACCTCCAGTGGGGGCCCCAAGGCCAAGGCCTTCTGTCGGACGTGCGGGACCCCGCTGTGGACGGTTCCGGCGTCGGCCCGCGGCACGAGCCTGCTGATCCGCCCGAGCCTGCTCTCCGAGTGGTCAGTTATTTTCTTGTATGTTATTGCCACAGTATTAGTATTAGGAGTTGCTAACGTTATTGTTATCTGGTACTCCGTAGGCACCATTTTAAGCCCGGATCGGAAATCTTTGTCGCGAATCGACCTCCGTGGGTGACGCCTGTGGACGGTGCGGAGCAATGGGAGGGAGTGCGGGGAAGGTGAAGGATGGGGGAAATGGGAAGTCTTGGCGGGGTGGAAACTCCCACCTGGCACGGCCCTGCACCCCACATTTCGGGATGTGGGACCAGCTCGGAACTCATTCTTGTGACATCTTGTCCCATGAACGGGACCACAAGGGAAAAAAATGGAAAGCAATAGCGGGAAAAAAGTTACCATCACGGGATTGCAGTATGTACCCCAGACAACAAATCCACAGTCCCGGTCCAGCATTCCGGGGTTTGCCCACGGGGTCTGGGGCCCCAGATGCGGAGACTTCTTCTGGTCTGGAGACTCTCATTTGTTTTCTTTCCGGTCATGCCCTCAACCTGTCATCGGAGGCTATACCGGAAGTCTTAAGAGGCAAATAGCCCATGCTTCCATAAAAGCAGTCTTTCGACGGAGTTCTTGGGCTGCGAGCTGTGGTTGAAAAGCATCGCTCTCCGCCACTTCGGATCTCGCTCCCCACTCCCTTGGTATCCTCGCTCGGAGTCAGACACCTCGGTCAGAGCAACGCGGGAAACACAATTCATCCCTCGAGATGGGCCGAAACGACAAGGCCGGCAAGGCTGGGGCGGAGCAGGCCGTCGGCGCTGAGCTGGCAGCGGTAAGCACCACATTGCGCATTGACGCTTGCTCACCGTGCTGTCTAGAGCGCTAGTCGACAACGAGAAACTGACGAGTTGTTGCAACTTTCCAGTACCTGCCCGCCAATGCGAAGCCGTGGTACCGCACAAGGCATCTCGTATGCCTCAACCTCGCGCTTATGGTGCCGTTGCTGTCGGCGGCCACGATCGGCTTCGACGGGTCCATGATGAACGGCCTGCAGACGCTGAGCCAATGGCGGGACTACTTTGGGCAGCCGTCGGGCGCGGTGCTCGGCGCCATGAACGCCATCTTCCCCGTCGGCAAGCTGGTCGCCGTGGTGCCGGTCGCGTGGCTCACCGACCGCTTCGGCCGCAAGCTGCCCATGTGGCTCGGGCTGCTCGGACTGGTGGCGGCGACGGCAGTCCAGGCGTCGAGCCACACGGTGGCCCAGTTCATCGTCGCCCGCTTCTTCCTGGGCTTCTTCACGGCCTTCGTGGGCCAGCCGTCGCCCATTCTGATCACCGAGCTCGCGTACCCGACGCACCGCGCCAAGATGACGGCCCTGTACCAGACCTTCTTCTACTGCGGCTCCGTGCTCGCCGCCTGGTCGACCTACGGCAGCTTCCGCATCCCGTCGACCTGGAGCTGGCGCATACCGTCGCTCCTGCAGGGCGCCATCCCGCTGATCCAGCTGCTCGGCGTGTTCTTCGTCCCCGAGTCTCCGCGCTGGCTGCTGGCCAACGGCAAGACCGCCGAGGCCCGCGCCATCCTCACCACGTGGCACGCCGGCGGCGACGGGAACTCCGCGCTGGTCGAGTACGAGATGCACCAGATCTCGACGACGGTCGAGCTCGAGAAGCACGCACGCGCCACGACCTCGTACATGGATCTCGTCCGCACGCGGCCCAACCAGCACCGCACGCTGATCGCCTTTGTCGTCGGCTTCTTCGCCCAGTGGAACGGCGCGTCGGTCGTGTCGTACTACCTCGCGCTCGTGCTCAACACCATCGGCATCACCAAGACGTCCGACCAGGCGCTGATCAACGGCCTGCTGCAGGTGTGGAACTGGCTTGCCGCCGTGCTGGCCGGCGCCCTGATGGTCGACCGCCTGGGCCGCCGCACGCTGTTCCTGACGTCGGTGGCCGGCATGTTCGTCAGCTACGTCGTCTGGACCGTGCTGACTGCCCGGTTTGTGTCGACGCTGAACCAGGCCATGGGCAACGCCGTCGTGGCTTTTATCTTCATTTATTACTTCTTCTATGACATTGCCTGGTCGCCGCTGTTCATCGCCTACCCCGTCGAGATCTTCGAGTTCGGCCTCCGCGCCCGTGGTGTGGCTGTCACGTACGGGTCGACCTTTGCGGGTTTGATCATTGGCCAGTTCGTCAACCCCATCGCTATGAAGGCGATCGGATGGAAGTACTATATTGTTTTTGATGTGATCCTGGCCATGCTCATTGTGGTTATTTACTTTGTCTTCCCCGAGACCAAGGGCCGCACGCTGGAGGAGATTGCCGAGGTCTTTGACGGGAAGAGCCGGAGGGTCGCTGATGTCGAGGCGGAGCTGAAGAAGGACTCGGACGAGAAGGAGCCAGATAGTGTTTCGGAGCAGGTCGAGCATACCACGGCAGAGGTGAAGAAAGACTGATAGATAGGCACAGGAACCTGAGACGGAAGTGTGCTGGTGCGGAGGACTGGCGTCGAGTTTACGTTACTACTAATCCACTGGATCTCTCACTAATACGAATACCACATTGCATCATAAGCCTTGAACTTATTGCTTCCCGTTCCCCGCAGCTCCCGACTGTGGAATCTTAACTCTAAAGGTCCGGGCGTGTACCCAATCGCCCATGGTGAACCAATCTCTGGGCTGACCCTTTATCTTTGTACTACTAATAGTACTTGTCCCCTTAGGATATGCTTACCATTTCGCCTGGATGAAAAGTAGCCGCCATCAAATGTCTGAAGTGGTGTACAATGATACTGCATCGTTACTACTGTCATTGTTCTGCTCATTGCTAGTAATACTTGGGCAGTTAACGGTGATGCTTTTGTTTCACAATGCTGAGAATGAATGCTCCAAGTGATTGAAGGTTCAATCCACTCATGTTCCTGGAAATTTGTATATGGAAGACATTGCTAACTCTCTATTACATGGTGCGCATTACAACCCCTCATAGCCCCGGTTTCGTCAACCCCAAAAGCTCCAAAAACGGCCTGTCGTTGACCGCCACCAGGTACGCCGGCTCCGTCGCTGAAGTATTAACATGCTGGATGCGCGACCAAGCCGGCACAGCAAAGGTATCTCTTGTCTTCCACTCCAACACGACCCGCTCCCCGTTCCCGTTGGGCGGCTCGACGATCGTCTTCCCCGTGCCCTCGAAGCAGTGGTAGAGGAACGAGCTCGAGTGCTGGCTGACCTCGGTGGTGCACCCCGCTGCGATGCGCTCCGCCTGCATCCCGATGGTCGTCGACAGGTGCTTGCCGTCCGGGGTCCGGTAGTGGTGCGTCGCGTGGGGAACGCCGGCGCCGTCCAGGGCTTCTTGCACGGGCTTCCATGGGTGGCGCCATTCGGGCGGGTTGGCTGGTCTATTTATTTATTCACAGGGCAAAGGTTAGGAGATTATATGTACTATTGGTGAATGGGGTACTAGTAGTAAATAAGGTGGGTAGATGGCTTACTCGCTCGGGTACCGGCTCTCGTCGTAGCCCTCGGCAAAGTTGACGCGCGCATAGCGGAACAGCGGCAGGTTGAGGGCGTCGAGCCAGATGACGGGCGCGTCGCTCTCGTTGCCGTGGTCGTGCCAGTGCCACGTCGGCGTGAGGATGACGTCGCCGCGCGCCAGGCTCATCCGCTTGCCCTCGACCGCCGTGAAGCCGGACCCGTCGATGATGAAGCGCGCCGCGAATGCGATGTGCCGGTGCGCGGGCGCCACTTCCCCCGGGTTGACGAGCTGTAGGCCGCCGTAGATCGTATCAGTCGTGCAGGGCGCCGCTTTTTGCGTGTGTGTGTCAGTGACGGGTTGACTTGGAGTACTAGTAGATAGGAGTAGTATTGGACATGAGCTCACCCATGCTCGGGTTCACGAGCATCAGCACTCTTCTCTCTGCCGACTCGGCTGGTACAAGCTTCCCGGCCCGGAGAAGATGGGGAAGTGCGTCCTCGTACTTCCACAGGTGCGCCTTTGCGACGGGATTGGGCGAGGCAGGCACCATCGCGTCCATCTTGAGCCACAGGGGCTCGAGGTGCTGCGAAGGGAGCCCCGAAAGGAGCTGTTCCAACGCGTCCGGGCAGCTTTCCTGTGGTATGGATCCCATGGTGAGCCCGTGCGGATGCGGCAGGAAGGCTGTGAGGGTGTAGAGTAGAGGGGCTAGATCTGCTAAAAAGACGGAGAAGCGGCGCTGAAAGAGGCGGATGTAATGCAGTCAAAAATAATGGTTATCCTTTTCTTGTATCTTCCCTGTCCCAAGACTGTATTAGGGTGCTAGGCAGGTTAGCTCGATCGTTGTAAGCGCAAAGATGGCGAAGCTGCCTGCAGAGCCAGTAGTAACGGTCTTCCCTGCGGGTGTCGCTATCAGACAGGTCATGTGCCCCTCTGGTTCCTCGGTTGAGGCCCTCTCCACACTAGTGTTCTCTCGGATACTCGTACTGCGGAATGTTGGACCCTTCAGGGGTACGACATCCGAGGCCGGCCTCCGAGTTCCGAGAGAGCTTTCCGGGGTGGACCCACCAGCATTCCGAAGCTTCTTGGGGTGCTGGTTCCGACGTCGAATGCCGTGCTGTATCTAGGGTACTAAGCGAGTAGGACCTAGGTATATACACGTAAGAATGGACTTCACCTGAGTTGTTAGATCTCGCCGAACAGTCTCAGCCATCGTTCCACGAAACATGTCTTGGACCCGTCTCATCAGATTCCTCGACGACGCGGGAAGGGAAACCTTCGGAGAGCCCGAAGTGGACAGCGCAGAGCAGGTACATGAGCTGCTCACACAAGGAAGTCTCTATGCCACTGAGTTCCAAGGTCCAAGCCCAGTGGCAGCCCTGACGAAGGGGTCAAGAGTCCACGTCAAGGAACTGCTCAACATTCTCCGGCCGTCGGATGTGCCCATCATCCGGTGCATTGGCCTGAACTATATTAAGCACAGTAAGTCCCGGCGGAACCATAACGAGTTCAAGAGACGGAAAAAAAGAAAAAGAACCCAGTTTTAACCGGCCCCCAATAGTCCAAGAAGGCGGGCGCATACCACCACCCTACCCCTCCGTCTTCATCAAGCCATCGACCTCGGTGGCCGGCCACGCTGAAGACGTGCCGATCCCGCGGATCGCGCAGGACGGCACGCTGGACTACGAGGGCGAGCTGGCGGTGGTGATCGGCAAGAGCGGCAAGGACATCGCTAAAGCCGACGCGCTGTCGCACGTGGCCGGCTTCCTGGCCGCCAACGACGTGTCGGCGCGCGGCTGGCAGCGCGACCCGCAAAAGGCCGGCGGCGTTCCGCAGTGGTGCTTCAGCAAGGGGTTCGACAAGTTCGCGCCGCTCAGCCCCGTGCTGGTGGCCCCCTCCGTGGTGGGCAACGCGAGTGGGTTGACGCTGCAGACGTTTGTCAACGGCGAAGAGCGCCAGAACACGAGCACCTCGGATCTGCTGTTCGGAGTTGAGGATATTATTGCCTTTTGCAGCCAGGGGACCACACTAGTGGCGGGGACCGTGATTCTGACCGGGACACCGTCGGGCGTGGCGATGGGGATGAAGGAGCCAAGGTACCTAAACGACGGAGATGTGGTGGAAGTGCAGATAAGCCAGCTGGGCGCGGTGAAAAATAAGATGGCGTTTGAATAAATGGACATTGATGTACAGTATTAGTCGCATACATAGAAGTCCGTCTGCTCTTACTACTCTTGCGGCTTGCCCGTGTCCATCGCCCACGGCTGATTGCCCGTGAGCAGCTCCCAGGCATGCATGTTCAAATCGGAGAGATCGTTCGCGCCAAACGCCAGGCCCGGCAGCTCCAAGTCGGGGAAGAAGGCGCCCAGGTCGCCAAACTGCTGGAGCGACTCGGCCGGGTCAAAGAAGGTCGGGTTCGCAGCCTGACTCTCATCCCCCGGACCTGGGCCTTCCTCGGGCGGTCTCGTGGCAGCTGCTTGCTGGTTCTGCATGATACGTCCGGACAGGATGTTCAAGACGGCGACGCACCGCCGCGCCGACTGGCCGAACCGCTCGTGGGCCCGCAGCACCGAGACGGCCTCCTCCCACGAGCGCTGCAGCCCGTTGTCGCCCGCGAGCTCGGGCCGCAGCCGCGCCACGATGAGGATGGTGGCGGCCGAGTAGACAAAGTAGAGGCGGTACCACCACGCCGGCAGCAAGCCGACGGTGCCGTCGTGCGCCTCGAACCGTGCGAGCACCGACACGACTTCCTGTGCCGTGGCCACGCACAGAGACGCCACCTGCTGCACCATGCGCGACGCCAAGCCGCCCGTCGACTTGGACTCTTTGGGCGGAGGCTGGTCCAGGCAGAACCGCGCCATGGTCGGCCGCAGGAGAAGGAGCCGAGCTTGGAGGAACCGAAGCCGAAGAATTACCGCTTGGCGCTTGGAGATGTCATTTTCCAGATTTTGAACCGTGGCGAAGCACAGATGGGGAGGCAGGTTCTGCTCCCACGTTTCCAAAGCGCTGTCCAGTCTTAAGAGAGTCTCCAGGTCTTTCTCTCGGGCTCCCTGTGGGCTGGGCTCCGCCTCGCCCGTCAAGTAGAAGGCAATGATGCTCAAGTGGATGATCTCATACAGCTGGACCGACTGCACAAAGAACGACACGCGTATTTGCTCATTGTCGAACCCTTGTCGGCCGGGATGTGAAGAGAGTGGCAGGGGAACAGCCGAGGCGTGCTGGTGCAAGATGATCGGCGGCCGTCCGTGGGTCATGGAAACCATGCGATCCATCAGGACACAGCCATGCCACAGCCTGCGAACGAGTTCGCGCTCGACAAGGTCGGCAATGCCCGCCGACGTCTCGGGTAGATGCAGGCCCAAGCTCTGCGCCGTCCGCACGGCAGCGCCCACCACCATCCAGGTCTGGTGCGCGTTGCTGGTGGTCTGCAGGTACTGGCTCATGAGCAACAGGCACTGCACCAGCTCCAGCGACCCGGGCTCCCACAGGCTGAGCCGCATTAGGGCCTGCGCCCGCTGGAAATACACCCGGCTGCTCTCGTCGCGCTGCTCCGGCCGCAGCGACTCGATCAGCTGCGTCGACAGCGCAAATATGATGTTGAGCGTCGACACGAAGATGCGCTCGTCCGTGCCCAGCGGCGTGCCCGCGAACATGTTGGCGTAGTACCGGCCCCACTTCTCCCGGTCGAGAAAGGGGTACAGCGTGTCGACGTAGTGCCAGTACAGGTCCATCAGATGATCGGCCTGCCGACGGCCCGGCAGCACATAGTTTGGGTCATCTGCTATGTTCCAGTTGCTCCCGGCATCTCGGGACCCTGGCGATGCAGGCCCTGCGAACGAAGCTCTGTTGTTGTTGTTGTGGTGCGAGGACGACGGGGCCGGCTGCGGTGACTTGCCCAGTCTTGCATCGATGGCGGCCTTGATCTGCTTCGTGAAGGATCCGGCGCTGCTGCTGCCAAAATACTGCGCTGTGCTCGTTCCCTCCTCCACGACCGTCGTCATGGAGTCGATCTGGGACTCGCCTGCAACGCTTGGTGCATGGCCGGAAGCCGGAGACGGCACACCAAAACCTGCATCGAGAGCCGGGGCGGGATAGGCCATCCGTCTCCGGACTGGCGGGCTACTGCTTGCATTACCGCCTCGCATCGGCGGGTCGGGGATGGCGGGTCCTTGACCATGACTTGCTGCTTGTTGTGGCAGCCCCTCTGCAATACTTCTGGGAGTAGAAACAGTGATAACACTGTGCGAATCGGTTGTCCTCTCTATGGGGCCGGCGCTGTATGTGCAGCGGTCCCGCATATCAAGTCGCTTGTGACAGTTCCCGCATGCTTCGTTGCTCCGGTCAGCAATGGACCCAGATCAATTGTGCCGGGTACTGGGTGTATGCGGGTAGGTGGATCTTACTTGGTCGAATCCCGTCACATCGAACCTTCCTCGCCCTGCACATTTCACACGCGACATCGATCTTGTGCCGCTTGGGCCGCGGGGCCACCACGTCGGTCTCGGGCATGACGGCCGTCGGAAAGGGCCACCGTCCACGCCTCATAGGGCTGGGGTGTTGCAGACTGGAGTGTCGGAACCAGTTGGAGCTCTTGGTGGCTCGGAGCGTTCCGAGAGCGTGTTTATTTATCGTCCTGTATTCGGGAGTTGGCGTGCCTGTGCATCCAATGCAGTTGCTCCCGTCCTCGGATCCCCCAGACCCCACACTCATCCAAATTCTCGGGGTGCGGAGAACGCTCTCCACAGCGGGGTAAGCCTCCACAGCCAAGCCCCCGCAAATCCCACATCTCCACACGCCCGTCGCCAGTATTACTCCCTCACGGAAGGACGAATCGCATGTTCATGCAGTCTGTCTCCCAGTCGCAGTCCGCATCGTTCGACGAGAGCCGGGTGCCTACCTTCAAATATGACCGATCGGCCTGTGCATTGTCGGTCAAGAGATCTCGATGCCGAAGGAGATTTGTGCGGGCAAGCGCAAACCAGTGCAGTTGCCAGTTGGTCGGAAATCGAACCTGTAAGTTTGGGATGCGGGCGCGGGGTTTCAACTTCTGCGCCGATTTACGGCTGGAGAGTTTCGAGCTCGATTCTCACAACAAGCATCATCATCGTCTTAGTACACGAATCATTTCGCCTCATTCTATGTAACCTAGTACGACTAACTCAACATCCTGCGGAAACGACTCCCCCTGACCTCCTCGAGCATGTCCAAAACGCGTAGCGCCTCGGCGGGTTCGGTCCACGCCACGAACCTCACGCGCAAGACACACTCCGACTTCAGCCCCGCGGTGCGACCACACCCACGTCCCGTGGTTCCAGTGCATCGCGCACGAATGCCGATATCACTTTCGATCGAAGTTTGACAACGACTTTTGGCCAGATCGGCCTACCGATCGGAATGGAGAGCCTCGACCAGTTCCCCGGGTTTGGGACGCAGGAACCGGCGCCGACCAGTTCCTATGGAAGGTTGAGAAGATTGGCGCACGCGACAGGATCAGGGTGACACCAAGAAGAATCCACCCGGAGGATTGCCAACGATGGCCCAGTGATACGCGACGGTGTGAAAGCCAGGATTGCCTAATTCACATGGAGGCAAAGCTCCGAAAGCACCACGACGACAGGAAACGCACACGAAGATGGATGACGCCTCGCGAGCGACAGCGAGAAGCCAGGAGAGCCAACGAAGTTCGACAACTGTTCGATGAACTCCCGAGACTTGGACCGCAGGACGGCAACCAAGAGACACCAGAGGATGGGGACGCCTATCCAGATGCCTGGACGGAGTTGGGAAACGGCTCAGGGCCCTCCGAGGGGCCCGGAAACTACTAAATCCATCATAATAACGACAGATCCGCGGGTGCAGGAAGAACCACGCGAAAAGAAGGATCTACGACCTCCCAGCGAGCATGAAAGAAGCCGCTGCGATTTAGAATAATAAACCTGACGATAGAATCTAGGTTACGGTATACTGGAACAGATTCCAGGTATTAGCATTGGTAGATGGAGGATCTCAGGTCGACCTTATCTCACCTATACTCGTCAACCGGCTTAGGATCCCGTAGAGGATCAAGAAGAAATAGTATATCGTTAAAGGACTATTTGACACCTAATAGGTCTGATAAGAAATAGAACCATTTACGATTACGGTAGAAGGAAAAACCACCAAAGTAGTGTTTGACATTGTTGAACTAGGGTCTAGGAAAGATATAATGCTAGGACGCCCATAGCATCGAAATTACGACCTGGATATTAGTTGGAAGGGAGGTGGCCACCTACGACCTCGAAAACAAAGGCCGTATCCGACCGACAAGATGGGAAGCGTAGACGACGGAGTACAGCAGGGAAGATCGCCCTAGAAGGCGGCCCCTATAGATCCACCGCAAGAGACGGACAGTGCCAGGCAGAGCACTACGGACTTAGGAAGAGGCGGCAGTCACTAGAACAAACAGCGAGAATCGGCAAGACTAGGCCGGAGACAACGCCACTTACGACGACGCCCTTGCACGGCTCAAAGAGACGCAGACGATATCGAGATCGCTGTCATCTCAATTGATAAGACCGGAGAATTCGAATTCCAGGAATGGGTCACCTAGAGGGAAGCGGCTAGTATTACGGCCAGAGATAAGTTCTTATACTATCGGAGTACGGAGAAAAGCGAGGAAATGGGTAGGATCCTAGCAGAGTACTAGGGACACCCGGCGTTCGAAGCAAAGCATCTTAAGGGGCTACTAGACCACGGACCTTAGAACTACGAAATCAAGCTCAAGGAAGGAGCCTAGTTGAAGTTCTTCAAGGTATACTATATTAATGAAAAGCAAGATACTAAGTTAAGGAGATATCTTAAGGAGAATCTTAAGATAGGGTATATTAGACTATCGACATTACCGGCAGGCTACCTAGTCCTGTTCGTTCCAAAGAAGGATAGGAAGCTTCGGTGTGACGAAACCACAGGCAGTCCTGCCTCTGAAAGGGTTCGCCGGTCGAAGGTATCTGCTGGTCGGACTATAGGTCTCGGTGAAGCCAAAAGGTTCACAACAATGCTCTGCCGCAATGTCTGCACAGTAAGGTAGGGCTACTCTACTGCTTGTAATTGATCACTGGAGAACTCCCAGAGTCCTCCAGAACGAATGACTAGCTGACCTATATACTAGCTATCTTTGGGTGCTCTCATGTGCTCTATAGAGCTCCCTAGAGCTTGGTGCTCTGTTGACTCCATCGAGAGCTTGCATTCCTTCGTGCTGATTGGCTTAGCTCCCTAAGCTCTCGTCTGCTCTCTAGAGCACCTTAGAGCTCCTTCTTATTGGTCCTAAACGATTGGTTCGGGTGCGCCCTACGCCACCCGTCGGGTTGTCCCACCTGCAGCTGTCTTGTTGGCTTAATTCGTGACATTCGGATATATATAGACTACCGATAGCTGAATAGAGTGATTATAAAGAACCGGTACCCCTTGCCACTTATCTCGTAGCTCCGAGATCAGTTGGTAGGAGCCTAATACTTTACTTGTCTTAACCTTCCGATAGCATACGCCTATATTGGCATTAAGGAAGGGGATAAATAGAAGACGGTGTTTCGTACTCCCTATAGCTATTCTAAGTATTTTATAATGCCCTTTGGATTAACAAATGTACCGATAACTTTCTAGGCGGTCGTTAACTATACGATCCGCCTATTCCTCGACTAATTCGCAGTCTATTACTCAGATAATATCTTCATCTTCTCCAAAATACTCGAAGAACATAAGAAATATATAAAGGTAGTACTAGATATACTCTATAAGCATAAGTTATTAGTCGATAAGGACAAGAGTAAATTCTATGTTATAAAGACAGTGTTTCTTAGATACGAAATTTCGCCTGGTAGAATTAGAATAGAGCCAGCAAAGATCGAAGCAATTAAAACATAGCTACGACCAACGATAATAATAGAGATACAAGGATTTATCAGATTCGCCAACTTCTACCAGATGTTCATTAGGAACTTTAGCGACCTTATATGACCTCTATACGAACTTATAAAGAAAGATATTGAGTTATGATAGGAAGCTGAGTATAAGCAAGCATTTTAGAGGATCTGCGACGCAATTATCGCCGATCAAGTGCTCTAGTTGCTAGACCTATAGAAGCCATTCGAGGTTAAAACTGACGTATCTGACTACGCGATCAGGGGACAACTTAGTTAGCGCGATGAGTATAGGAAGCTGCACCTAGTTGTATTCTTTTTAAAAAGGCTCGAAGGACCATGGCTTAACTACCCAATCCACGATAAGGAGTTGCTAGCTATTATCGAGGCTTTTTAAGAATGGAGACTATACCTTAGTGGCACGACTTACGAAGTCTAGGTTTATATAGATTATAAGAACTTATAATACTTTACTACTATGAAGGTATTAAATGGACAATAGACTCGATAGGTAGAGTTCCTCTTGGAATTTAACTTTAAGATTAGCTATAAGAAGGGCTCGAAAAATATACGGGCAGATACATTGAGCAGACGGCTAGATCACTTTAGGAATAGCCAACTAGAAGCCTTACTACTATTACTTTAATAATAGCTAGATAGTTCCTTCCGGTATACTCTCCAACTGATAGAAGATCTCGACGATGATACGCTTCTATAATAGGGTAAAGATCCTGATATACAACCTCTATAACCGCTTGAAGAATACTATATAGTTTTCAGAGAAGAACGGCTAGGAAAAGACTTCTAAAACCGGAAGCAGGACGACGTAGACGAAAAGGTAAGTATCTTTTAGAGAGATAGAGCGTTATAGTATAATGGCAAGGCCTATTGTCACGAATTAAGCCAACGGGACAGCTACAGGTGGGACAACCCGACGGGTGGCGCAGGGCGCACCCGAACCAATCATTTAGGACCAATGAGAAGGAGCTCTAAGGTGCTCTAGAGAGCAGACGAGAGCTTCAGGAGCTAAGCCAATCAACGCAAGGAAATGGAAGCTCTCGATAGAGTCAACAGAGCACCGAGCTCTAGGGAGCTCTATAGAGCATATAAGAGCACCCAAAGATAGTCAGTATATAGTCACTCGTTCTAGAGGACTCTAGGAGTTCTCCAGTGAGCAATACAAGCAATAGCCTCTACCTATTGTGCAGATATTGCGGCCAGCATTGTTATGAACCTTTTGGCTTCATCGAGACCTATAGTCCGACCAGCAGTTACCTTCGACCGGCGAACCCTTTCAGAGGCAGGACTGCCTATGGTTTCGTCATACGTTGCTCACTCCCTTGACTCTATTACGGTTCAGAATCGAAGGTAACATCAATTATCATGGCGCCTTAGACACCCAGCACCCTAGGCTCTTAGGGCCAGACTGCGACCATACAGTAGATACAGCAGGTCATCAAAGCCCTCAATATAAGGATTGCCTAACTCGAGGCCTAGAAAGACAATACCACGGCCCTCGACGCTCTTAATGCCAAAATCACCTAGCTCGAGGCCGAGAACGGTAATATATAGCAACTCGTCAACGAGGCCTATAACGGTAAGCCCAAGGACAAAGCCAAACTCGAAGCACCCCCTAAGTATAGAGGCGATAAAGAAGGACTTACTAGATTCCTTATATCTATAAGGGCCTACTTTAAGTACTACCCGGACAAGTTTATAGACGAATCCGCTAAAGTCATATTTATCTCC